TCTTTTCATTTTGCGCTACTTTGCTGTGACGTTCAATGATTAAGCGCTTCAATCGAGCTGCACGGATGTGACGTGACAACAACAACAACAACAACAACAACAACAAAACAAAAAACAAAAAAAATGTCGTCAACGAAGAAGGATGATAGAAACTGGAAGCGCTTGTGAAATTGGCCTTGAAATTGCGGACGACGCGTGATTCCCCGTACGACTCGTCTGTGCGCGGGCAACTTGAATGTATGCCTGGCTGCAAAAGGATATATAAATGACACCTGTGAGCGCCCGTACAAATTCACAACGCAGAAGTACAGACGACAGCAGCAGCGGAGGCGCGAGGTGGTGGACTGATTGCGCTTGCGCCCGTGACCGGCAAGGACCTTGGCCATGGCCCCGGGGTCGAGCGGGAGCGCTTGCGCCCACACGACCTCTGCTTCATACTATCAAGCTTCTACCCCTCGTACGCTCTATCGTTGCCGTCTCTCTCTCTCTCTCTCTCTCTCTCTCTCTCTCTCTCTCTCTCTCTCTCTCTCTCTCTCTCTCTCTCTCTCTATATATATATATATATATATATATATATATATATACACACACACACACTCAATTTTACTTTCTATAGCGCGCAGCAGCCTACATTGATGATTCTCTCGACCCCACGTTTACAATCTACTACACTCAGCTAACGGAGTCATTCACTGTTTTTTACTCACTTTCTTCAATCATTGGCTTTTTTTAAAAGAACATTAGTATATTGTCGATTACCATCTTTTGACGTGTAGTGAGGCTGTGAGTAATAATTAATTTTCTTCTTTTTGTTTTCTTGTTTCCCAAGTAATTAATATGCTGAACTTGCAGTGCTGGACGAAACCAAACAAATTAAATTCAATGGAAAAGAGATTTCAATAGCTAATGTATCATAGCAAGCAAACTACACCGTTGGCAGTGCATATATATAAATTGCTTCAATGATACAAGCACTCGCTTAAATAATATACTTGGGTTTACTTAAAAATGTAGCTGCTAAAGGACAAGGAAAAGGCAAATCGTCCTTGCATTGCTGTTGAGGGCATGACCTTGACCTTATCACAAGCCCGCAGGACTGGTCCACAACAGTAGAGAACGGTTCGAAGGCCGGCTCGTTCTCGCGTTGCACCACTCTTGCAAAAAGAGACAAATGCAGGATCGATTACATCCACGCGCATTTCGCTTTATCGTCCGAGCGCCCATCAAACTTCGACTGCCCGCGGTGCGTGCTACGCGTTACACGTTGAGCGGTCGCTAATTAACGCTTCGAGAGCCATTATCGCGGGTTCGGGTTGGGCAGTTGCTCGAGTTTCATCGGTCTTTCTTTTTTTCTTTTTCTGGACTACCGGCAAAGTCCAAGTGCTTTTGGGAAATTCAACTTTGACAGTATGATTACGCTTCATTAAATTTTTTTTTCCTTCAAATTACTTATGATCATTTGTGGATTGTAAATATTTTGTCTCTAATACGATTCAAATTACCGACATCAGAGTGAAAAATACAGAGCGAACAGTCCGTCAGGCGTCGCGAATAAATAAAAAGAATGCAACGGGATTGCAATATGTCAGTGAGGAGAAAACAAATCGGATAGTCCTCGGAAAAAAGCTTATTTTGATCCTTGTTAGAATTGAAAGTGATGAAAAATCGAGGTCATCCCTGACATAAGTTATAAAGTAGTAACGTGGGATTCTGGGGTGTCCGGTCGCTCTGTTCGTCCCTGAGGGCGTCAATCGAGAGCTTCCGAAGCTAACTTGAGCTGCTTTTGCTATTGGTCTACGAAAGAAAGTGCTAGATATGCGGATATTTATAAAATCTGGCTAATATTGCCGAATTCGTTCGATATATATTCGATATATATATATATATAACGATACTATTCGCTTCTATCTACTCAGGACGTTGTCGCGCCTTAATTTTTTCAACTTTGTAAAGACTTTTTCGTTGATAGATTGCGCTGCAACTGTAGAAACAAGTTGAATGAGTCTACGATAACTGAATTTTTAATGCACTTAAATTTTGAAAGAATAACAAAATTTTCTACGGTTGTGCGTTTTGTTGCAGAAAAAAATTGAACTTACACTTGTGAGAGATATTAGACACAAGCATCGGACGTCAAGGAAAACTCAAAACAAGATCGCTAACGAAAGCGATGTCATCTCGTTTAGTGCGCACATGACACATATAAAAGAGAATAAGCGCCACGCGTTGTCGCCGTCCGCGCGAGCTTGCCAATTTCCTGTTCTGCTCGCGAGCGCATCAACCGAGTCACGACGATTACGACGATGAATCGTGTGCTTCGCGCCGCTTTCCCCGAATACACGGAAGAGCGGCGAGGCAAGTGTTCGTCCGCCGTGAGAATTCGACACCGCGGCGGCGGACAAGGCCGCGGCGCGTCGCGTCGCGAGAGATCACTTGTTGCTTCTGCCCTCAAAGCCGTTGGTCGTGCGGCACTTTTCACTCGTGCTCGACTTCCTCTTCTCCTCCTCCTCCTCGCGAGACTTTTACGTAATGCCTCGCTTGACCAAAGGTCGCGCTATTGGAGGATGCTAAATACGCGAATTCACGCGTTTCACCTACTTCTCGCTGTTCATCCGGCGTTCCTCACTAATGAATCGGGCTAAATGCGCCACAGTCTCACGCCCGCGACGCGTAGCGCCAAATTAATTAGCACTGGTCCTTTAATTGGGTGTAATGAGACGGTGAGTTTGTGGATATCTGAACATTTCTTTTTCGGATTAGAAAGACGAATTATCAAGTTGTTATGAATGACGGTAGTGAGGAATAGTAATTTTTTTATTTACTATTATTACGTTTATCCGCGTTCAACGTTAAACTTTTTACATTGTTTGGAGTAGCTTTTGTTTCATTATTTTCAATTTAATATAAACATTTAATTGCTTAAAAATGAAAATTTCCAAATACACTATCAAGTGTTACAAAAAGTTTATTAGAAAGCTTATAACATTTTAAATTGAAAAATCTGAGTTTATTCTTACTTTTATTTTGAAAAAACAGACTATTCACAAAAGCGTAGAGCTTCCATTTAAAGCAAATGTAACGTTGTAAGCGAACTAGTTTTCAATTGACAAGAAAATCTTTCTCGGCAATTTTCGTTTTAAACATTCGAATGAAATAAAAATGTCGAACAAACGAAAAGCGAAATCTTGCATCAAAACGATATACCCGATGGCACGTACGCACGATTGTAGTCGCACAAAGGCGTGCCGACGATTGTGCTCATAATTATTTGACACATGAACTATTATGCCCAGTAACATAGCTAATGCTAAAAGTCAAGCCGTACTATTGTGCGCAAGTTTGCAGAATTTATAGTTTATGTGGAAAATAATTATGTGCGCGATCGTCGGTTTTCCCGCACGAGCATATCTACCGTATGTAAACAATTTATTAATAAAAGAAGCCAGGTGCGAGGAGCTGTCATTATGAGGTGGAGCGGGGGCCAATACTCCTATCGACTCACGGCCTTGGCTAAACTTGACCTCGTTGTTATTTCGAGCGCACCGCACTTTCTCGCCCGCCCTGAAGCTCGTAATGCGCCGGAGAGTGAAAGAAACACAAAGAGAGCGAGAGAAAGAGTATGTAAATAAGTACCCCTCTATCTGCGCGCATTGCGAGCGAGATGGCTCCACGGGACGGTGCTTGCAAGAGTTTGCGATAGGTTCTAAGCGTCAAATTATTGGATATCGATCGACGAAGATAATTTAATACACGGTCTTGCTATACGCATGTCATTTTTTTTCGAAGGTGTAGATGGAGTTGCGACAGTTTGTAAGTCCTTATACGACGAAATGCAGATTGTGTAATCGTGACATAGCGAGCGTGTCAAGTTCACGAACAGAATAATGCCCAAAGGAATATCATGATTTTATAAATTTGACCGACGAGTCAGAGTTTCCGTGTTTCCTTTCGAATGGCGTTTTACTTACTAAAATCCACAAGCATCGTACAAACTCCTGACGACAAGCAGTCATGAAAATCTCAGATTGTAGATCGGCAAACACAAGGAAATTCGTCTAATTAAGATGGTCAACGAAAATAGATATGAGATCAATCCTGGACGTATCGTGGCTCGATGCGGAAATCGCCTAAAGCGTTTCCCCGGTGAGCATTGATTGCTTTCGGAAATTCCCGACTTCTACTACGAGTCGACCACAGCGCGCTTTGGCCCGAAACGCATCAATTTTCGTCCGCCAAAGCTTTTGGCTTACTTTTGTCCTCGCATTTCGAAATTTTGTCGTATACTAATGACTGTATTTCTCTATGAAATTTTACAAAGTGCTACCAACGTTGTTGAAGTGGAGCGATTATTTATCACTATGCTTGTTCGCAATAAACGAACAACTATTTTCGACGCGCGCTGCCGCAATCGAAAGAACGAAAGGATTTTAATTGCGGCGGCGGCGAGTTTTCAGTAAAATTTAATAACAATTACGCGATTCGAACCTTGAAATTCCTTGGCCGACTTTAACGAGCACTTAAAACGAGGCTATAAAATACGTGTGTTAGCAGTACGTGTACCTCGAAAAAAATTTAAGCTTTTTCGTTAAGCGGGATAAGTTGTATGCACAAGAATTTTCGTCCCACCTGAGCTTGACGGGAGAGAGTGAAAAAAAAAAAAAAACGAGCGGCGAACGTCACTCTCTGATGCAACTGCGTAGCGTCGGGACGTCGCTCGGTCGATGCCAAGGCCAAGGTCGAGCACTCACTGACGCGTTCGCTTGCAAGCGCCGAGCAACGAAGAGGAGCAAAGAGAATCGAACTCGAGGAGCTTTTGGCTTTCTTGGCACGCTACCGGAGCTTCCGCGTCGGATGCTTTCTCGATATGATGAACTTTATTGCAATGAGCCGTTTGCCAGATTTTCTCGCACTTTTTTTGTTTATTTTCGCGGCTCGCGCTAGGATCAGTTTGTAAACTCTCGGGGCACTTTTGACGTGACGCTTCGTTTCAGATGGCTTATTAGTTGCCGGAAAGTTTCCGGAAAACGTTTTCATTGATAGATGAAGACAGATTCTTTTCGTAAAAGCAATTCATTTACTTACTCATACAGTAAGTTTCATACACGCCAGAATGTTAATTCCACAGATGTAATTATTATTTTTTAACAATAAAATATTCGGTTTCATCGACTATTTACATATTTATAATACGTAGAAAAATGCAAAAAAAATCCATCAACGATTTAACAACACACTAACAGTTATTTCGCTTTCTTTCCTTTGGGCACCGATCGCTTTCCTCTTGAAGGTTTGCCACCGCGACTCTTCTTTCCACGACCCTTCGTTTTTTCCTTGGCTTTCTGTGCTCTTAAATCCTTTTTCATTCGTGGATCTACGATCTTGTATCGACCTTTCACACCAGCAGGTCGTGCTGATCGCTTTTGTGCCATGTGTTTCTTTGCAACCACATATGTCACCTCTTTCTTAGGCTCTTTCGTCGCCTTTTTGTACAACCTGTAACGAAATAAATTGCATTCGCATATATAATTCATATTGCTAGTAGTTCTAGGTACAAATTATGAATACATACGCTTTAACTTGTCTAGCTTTTTCTCTATCACTAATCTCGGTATTGTCCATTACCGCCTCTACCTTCTTCTTTGCTCGTTCAAGTTTACGAAGTGCACGTTGCTTCTTTCTCGCCTTTGCTTCCATTACCTTCTTGATAGGTCTGACATTTATATCTTGTACTCGTTTTTTATAATCGTCTACCAATTCCTTCGGTACCGGAACATCTTTCTTCATGTGCTTTTTCTCATCCTCGACAAACCAATCTGGCAGATTATTATCGTTGAAGGCGTATCTATTCCATGCTCCATCAACTATATCTCTGCGTAATTTTTTACTTTGGATTAACATGGATCCAAGAGCCAGGTCTCCTTCTGTCAACTTTCGTTTCCCTTTTAACTTGGTCGCTAAAAATATAAAATTTTGAAAAATTAATAGAATTTTTATATTTGTATTCATAAATATAAATCACTCAGTTAAGTTTCAAAGCTTACGTTTGTCGGCAGATACCACTTCAAATCCATCTTTGCCTCCAATTTTTTTTGCTTTTTTCTCTGGCCTCATAACTTCATTTACGTTGTAATCTGAATCATAATCAGAATCTTTATCATCATTGTCTTCTGTACCACTGTCGTCATTGTCATCATCTTCCTTATTTTTAGTTTTCCTTTTTTTTGTGACTTTATCGTTATCGCCAATAATTATACCACCTTTCTTCTTATGTACTTCAATCATTTTATCTATTTCAATGTTGTCTAGTCTTTCATCTTCTATATCTTTGAATATATCTCTATCGAAAAATAATTCTGCTTTTGCTAATTTCTTCGATTTCTTATCTCTATGATCCAAATCCGTTATTAATGGGTTTTTCTCATCATCATCATCATCATCATCTTCATCATCAGCTTCTTTCACATCTTTGAAACTAACTCTTTTTGTAGATTTCGTTGGCTTTTCATCTTCATCCTCTCCAGCATCACTCAATGCTAAGCCAGACTTAACACTTTCATTGTCATCTTCAGATTCAAATTCTAATTCACTATCCTCATTTTTATAAAAAAGGCCTTTGCTGTCTAAATGACCATTGTCCTTTTCATATCTTACAACTTTTGGTTTTATCAGGTCCTCTTCTTCATCACTTTCAGCAACAATATCTGGACTTTGATCTGTTATTCGCTGCAAATCCTTAATATTTTTGATTTGTTTTAAGCTGAACATATCGTCAGATTCTAATGTTGGTCCTTCATCTCCTTTATTGATCATTTTAAGATTTAATTTCTGATGTATTTTTTGTTTTTCCTTATTTTCACGTTTCTTTTTTCTTTTTAATTCCCGAATCTCTTCTTGTTTCAACTTTTTAATTTCCTCTTCAATTTGCTCATCCTCTAAATCTTCTTGTTCTTCTAAAGACAATGGTTTTTCGTTAACTTTTTCCTCTGACTCTCCTTTTTTCTCATCCTTATTACAAAATTCATCTTTTAACACCTTCCACCAATTCATAAGTAAGCGGAAGTCCTTTTTACCTAAAACTTTGATATCTTTGCAACACTCAATAACTTCTTTGGTGGTCTTTTTATGATTTAGCACTCTGTCATCATCAATAACAATTTCAGATGCATTTTGTAAACCCTCTACAGCACTTTCACTAGCTATAAAATCTTTAACTGATACTTTATGATATAATGTATAATCATTCTCTGGATAACCTAATGCTTTAGCTTTCTTTTGTTTTTCAGGGTTATAGACATTGAGTTTGTATTGTGGCTCCAAATCAATTTCAGCAAATACATGTTTTGGATCCAAAAATTTAGGATCCACTTTACTAGGAGCAATATAATTCTTACAAACTACAAAAATTTCAGCAGATTCATCGCGAGATGCATGAGGTTTTGTTGCGTGTACCTGGAATTCAAGATCAATATTATTTATACAACTTTAAATACAACTTTCAATTTAAATGTTACATTTACTCAATATTAAATATATGCATACCTTCTTGAACAACTGTTTAAAAACCCAAATTAATGGACTATAATCTTTGGATCTAAAAACTTTTGTTATAAACCAGCCTCCACGTCTCAAAAATTGTGTTGCTAACTTCAAAGCTGAAAGTGTCAAAGTAGCTTGTTGATACGCATCCAGTAACCAGTTTTGACCAACATTAGGAGCACCATCATTGAGTACAACATCTGCTTTCCAAGTTTTTAATTCCCTACTAAGATCTACTCTACATTTGTCTGTTGTGATGTCTCCTATGAAGCTAATACATCCTGGAACTGGTTTGATAGGATATAAATCCACACCAACAATTATAGAAGAAACAGGCATATTTTCATGGGCTACTTGCATCCATCCTCCTGGAGCTGCACAAAGGTCGATACATACTCTTGACTTTTGAAGGAACTCAAATTTCCGATTCAACTGAATCAACTTGAAAGCAGCACGAGACCTGTAGCCTAGATTATAAATAAATGATTAATAAAAAGTAAAATAAACAGAATAATTAAACAAGACATTAGATTAAAGTATTATTGGTTTTGACAGTTATCAATACTTACCAGTTTCTTTGGCAAGGTGATAATACTTATCTCGCCTCTGCTTTCCAATTTTGGTTTTCTTTCCCATTTTTGTATAACTAAATTCTTATTAACAATTATAAAATAAAATTATTTACACTGTCAACTTCGGCAGAGTACAAACACGTGTAGCAGCACACGTATAAAAGGTTATGTTTGGCTCTGTGTCCAATATCGCCGCCTATTAGAAACTATTTCAACCTCCAAAAAATCTAGGAAGTTATTTAGTTATTTTTCTGGCACATATTTGGTTTTTTTATTGCTAAAAAGTCACTATAAATACATTATTTTTATTTTTATATTATAAAGATCGCTTCTAAATTAAAAATAAATTTCATGTCATGCATTAACTTTGAATAGATGAACATGAAAGAAGGGAGTCTCCCCTACAGTCCTTTGATTTATATAGATAGTCGACAAAGTCAATAAAAAAGGGTGTCACGCAACTCGCAACAAGTTACGCGACTTTTTAGGGTCCCGCTATAGCGACAGCTTTTGGAAGGACTATTCTTAGGTTCTCAAAAAAATTAAAGAATGTTAGTAAAAATTTAATTGAAATACGGTGCGAGTACGTTGCAAAAATTGTGGCAAAAAGTATGAATGGCGAAATTCTTTGTAAAGAGTAAATTCGATTCGTTGTTAAAATGTTACCAATCAATCGTCCAATCAAATCTTGACAAAATTCAATCTACTACGGAGTAGACGATTTGGTTGGCCGACATTTTTCCACGTTTTTTAGTCGTAACGTTGGCGGTACTAGGTAGAGTAAAATCCAAAATGGCGTTAATCGCTAAAGGGAATAGCCGCAGTAATTTGTTTATTTTCTAAAAATATGTAGAATATCTACTTTTACATGTGCAAATGTGTAGTAAAAATTTACAAAGTTATGTTTTAAATATAATCCACTTATATTGAACATCATTTTCACCGATAGTACGAGTATTTTATATATGCAATATTTGTCAAATATGTTAGTTGCTAATAACATATATTTTATGTTTAGGAGAAGGATTCAATTATTGTTATGAGAATGCTGAAGTGCCGTATTATATGATTACTAGCCTAGTTTCAACAGTTTCAATAAATCAATAAAAAGTATGTCTGCACCACAGTCTGAAGCTCGACCAAGAGGAAGACCACCAAAATTAAAAACTGTTTGTACTTGGTGTGGTGAGACAAAGTTGCCACTGAAATATGTTTTGCCAACGCAACATGGCAAGAAAGAGTTCTGCTGTGAAACTTGCTTGGCAGAATTTCGCAAAGCATATGTCCGAGGAGCTTGTGTACAGTGTGATAACGTCATAAGAGGGACACCAGTTAGACTGGAACAAAAAAATGAACCTCCTAAAGATTTTTGTTCCTCGGTATGTTTAAATAAGAATCAAAGAAAAGAGGCTCAAGAAGATACCAAAAAGGTCAGTGATGAGCAGCCATCGTTAGCAAACTCACCAGTGCCAAACTCTAATAAACAAACAGTAGAATATTCAAATAAGCCAGTAAACGTTAATAATTCTGCCTCAACGTCGAGTGGAACTTTTCAATATGAGACTTATCCAACCTTTGACTGGAATTCATATCTTAAGGAAACCAATAGTATAGCTGCGCCAATCGAGTGTTTCAAACAACATCCTGAACCACCTGTTAATGAATTTCAAATAGGAATGAAACTGGAAGCATTGGATCCACGCAATGTTACATCAACTTGCATTGCCACAGTAGTAGGGATTCATGGGCCCAGACTCAAAATTAGATTAGATGGTTCAGATAACAAAAATGACTTTTGGCGTTTAGTAGATAGTAATGAAATTAATCCAATTGGTCATTGCGAAAAATCTGGTGGCATGTTGCAGCCTCCACTTGGTTTTCGCATGAATGCCTCTGGTTGGCCACAGTTTTTATTAAAGACTTTAAATGGAGCAGAAATGGCACCATCAAAAATTTTCAAACATGAACCTAAAAAACCTCGGAGTAATATGTTTGAAGTTGGACAAAAATTGGAAGCTGTTGATAAGAAAAATCCTCAACTTATATGCACAGCAACGATTGGAGCTGTAAAAGATGACATGATACATATAACTTTTGATGGATGGAAAGGTGCGTTTGATTATTGGTGTAGATATGATTCAAGAGACATTTTTCCTGTAGGATGGTGTTCAAAAAGTGGACATCCATTACAGCCACCTAGACAGAAAACAACAGGACCCAATCGCTTTAAATCTAGAACAAGTAATGTACTCCCAGTTATGGGTTTATCTGGAAGTGGCACTGGAAGAGAACCAGCTGTAGCATTAACAAGTCCAGCAGGTTCAAGTGCACCACCCCAACCGGCAACAGAGCCTGATACCAGTACAACTAGTAGTAAAACAATATCTATTGATAATATTAATTTTTATGTTAATCATAGCTGTTCGTGTGGTCCTTACTTTGACCCAAGAAAAATCAAAGCTTTACCAGCTCAGTTTGGTGGTCAACCTAAGTCAGTCATTAAGGATGTTTTTCAAGCATTTTTAATGGCAGCAATAAGCCCTAGACAAATATTAAGTTTATTTAAACGAGGCGAAGGTGAGAGTATTTCTTTGATAATTGAAAGTAAACCAACTACAGTTATATTACCTGTGTTTATGGAAGAAGATGATGTGTATGTGTATATGAAACGGCAACTAGAAGATTTATGTGCATGTGAGCATATGATATTCAGAAGGAAAGAAGTATGTAAAAAGTGCCCCGTTGAGCAACAAAATCATAATGTCAGAGAAGAACTGACTAACGGAACGGGAGAGAAAAGAAAGTGGTCTACTGATAAACAGGAGAGTACAGCAAGCATACAACAAACACAAGTACAAAAAACTACCGAGCCAACTGCAAGTCATCACACTGTATCTGAAGTTCCACCGGCAAAACAACAGAAGAAAGCTGAAACAGAGTTTCAAGCAGCGACTTCTACTACACAAAATGAGAATCCTATACAGCGAGTTCAGACAATAGAACCTGCTGAATGGACAATCGAAGATGTGATACAATACATAGCAATGACAGATCCAGCATTAGAACTACATGCTGATCTTTTCAGAAAACATGAAATTGATGGGAAGGCCTTGTTACTTTTAAATTCTGATATGATGATGAAGTACATGGGATTAAAACTTGGTCCAGCACTGAAAATCTGTAATTTGGTTACTCGTATCAAGGGTAGACGGCATTTTTCACTGTGATTATTTTATTCGCACAAAAAGCTGTAAATTTACATGCATCCGCATAGTTCTATGCATAGTACCATAATTTGTTTATTTTATTTGTTAAATTGTACCTATGTACCTCAGAGAAACATTTACAGTAAAAGTGACGACTACATATTAACGTTTTTTACGTGCTTAACAATAATTAAAAATATAAGCTTTATACTGTAGGTTTGTTATCAAATCTCGTAGGCAGAAAATTACGCCTAAATTATTATAAATTTCAAATCAGTTTTTGAATATTACATCTCGATAATATTCATGAAATGAAACTAATTGTCGAAGTAGATGTTAAACAAATAACTGAGATGTGATTTTCAATTTGTTTTACTGTATATGTTTCTTATTCTTATTAAAAATAGTTTTTAAAGTTATTGAATATAGTTCACTAACTTTCAAAACTCATTACAACTTAAATTTGTATATAAAGATCGTATACTTGTAAAATTCATTCAATTTTTTTTATTATTAGAACATATTGAAATGAATAATCTCAATGATTGAAAAACCGTGGAAATAGATGACACCGATTTTCACGTAATTTTCAAATTAAAAAGCAAAAAACAGAACGAATTCAAATTGAAATAAAAGTAAAAAGTAAACCACAATTGGTTTTTGCAAACAGTTGATTGTGAGCCTAACTTTGGGAATGGAAAAAAATGTAGTAATGATACATTACTCAGTCTCACTCCAAAGAAGTTTCGATTGTGTTGATAATATTTCAATTTTTTTAAAAGACAATAGCCAATAGCCATGAGAGAAACCACATGATATTTAATGCAGTAAGAATTAGAATAGAAATTTTTTATAGCTGAAATTTTTCAATTTTAAAGAAAGTTATTTATTGTTTTTTATTTGAAATGATTGCAGTTTGCTATATGCATGTTCTAATCTTACTTTGTAAAAATATCAACTGTGATTCTTAAAATTTTAAGATGGCTCAGGAGATTGGCTGAAAAAATCTTGTAATTATTGTAAAATGATGTGACATGATTAAAAATTAATCATTTACTAATTTAGAGGAAAGGTAATGTTAAATGAACATTATTTTGTGCGTTGTATACTAAGTTAGATTTAATGAACTTTGTCTATTTACTTTGTTTAATCTGTAGTATAGATATAAAATGTCGACTTCTATAAAACAAAAAAAGTTAAAAAAAAAATAGTTGTGAAACAGCTTCCCCTTGAGTTCTGTCTACCACAAATATTAAAAATAAAAGCCTAAAAAATTTATTCACGTGAATATCGTACTATCATGCGTAATAAATTCCATTTGTAATAAATGATTATCGTATAATTTATTACATCAAAACCCTATAAACACGAGCCTTGCATAACTTTGTTTCATTTTTTTTTATTTTTAAAGTATTAATGATCGAATACCATTCTATTATTATAGAGCTTTTATTATCATTGAATTAATTAATTTTTTATGTAATTCACAAATGCTACGCTAAAAATTTTCAGATTAATAAAGTGTTATACAAAAATAATGGTATAAATGATGAGTTTAAACGAACGAAAAGGAAGCGCCACTTCACCTTTCGTCTCGCGGTCTCGGGCATTTCGCTGGAACGATGGAAGCGCCAAAGCCAAGCAGAACAAGCTTCCCAGATAACACAGGGGGCCTATTCTGAAAAAAAATTTTGTGGTAAATCAGTTTGTCACTTCAGTTTACCACAGAATTAATCACTTTAGATGTGATAAATGCTTATGACATGTGCTAAAATTTTTTTTCAGAATAGGCCCCGTGCTAACATTTTTTTTCAGAATAGGCCCCCAGCGTGCTGTCATAATGCAAGCATAGTGCGAGCACGAAAAGCTACGCAAGCCATGCCGTCAGAATGCAGGCATAATGCTGTCATTTTGCCGCCCCGCGAAATATAATTTCAAATGAAAGCATATTGTACGCATTATGAAAGTACGGCGTGCATTGAATTGAAATAAAATAAATTTATATTATTTTGTATTTGAGATGCAATAAACATTTTTTAGCAGTAATTTTAGATATTTTTTATTTATTTATACAATAAATTAATTATACATATTAAGATATCTTAAAATTTATATACGCACATATGCATGCGCATGATCCAGATCGTCTTTTGTTAATATCGGTTATTCGATTTGCGAAGTCCGCCCTTGTGTTGCGTGTGCTGCAGCGAAATTCTGATTCCAGTTCTCTTCAATATAATTATTAGTGCCTGCTAGTGAAATAATTATTAGCAAAATAAAAATTGATAATATTGGACAAAGAAATGATCGTTGTGCTACTGGTTGCTGGAATTGGTGAAGATATTTTCAAGGTGAGTTCATTTTTATTATAATATAATTATTATTTATTTAATTTAAATGTCATTATTTAATATTGTAGGAAATACTAGTATTTAATAGTAATGAAACTAGTATGAACTGTAAAAGATATCTTACCGATGCTTAATTCATGAGAATATAATTTAATATAATCTAATTTCATTGCAAGACCATGTCATGAAATTAACATTCTCATGATTTCAACATCGAATAAAATCTCTTTTATATTTTCATATCAGTTTTTCATATAAGTAGCAAAAGTTTGGAAATAAACACCATTTCCGCAACATTGCGACTGCAATGTTGAAAATTTTCAGTTTTTGACATTTGCAAATAATACAAAACAGCTTTCCATGAGGCTCGTGCGGGAGTATGATTAAAAATCATGGGAATATGATTTTGAAAAAAAATAATTAAATAAATGAAATGAATGTTTTAATAATTTGTAAAATATATTGTCATTATTAATCATTGTAGGTGATATCTTGATTACTATGAAAAACACAAATTATTTTTGCGGTTGTAAATTTTTATTTACAAATAACAGGCAACGTCATCTTTGTAAACATAAATAAAAATTATTCATTTGCTCTTTCGCCCGTCTTAATAATATACTAATGATACTAAACTAGGACGATGTACTTCGAAATTCAAGGCTCATATGCATATCAGTACGTTTGCAGCTGCGTCCATGAACAACAGATAATTGATATTTGTATTACTTTTGTGGATGTATAAAACCATTTCAAGATATTCAATTGTTATATCGTGGCTCAAAAGGCTTCTAACAATTTTATGCTGCAATGTCAGCAATTTATTGAAAGGAACTGCTATTATCTATCATCTTTCATAAATGATAGTTAGAGTTGACTACTACTGGGGTAATGTTTGCTTATATAAAAATATTAGATAATTAAAATATCGCTATCTAATGAAAATAAGGAAGAAAACAAAAGTTAAATTAAAATTTAATTCAAAAATGTATTTATTTTGAATGTTATTTTCGGGTAATTTCATAAATTAATGGTATTTAAATGTTTTATAAGAAGCTTTCCATAACTGATAACACTTTTAAATACAACACCTCCTTAGCATTATTCGCCCATATAAAATCAGTATGACTAAACAACGGATCTGGTATTCTGTAGCTCAAAACTTTCTTTGGTAATAAATCATATACAGTTTTGACATCCTATAAGGAATAACACTTTCTACACTGTGCAAAAGTTGTACAAGTTAATTAATGCAAAATTATTTACTTACTCTGGGGTGTACTAGTAAATCATTATCAGACCAAAATAAACCGACTGGTATGTTGACCTTCGTGAGGTCGTATTCAGGTGGTTCAGAGCTGTTGTATTTAATTTTATTACCAACCGCTTTGTAATTGTACTTTTGAAATTTTTTAAATTTGGAAAATTGGTAAAAGTGTAAAACAGTCTTCGCAGAAGTTCCAGCGGGAGTGTGGCTGAAAATTAGAGGAATAAGATTCTACAAAAAAAGATAAGATATATATTACTTATCCGACGTAATAATTTTTTTTTATTATTTATAAAACTGAGTACTGACCAAATCAAATTGAGCTAGGTTACGACCGCAAATTGTGAAAAACAATTGTAAACACAGATTGTTTTCTGATAAGGCGTTGCAGTAATATCTTATAAAAGTTCTTGTCAAAAAACTTTGTGGTAACAATTCAAAAAGTTTTAATTTACTAATAAGTTTCTGTAAATTTTTAAATAATTATCAATTCTAATCAATCTATACATTAATTTGTATGTTATACCTCGAAGTCAAATGGTCCATCTAATATTACATGTAACGGAGATGTCCAGAATTTCCAAAGAATTGCTGGACCAAAGCAAAATAAAGCTTTGATTTTTTTAGCCATATCTGGTCTTTCGATAGCCATAATATGTGACATTGTTGTTCCCATTGAATGTCCGACGTAAAATATACTGTCGTTTTTCAAACTCGTAATGTACGTTATAATGGCAGGCAAATCGTAAATTCCCATCTCGTGAAAACTAAATTCATAGTAAATTCAACTTTAATATATATTTATGAATTATACAATTACTTGCCTGAAATTCCAGAATCTAGGGTTCGATGGATTAAGCCTTACGTGACGCCTGGAATATGTATTACCTCGTGCATTGCCAATCCAAACATCATATCCGCGATCAGCTAAGATGAATGCTATTTGAATAAGAAAGAAAAATGAGCTTAATTTTTGAATTTCAAAAGATAATATAATTCTAAACTTTCACAAGGAATTAGATTACCGAAAGACTTGTTCTTTCCCATAACAATCCAATCGAAAGAATTCGAAAACAGTCCGTGCTGTAGAAATATTGCGGGAGCACCTAATTTTCCAGGTATTCGGTGCATAGTTAATATGTAGCCATCTTCGGTAATTACAGTATGTTCTTCTGCTTTATAACCTTCTTCACGAATTTTATCAGACTTAAATAAAGGTATATCACAATCAAAAATATTTAAAAATACTATTTTTTTATATGCATATTTTCATTTAAAACAATAGATTTCCGGAAAGCAAAATCCATTGTAACTAATCTTACCGGTGTCATTTTAAATAACTGCGACGACAATGGTTTCTCACAAGCAATATTTGCAATAAAAAATATATGTAAAATAACAAACTTAGAAAAGTTATGAATCATTTTGTAACACCGTGTTAATTGTAATCTTTTATTTGAAATGGTTGCTTCACAAATTTCCGCACGCCTTGATCTTGTAACTATTATAGTATAAGAGATCTTTTCTGTATAGTTAACAAGAACATACTATTGATGGCACACGTGTAGTCAGATGTTTTAACCATATAGTTTCATCGCACTTGACTTTTTGCTAATCAGGTATCAAATATCCTTTATAAAATCATAGTCATACACAAGGTTCACACTCATTTTTAATTGAATGAAGCAATATATCTTACATTCAGTATCATTTACAAATCACTTTTATGTATTTAGCAATGCTATTTTCTAATTTTAAATAATGTGACTATTCGATTTATTCTTGAACGTTGATTTAAAGTCATTGTAAGCACTAACGTGTCATTTGATTTTTTTCCTCATCGTAAATTTTTATTAACCCATTAAGGCCCAGGCCAAACCTGGGAAAGATAGCGCCAAACTAACTATGCCAATCGTAGCTAAATCGTAAAAAAAAATACCCGTGTTTTTTCTTTTGCCATTTTCAATTGTTTATAAAAAATTATTTAAACAAATTATCAAAAAGTTATTATTTTCAAAAAACTGATAGCGGCAATCGATTCTACGGGAAAAAACATGAAAGAAATGTATATAACGTTTTTTTGTCAGACGTCAATTTGTTTAAGAAAATAGGACAGAAAGCTTTGAATTTTCACAAATTGTACATTTGGAAATTTGACTAACATAGTAATTGTTGGGTTACGAAGTTGCAAAGAGTTTGCAAAATTTTTTTTCTATTGAAACCGTGTTAGAGATCACGTTTGAGTGGCGGGCTAACGGTTTTATGTAATATTATGGATTCAGTCTTCATTACAAAAGTTTTTAGTATATTTGGACATTTCTAGTACATTTATTTTACAGTTATTTGTTTTTGGAACAAATTGACATTTGACAAAAAAACGTTATATACATTTCTTTCATGTTTTTTCCCGTAGAATCGATTGCCGCTATCAGTTTTTAAAAAATAATACCTTTTTGATAATTTGTTTAAATAATTTCTTATAAACAATTGCAAACGGCAAAAGAAAAAACAGGGGTATTTTTTTTTCGATTTAGCTACGATTGGCATAGTTAGTTTGGCGCTATCGGCAATAGATTTTGCTTGGGATTTGGCGTATACACATGTACCTGACAGACTTGCAATTGTTTATAGCCGTTTTACACTAACAAATTGACGTCTGACAAAAAAACGTTATATACATTTCTTTCATGTTTTTTCCCGAAGAATCGATTTCCGCTATCAGTTTTTTGAAAATAATAACTTTTTGATAATTTGTTTAAATAATTTTTTATAAACAATTGAAAATGGCAAAAGAAAAAACACGGGTATTTTTTTTTTTCGATTTAGCTACGATTGGCATAGTTATTTTGGCGCTATCTTTCCCAGGTTTGGCATGGGCCTTAACGGGTTAATCGATCATCAATGAAATTAAGATTTTTTAATTATTATTATTTATATTGCTAGATATACTTTGTTTCCTTGTTACAATCTTCAAGACGGGTGCTGAGATCAATGCAACAACGTCCATGTAGACTTTTTCTCATATTAACTTTAATCACATGCGTGATTAAAGCAAAAAGAGGGAGATAACTCGAACTTCATCGAAATAAGACGAAAACATAAAAGCTCGAAGCTTTCTGAAACTTCTCGAATAATAAAACTTCTAAGTATGCAATCCTTATTACAGAAAATAGATGCATTATAAACGAATGTATAATGGCGAGAGTCAAAGATCTACTCTGCTCAACTAACGAAAATTCCTAATATTTATTATTGTCTAACAGTAAACACAATTTTCGAATCTTTTATCGAACTATGCATGAATATTTCATTTTGTTGTTTATCCTGCTTTTTTACTGGCTTAATTGTAGTTTAGCTGAATAAAACAGTAATAATCACGGTATAAATCAGTTTTTATTGGCAATAAGAAGAAGGCGATTGCAAATGAACAAACTGTTTACATAAATAGCGTTCTTTCAATGAGATGTTACGTGTATACACCACCAATGATGCGGCATCGACTTCTCACATAAAATCCACCTGAGAAAACGATGGAGATTGTATTCTGTAGCTCAAAGCTTTTCTTAGTATAGTACTGTAAAAAGTAAAAGTACATTTTCGAATAACATTTTACAAAATCTCAGTTAAATTTATAATACGTTTAAATATGTATCTTTCCAATTATTTAATTATATAATTAAAAATAGCGGTGCTTCAGTCTATTAAGACGTCGAATACAAGTTTGAACAATCGTCATACCTGTGTTGTTATGATTAAAGCTTGCAAGACAGTTATGAATTACAATCATTATTTTTACTTCTTTAAGACAGTTTCGTTTTTGTGAAAACTTTCGTGGCTGATTTTTGATGCATAAGGTATGAAGAAAAATTCAAAAGGTAGAACGTTTCTTTATGTCCATTCACATACATGAATGTGTGTGCGTACACGTTTACGTGTGCATATTTGTATCCATGTGTTATCTGTCAATTACGACGCTGTTTGCATAAATATCTCCAAATTATTTGTAAGTTCTTGCAAATTAATATAATGATTTATTTCGTAAAAAATTACTAAGGACCATTTTTAGATTAAACCAAGTATTCAAATAGTAAATCAATTTTTTGTCCTGCTGTTTTTATCAATTTCCTTCCACAAAGTTACCTAGATAAGAACGATTTTATATATTTTTTAATACCATTTACGAGGTCGTCATAAATTGTCTTTATTATTATAACAAAAATTGTTAGTTTCATATATGTTCACGTCACTTTGTAAAAAATTTACTATTTCTGCATAATTTCAATCAAAATTTTTGAAATATCTTTGACGGACCAAATGTATTTACATTTCTCAAAAATCACTTGTATAAAAAAACTCCATACTTACTATTACTACTTTTATTAAAACAAATCGGTAAATTACTTATAATTTTAGAACAACGATTTCTTATTGCAAATAATTTTGAAATTTTATAGTTCCTAATTGCACAATCACTAGTTTTTCATGGTCAATAAAAGTTATAAGTAAAACAATGTTGCCGCGTCTATTGTCCACAACTATGAAAATTGTTGAAAATGAATGATAAATCATACTTGGAACGTTCAAGACTTTGTTGTATGTGACTTGGTTACCAATCGGTCCATAATCTATCAATTTCATCTGGGCGCAAAAAGTAACACACTGTTTTCACAAATATTCCTACTGGTATATAAGTATTATAGGAGTAAAAGAGTCTAACTGATTGTAATCTGATAAATGCCATAGATGCCTATTCAAAAAGTATCATATTATATTTTAAATATACAAACGCAATTCAGATGGAAACTTTTTATTGATATACGTTCTTTACATTGTACATTACATTAATTGTAAGAAATAATAAAAATTTGATATAATCGTAAAACAATGCACGATTCAATTATAAGTTACTTTCTTTTGATTATAATTGTTATCGATCAACTCTACTTCAACAAATTAGACTTTTATTTACAGAACTACACTATGTAAATATATGCGTATCTCTCAGCAATAAGTTAATACATAAAAATGATTCGATGTTTAATTTAGTTCTCTTCAGTCCAAAACATCTACGTTGATTTTTGTACAGATAAATTGTCATTTTAAAACGGAAATCTCATGTCTCGATGAATTTCCATAAACGATAGTAACTTCGAATAAAGAAGTTTTGGCGCATCTGTGGCCCACATATAATCAATATGACCAAATTCTATATTTTTTACTCTATAATTAAGAACTTTTCGTGGAATGGACTCATAGAACCTTTTCACATCCTGCAATTTATTATAAATATTTATAATTTTAAATAACACGCAATTAAATTGATAAATAACTTTCGTGAGTATTAACGGTATTCAACATAATAAAGAATTAATTTACCAAAGGATGCGAAAAATAATCGTTATCTGACCAGAAGATCCCAATGGGCACTTGAATTTTTGATAGATCATACTCTGGTGGCTCTGTACTATTATAAATTAGCATATTTTGCTCTGCCCCATAGTTATAGTACTGAAATCTTCCAGAGTCATGGTTTTGAAGGTAGTGATAAAAAGATTTCATAGACGTTCCCGCAGGAGTATGACTCAATATAATTGGCAAAAGTGTCTGTAGAATGTTATTCATTTCGTTTATTGAAATAATTAATTTTATCCGATAAAGCATTATCATTTGAGTATCTTCTTATACAATCAGTCAAAAGTAATAACCGGACATTATTCACTGTTCGATCGACTATGTTGATATGTTGAAAACCTTGCAAAAATTACTTCGTTTCTAATAATATCATTCCAATGATATCGCGAATTTTTGTAGTTGGTCTCATAATTTGTGATTATTTAAGAAGAAAAAATATATAAATATTTTTACAATTACATTGATCAGATTCATATTCCAAGAAACTGGTAAAATGTACTTACGTCATTGAATTGTTGAGAGCTGCGACCACACAGAGTGTAAATAAATTCAAGACAAAGATTACTTTTGTTCAACTTAATGGTGCATATATATTTATTGACTAATCTCGTAAAGTAACTTTGAGGTAGTAGTTGATTTATTCCAAGAAATTGATTAAAGGACTAGAAGTTAAAAGAAATAAATCCACTATTTTACACGAAAGGAATTCAGATGGATGTTCAGAAAGCTCACCTCCATATTGTAAACAGAAGAAGCCAGATATCTTATAGGAGTTTGAATATTAGTCGTAAATGCTACAGGAGCAAAGCTGAACATGGCTTTTATTTTAAGTGCAATATCAGGTCTCTGAATAGCCATGACGTAAAACATTGTCGTCCCCATTGAATGACCGATGTAAGTTATCGAATCGTTCTTCAAATTTGCAATGTACGTCAATTCAGCTGGTAAATCGTATAAACCCATCTCATGCCAACTGAAAAGAATTATTAAAAAATGTATGCTTTCCACGGATAAGATTGAAATACCACAGTATCTGACTAAGGCAGGAATGTAAATTCTGGTTTCGTATGAGGTTTACGTCCATGCAAAGCGAGAGTAGAAAGGCACACGAGAGAAGAATCTCTTCCCTGGACATGTTAGGTACGGTATTTTTCAAAACAACAGTCAGCGCGAATTTAAGCGTATGTCTTTCTCCGAGTATGCGGCAAAGTCGTACTTTAAGCCCTCGGCGTATCAAAATAATATTAAATTTTTACCTGAAATCCCAAAAACGAGGATCCGACGAATCGAGGCTAATATGATGTTTCGAATAAGTATTTCCTCTTGCATTTCCCAACCACACGTCATAGCCATAATCAGCTAAGATAAAGGCTTAAACAAACATATAAATCATGTACCGTCTCATATACTTTTCCTAGCATCTTCATACTAACTAAATATTGAATTACCAAGCCCTTTTTCTCTGCCACTAATGACCCAATCAAACGAATTGGACAGCATTCCATGTTGTATAAAAACAGTTGGATCTCCTGACTTTCCGGGGATTCGGTGCATCGTCAAAAAATATCCGTCTTCCGTCAAAACAGTATGCTCTTCAACTGGGTAACCTTCTTTTCTTATCATTTCTGGCTGCAAATAAGAAATATCAACGAAATGGTAGTCTATCACATATCATAGGTGTTAGCTTACTGTAGTTATATCCAAATCGAAACTTGTACTTTCTGAAAAATCATAGTACAGGGGTAAAGCACTCATCAGTGCCATAGCAACACAAGTTGAGGTTAAAGCCTTCATGTTTGCAATGAATATACAGTTAAGGTTTTATTAGCAGACTGAGACAAATAATTAATTTTGCATGATAGCTCTGAATAATTGTTATCTGCCTCTGACCCTGTACTAGACGATTTATCACAATTGTTATCAACTTTTTTTCGGGATATGCGTCTTGCAATGAGATAAATGACTTTAAGTAATCTTACTGTAATATCTTGCGATTATTATAGGATTTGCATTTTAAATATTATCGATGAGTGGCATTTGACACAGAAATCAATTGATCTGTATTGAATATTATCATTCAAATATTGATATCTTTTTCCAATGTTTTTATATTTCTTTAATAACTGTCAATGAATTGGAAGAATTTTATTTTCGCATGCTATATCGTTCAATTTGTTTTTATGAAGCCATTACTTCTAGGTCGATGATGCTTCGACATAACATCTTGCACGGCTTATCCTTAGTTTGCACGTATTACGCGCTACTAACTTGAGTGTCAAAATAAGTGAAAATTGGTCGTCTTTCTTAGACTGAAAAAGTCTAATGGGAAATGTAACTTGTGACATATTGCATATGCGTGATTTAATGCTGTTATATAATTCCTCATTTTTCTTGGCATCGTGGTAATAATGTTGAAATCTTTGAGAATGAAGTACTTGAAAGTAATGATTGGAACTTTTTATTGGCATGTCTGCCGTGATGTATGAAAGTATTTTGGCTACAGATATGTATCTAGAAATAATTAACTAAAATCGTAAATTGAAAAGCGTAAAATAAATTTATAATAAAACGCTTTTACAGAACCCAGCTTAATTACTTGCAAAATCAAAATGCCGATGATTCAAACTAATGATAAGTGATAAAATTCTAGCTCGGATTTTTTTCCACAACACTGTTAAGCACACGTACCACGAAATACTGTTCCGAGGAAACTAGATTTTTAATTGAGACTAAATATTTAATAAAGCGTTCTAAACTAAACAATGTTCACAATTGACTGATAATTTATTGAATTATAAGCTAACAAGTATTTCTAACGTATTCGGTCTACATTATTCGATTGACTAATTTATTTATCGAAATAAAATCTTATTATTTGTTGGTGCTCTTTAAAAATAATTTTATGAAGTCTCATCAAACACACTCACATGAATTGAAGAGAAAGAGAACCAATATAATACAGATTTCTTTTTGGGTTATTAAATTACACAAGTACTTAGCCATAATTTTTAAAGTTTAACCAAATTTATCTATCCCTGTAAGTTTTATATACAGCTACAAATAGATAAAATGTATCAGTACGTGGGAAACCTTTATTCTTGACGAATAAAAAGTTCAATAAACCTTGATATCATTCGTAGCGGGCTGGTTCCATAATCAACATAAGCCACTGGAGATAAAGCAAACGTCACCTTCGCTTTCAAGGCAATATAAGTTTTTTCGCTGATCGTCACGAAAAATGCAGTTGTACCCATGACATGTCCAATGTATATTATTTTTTGGTCTGTTATTTTTGTGACATATATAATCATAGCTTACAAATCGTAGATACCCATCTCATGCTAATTACAAAGTAAATTACAAAAAATAGCGTTGAAAATCTATTTAATTATTTAAAAAATTACTGTAATACTGGTTACCTAAAATCTAAAAATTCGAAAATAGTAATTTCATATTTAGTAAAGCAACGTGAGTTTTGCCCCGAAAATTTCCCAGCGAATTGTCATAGCCGACATCGATTAGTTTGGAGGCTGTAAAAATTATTGAAGATACAGTAAAAACAGGAAAAGAATTAAGATATTTCTAATAATCAAAACCTAACGCATTTTTTTGCCGATTATAAGCTAATCAAAGGAGCTAGTAACAAATCCATGTTGTAGAAAAATTGGTGAGCCCCTAGTTTTCTAGAAATTCTATACAATATCTTCAGTTAGATAACCTTTCAATGCAAATTGCGACTAAGCAATTTTCATTGATTTTAATAAGCGTTCAAACGTCTTTTACATAATCACTCAAGAAATAAAAAAACATTTACTATCGTTATGTTCATTTTCGGATCACGAAATTTCAACGATGCTTTGTAGCCGTTTACATATTCTGAGATTGTTGGGTTCCCCGCTATTTCTCCACTAAAATGCACAGTATCGCAATAGATTTAACTAATTATCACAGCAATCATGATAATATTAAAAATCGTCGAATGTTTTAACATGTTCCTAAACTTCAATAGATTTATAGACCATTTTTTTATTTCATTATTGAATCTACAAAATAAATTTTAATTCTTTAGTTTAACATTTTTCCAACAATAAATTGATCGTCTAATACCAGGGTGAAATTGACTCTGACTGTCTTAATATGTACAAATATTTCGTTGAGCAAATTTATGAATTGTTTAACGGATCGTACGTGCATATAATTTGAACTTTTGTATACTTCGAATCAAACAAACGTGCTTATTTTAAGATTTGCATAAGTCACGCTTATGGATATAAAGAAGTCTGTTTCGTAAATCATAAAAGTATTTTTATTTATATATGAGTGAGAAAGGGATAAATTATTCAAAGAAATATTATCTTTGATTTAAAACATGAACTTTAGAGTAGCTATTAATGAACAAAAATTTTCTGTAACTTAATTAAATGGATTGAAAATTTTGTTACAGTGTTTTTACATTACCAATGATCATATAATGCATATTTCTTTATTCATAAACTTATTTATTAATTTTTTTAAGTAATAAATTATAAGTACGCGTGACATAATTTGTTTTGTGTACAACCATTTTACTACCGCATTATTTTTAGAAATATTTTTCGCATCTTAATATTGGCGCGTGAATAATCAATATTATTGAAATTTGTATATAATAAGCTAGCAGAAGGATCTATTGAAAATTCCAAATTGTACAACGATTGGAGGGACTCCTGGTTCCCCGGGAATTCTGTCTAATATTAAAGTGTAACCGTCATCGGTTACAATTTTTTTTGCGCTGAGGAGAAATTGACTCTGACAGTCGTAATGGGAACAAAATATCAGTAGCCGGTTGTGACTGATTTCAATGCAATGACGTATTTTTTTACCTGATGAGATTTATTAAAGGATCCATTGAGATGATTCAATGTTATTCTGTACATTACTTTCGTTAATCTAATTTAATTATTTATTGATACAACACCTGCGTTCATAAGATATCAGACTCATTTTGTACAGGTTTTTATTTAATTTTTCTTCGAAGATTATTTTATTTAAGTCCTTATTTATAATTTTTGATAGCAGATAACAGTTTTTTGTACACTAACTTTGGTGCATCCATGGCGTATAAATAATCAAGATGATTAAATTTTGTGCTATTGACACGATAATATAGGATCGTATTCGGTAATTGTCCAAATAACCGCATGATATCCTGGAATATAAGAAAATATCATTAGTGCATTGTATCGAAGTATACGATGTCATTGTAGTTTGTGAAATTGAAAAATTTTCGTCATCACTTACTATAGGGTTTGCAAGTAGATCGCTATCAGACCAAATCAGTCCAACTGGAATCGTAATTTTTGAAACACGATAACTTCGAGGCTTAGTGCCGTTGTATAATTTCAAATTTTTCTCCGCACCGTAGTCGTAATGTACAAATTTGCCAGAGTTATATTCTTGAAAATAATGAATTAAAACTTTCAATGAAGTTCCGGCTGGAACGTGATACAAAATATCGGGAAGAAGCGACTAGAAATAACGAGTACTATTTATAGATGGAAAATATAAAGAAACTTCGTGATGAAAAAATGTTTTCGTAATGGCTGATATACGTACGTATTTAAATTGTTGGGGATTGAAGCCAAAAGCAGAGAAAAGTATTCTACTGCAATCTCTTTTTTGTGAAGTTGATGAATTACAGGCAAACTGAAGCGCCCTTTTCAAAGTAGGAGTTTGCGACAGAATTTCAGCTGTTCCATCGGCTTTCGCAAAAACCTACGACATTTCAAATTACTACGCAATCATTAAAAGTCGTCTGTATTCGATTAAACTATACCTCCATCAGTTGAGTATATGGTGCTAGTAGATGCAATGGACTTGTGCTATGATCAATATAAGCAATCGGAGATAAAGCAAACATCACCTTCACCTTTGAAGCCATATCATGTCTTTCACTGGCCATCACGAAAAATGCAGTTGTGCCCATGGAATGTCCGATGTATATTACTTTTTGGCCAGTTCTTTTCTTAACATATGTAATCATTGCTGGCAAATCGTAGATACCCATCTCATGCCAACTACAAACCAAATTACAAAAAATAGGATTTAAATTTTATTTAATTATTTAACAAAATTATATGATCATTGTTACCTAAAATTCCAAAATTCGGAAGTAGAAGTTCCATATTTGGTGTGACAACGCGAGTAAGTATTGCCCCGAAAATTTCCCAACCAAACATCATATCCGGCATTGGCTAGTTTAAAGGCTGCGAGAAAAGTTACGTATAATGAAAAGAGAAAAAACTAATATAATATTTAAAAAAATTATTACCTAAAGCATTTCTTTTGCCGCTTATAAGCCAATCGAAGGAGCTCCCAATGAGTCCATGTTGTAGGAAAACTGGAGCGGCCCCTTGTCTTCCGAAAATTCTATGCAATGTTAAGATGTATCCGTCTTCGGTTTTAATCACATGGTCTTCAGCTAGATAATCTTCCTTCAGCGCATATTGCGACTAGGGAATTTTCATAGGTTTTGTTAAGCGTTCAAACTTTTTTACGTGATCGCTCAAAAAATGAAAAAACTTACTGTAGTCATATACATTTTCGAATTACGAGTTTTCAACGGTGATTTGTAGCCATTTACACATTCCGAGATTGTTCGGTTGTCGGCTATTTTTCCAGAAAAATTCACAATTATGCAATCGACACGACTAATTATCGCACCAATGATAAAAATATTGAAAGTCGCGAAAAATATTAGCAGTCCCATGGTGCTTAGTGGTAGTTACGAATCAAATTGGATTTTATTACTAAAATTATAAACAAGTAGTCGAAATTGGCACAGATTACAGTAATTGTTTCTACATTAAAATAATGTTTTGCACTGATGAGAAATTAATTCCGCCGGTCTTAATGGGAACAAAATATCAGTAGCCGGTTGTGACTGATTCCAATGCAGTGACAAATTTATCAATTGTTTGATACAGGGTACGTGCGCATGTACCTCAATTTTCATATATTTGGACAAACAAACGTGCTCATATTAAATCGTGTACATATAATAATTATAAATAATGCAGCTTCTGATTTGTGGATTTTAAAAATATTCACGCATAAGAGTTTGATTAGAATATAATTAAATGGTAAAATAATGAATTAGAAGATTATTGAATGTAAAGATTTTTATTTAAAATATAAAATCCAAAGTTGCTATTAACAATTTCTTTTAAATCAATGGGATTTATTGAAAATTCTATTTAGTTGGTTCAGTGCTAATATATTTCAATGTTTTGTTAAACTTATTCGTTTATTTATTGATACAATGACTGTATGCATATTATGTAAGACTTATTTTTAATAGTTTTTTTATTGAAGTTTTTGTGCTAAAGATCGCTATTTATTTGAATTCTTATTTATAATTTTGTATACCCTTCAACAATTTTTCATATAGTAACTTTGGAGCGTCGATAGCGTACAAATGCTTAAGATGATTGAAATTCGGGTAATCGAAGCGACTGAAGAGAAATGAGTTTGGTAAATGTTCACGTATTCGTTGTATCTGTTCCTACAAGGTAGTCTTGTAGGAAATAAATAAATAAAAATAAAACTTCAATCATTCTTCTTTGTGTTCAGATACCCCTTTTTCCTTTGATAAATATTCAAATGTCTTTTACGAAATAATAAAAATCACTGTTGATATGTAGTCGTCATTTTTTGAGTTCCCGCGATTTTTTTAATGATATTTACGCTATCGTATGCGGCACTATTTTCAGCAATTCCCACAAAAAAAATAAGAATAAAATATTAGATACATCGTGATTCAATGATTTGCATAATAAATCAAAGTACCACCTTGATAATAATACCTTATCCTTTATCACTAATAGCGAATTATAAAAAGATTTGAAGAATCTATGGTTTTGAAATTTCACCAAAAATAATATTATAGATCGTCAAATCTTACCTAATTGCAGATTTAAAGTATATACCTGTGCGGAATAGTACGTAATATATACATATAATATAAATAAAGTTTGCAAGCTCTAAAGCTCACGCTCTTTTTACCTGTTTCAAATTAAACATCTTTGAAATATAATACAGCTGCAATATTGTAACATTGAAAAAACTGTTTGAAAGTTGCAATCATGTATATTTGGAAAAATCTGTCAATTCATTATTGGCATAAAAAAATTAATAACACACCATTCATGCGTTTGTTTCAGTATCTAAGGTTATGCACGGTACATTAGTAAGGACGGGCTTTGCCGCCAAAAAAAAAACACCGGCAGCACATGGTGAACGTTCTATTTTATTTGATGTCGGTGTTTCTGATATATATTCTTTAGAAGATTTCAAAGAGAAATCTCACATGATCTGACAACTCGTGAGTATTCGATTAATATTATTGCTAGTACCAATGACTTTTTACGATGTTTTTTTTAAAAAACCATTTTCTTGCATACAAATTAAACGGTACAAAGAAAGGCCGGATAACCTATATCTTACTATTTATGTTAATGTTTCGATTTTCAAATTAACGTTTATTTGTCATGACTATATTTATTTTCCATGAATAATTTTTGCTGTTTTTTTTCTACGAAATATAATTTTTATTAATTTAATAGGAAGATTTAGATACGTATTCCTTAGTTACAAAAAACTTTAAAATATTTTTATACCCACCTTTTACTTTTTATTATAGTTTACTATATGTTTCCTATAACGTTACAGATTTCTATTTGTTAGTAGAAAGGTTTAAAATGAATGAATTAACTCTGCCCCCATCACCTAACTGGTACTTAAGTACTATTCTGGCATGTGCCAGCGATGGTACAGTTGCATGGGGATCTAGAAATTCAATAGTCATTGCTAAGTCTGATGATGACAAAAAGCTCAATTATAAAATTATTGATAAAGCTTCTACTGAACGTATAACTTCAGTAGCCTTTGCTCCATTAAAAGAGACGGATAATTATTTGAGTTTAGTTTCAAGTGCTGATGATCACACAGTCAAAGTTTGGAACCTCAGCGATTTAAGCTTGCAAATGAAAAATACACAGTTGGCAGTAAGTGTTTTTATTCTAAATAGCCAAATATTTTATGTAAATAATAATTATTGATATCATTATAGAGCAATCAAAAAGTAATTGGAGTTGACTGGTCAAAACACAATCCAAATCTGATCTGTTTTGTTAGTGAGGATGGAATACTTATAACATGGGATATAAAGTATAATACAACTCAAGAGATTAATCTCACCAAAATTACTGGAAACAAATGGATAGCTACCTGCATTGCTTGCTGTCCACATGATTCAAATCTTGTGTCGATTGGTTCAAAGAGTGGATTAATATGTCTTGTTGATGTAAGAGCAATTGGTAAAACCAACTACAAGTATCATAAACTGAGAGGTCACAATAAGGAAATAGTCAGTTTGTCATGGTGTCCAGTTCCTATCAATGTTTTCCAAGAGGAAGAGACAAAGGAGTTTTTATTAGCATCTGGTGCTAAAGACAGGTATACAAAAAATATATTATATTTAAATTTGTAATATATCAATATAAAATTCTTACTCCATTTTATATTCTACCTACAGAGAAATATATATATGGAAGGCAGGAACAGATTATCGGTACGAGGTTAAATTAACATTTGCAAGTACACCACTGGATTCAAGCCACCATAAAACTAAAGTCAGTAGTTCAGCTGGAAATTTTACTGCAGTTTGTTGGCTAGAACCAACAACTCTTTTGACAAGTTCTCCATGGGGAGAACTTTTGATGTGGGATTTAACTGGATTCAATCCAAATAAAAAATTCACATCAGCATTAGTTCATGCTATTCATACCAAAGGATTGTTTTCAATTGCAGGATTAAACGAAAAATCTATCGATAAAGTTGACACAAATAAAACTCTTGAGGATGACAATTGGAGAATAAAAGATAATATGTAAAAAATATTTGTTATATTATATGAATAATGAAAAATAATTTTAATTTAACAAATGATATCATTTAGTAAAGCAATATGGACAGTCTCCCAAGATCGTCAAGTTATTTGCTCTAGTATTGTTCATGGTGAGACCATTATAGAATACAAAGTCCCAACAATGGGAGGCTTTGTTTATTGCATGTCTGCTTGTTCAGTTGATACATCACAAATAGCTTTTGGAGTTGGTGACAACATGATTCGATTATGGAACCTTTCTGAACCTTATGAAAAGTCCATAGATTTGCAAATTCTATGGGAAAAAATTATGGGAAAAGTGAGAGCTGTGAGTGACATTAGATGTTTTAAACATTGAACTCGCAATAAAATTGTAAATAGACTTTACAGTATTTAATTTTTCAAATTATCAGCTTGCTTGGCATCCAGAAAAAGAAAATTTATTAGCTTTTGCGACAGATGAAGGACGTATTGGCGTATATGATACAAATGTAAAGAAACCTCCAATTTTATATAGATTATATCACAGGTACACTGTCTATAGGATTGGCTGGGGTCCAGCTCCACATTTAAACGAACATGCTTTGTACTCTTGTGCCGATTATGAAGTGGTTTATTATAATCACGGAAAAACTGAAGAGGGTAAATATAAAAAGTTTAGTATATTCTTCAATTAAGTTGTCTAAAGTAAGTGCATGTTATTAACTGATATCAATATAATTTCAGCTCCTAAATCTGTTGTAAAAAAAGACTGTACGGATTTCAGTTGGAAACCAGATTACTCACTCTTAGCTTTAGGTTTTGTAGATGGGTGAGTTATGACATGTTTTTTATTACATTTATTGTTCTTGTTGAATAAATACTTTTATACAAACATATTACAGGTCTATTTCGTTTCTAAAACCTGACTTGTCAGAAACTGGTCTAAAAATTCGCGTATTAACCAAACCTATACAATGTTTTGCTTGGCATCCTGAAAGTACTGCATCAGATATGAATTTTTCTTCAATGAAAAACTATTTAGCAGTGGCTACGACTGATAGTAATATCACAATTTGCGATATTTCTAGCAAACTAGATAATGGAAACGACTCTAATGAACCGTCCTATAGACTTGTTGCAATTTTGAGCGGACATAATGGAAAAGTAGTCTGCCTTGCCTGGAGTCCACATATAAGTGGATATTTAGTGTCTGGAGCTTATGACTATTCTGCTCTAGTTAGTAATGTTAAATATTCATTTAAATGATAACCATTTCATTGAAAAATAATTTTTCCTTCATAGGTATGGAAAGTGGAAACTCAAGAACTTATTGCATCTTTCACTGGTCATTTGGGTCCAATTCAATGCTGTATGTGGAGTCCATTTAGTCAAGACTTGATATTGACTGGTTCTGCTGATTTTACTCTTCGGATATGGAGTATTTCTAAACAAGGCATATCAGTTTTACCTCATACGGTAAAAACTTCGACAAAGGGTAAAAGAACCAAGAAAAAGAAAGCAAAGGATTCAGTAATTAGCGACACTAGTATAGATGCAAGTTCACTGAAGGAAATAAGCGATCGGTTGTCAGTTGTAGAAAAGTTGACGAAGTTAAGTCTCAACGAAAGTGATGAAATTAATAAAGCGACGAAAAAGAAGAAAAAGAAAGTTACCTATTTTCCAAAATATGCTGAAATTAATAAGGATAATGACCAATGGTGCGATACAGTTAAAAATCTCTTGGATTTTGTTGAAAATGAAAATTACAACAGTGAAACTGGTACACCTAATTACAATGACTTGGAACACAATCCTATACAAGAACATAAAATTATCAAACCAGAAAAACCTTTTCTTTTTCTTGGGAATAAGAAAAATCTTGAAGAAGCACTAGAACACGAAAGTAACTTTATAGTTATACTAACATTATTATTGCGATCATAGTATTTTCAATTAAATAACGCATAATTTATTTTGTACAGAAAATCTTTTAAAAAGTATTGGTTACTACAATATTGTGACTGAAATAGATTTGTGGAGAGGTAACTTGAAAGAAAATTTGGAAGATGCTTTGAAGAACAAACGATTAAACGATTTTTTGGTTTCATTAGCCGCCTCTATCTCTATGGAGTGAGTAATATAAATACTTAAATTATTTCTGCTCAACAAATTCTTTAAATAATAGAAATATAATTTTTAAATAGATTTTGGATAGAAATGTGTGAGGGATATGCTGTTCAACTCAATTCCGAAGAACACTATCATAAAGCAGTGTCTTACCTACTTTGCCTCAACAAAGTTAATGAAGCAATTGATATTTTTGTCAATGCTAAATTGTACAAAGAAGCATATGCACTTGCATCATCTAAGTTAAGTTCGGAAGATCTTATCGTGAAAAATATTTTAGTGCAATGGGCTAATAGTGCTGAAAAAGATGGCCATTTCCAAAACGCCTCTGAATGGTAAGTATACAAAAAGTTTTTTCAAGCTTATGAAAGCTTCTTCTATATAGCATATTATCAAAATTTTTTTACAGTTATATAAAATTGAAAGACTTTACCAAAGCAGCCAAAGTTTTAGAACGCAGAAAAGATTTAAAAAGTCTAATTTTAGCGATCGACGTCGCCGAAAGGTCTAAAGATAACAGTTTGATGGCATCAATTGCAGAAAAAGCTGTACTTGAAGCTCTTGTTACTTCTGACATACAAACTGCCAAATTAATCGTCAACAAGTATCCTATAGTCCAGGTAAAACATTATATTCTCAAATTTTTACGATGAAATATGACCTGTAAACAAGTTAAGCTTAAATTATATTTGTTTAGTATCGCGAGTTAGAAATAGAAATATTTGACGAATTGAATAAATTATTTGAAAATTTTGGAGATGAAACGATTTTTAAATGGTTGAAAGGTGCACCGAGCGCATGTCTTCTTGAAGGTATAAAGTTTCGTTTCGCAAGTAATTCTACTAAATATTCATTGTTAATGCAAAAAGATGTGTTTCCCGTTCTGTTAAATGAAAAAATCGTAAGTATCGTTATAAGTTAACCATTGTTATTATTATCAAGAATTGTCGAATGATAAAATTAATATTTAATATTTTGATATTGAATAGGTACAAGTTAATGTAAGCCATCAGTTTGCACTTTCAATATTAGCTGAGCAGGAAGAAATGGCATTAAAACATATTATGTTAGCTTTTGATATCATACTGCAATATGAGAAAACTGATTGTGCTATCGTGGAAGGCAAACTTCCATTCTTGATTAAATATTTTTCAATAATCGATAGTAAAAGTAATATTATTAACAACTATCAGAATGAATTGGGCAAAAGTCTTCGCGGTTTTTTATGCCATGCGATTATCGACTGGTATCTCAAAAACAAATTAATCGAAGAACAAAAGTCTGAATGTATTGATTTAATTATAGAGATATTACAGGAATGCATTGTTAATTTATTAGACAGAGAGGCTGTCAAATGTTGGACTATAGCAAATCAAATTAAAAATCTTGAAACGAAACTGACTGAAGTTATGGGTTAGTAGAGATATACAGCAATTTTCAATTATTATTTAAAATTTTAATGAAAGTTGTGATTAACAAACAATAATTTGTAGTGAATGTACCAAATGGAGGTGATTTGAATGATGCAGAGCCATTGATCGAGCAATTAGATCAGTTGAGAAATGAAAGAACACAATTTATTGAACAAAGAGTATCATCTCCAAATCCTTTGCTTAGTTATGGCCTAGTAATGGAATTCATTAATAAAATACCCAATGAAAATGTTCGGTATACAATGAATGAATTCGTTATGGAAGTTTGGCAGAAAGCTATTTCATAAATTGTAATGCAAGTTTTTGTATAAGATTTTTTTATACACTAAGTTTTTAAGTATATATTTTTTTCATGTTATATAAAAATATTCAAAGAAATGGAAAAACCGTCGCTTTTTTTTTATATATAACTTGATATTTAAATGTATATAACAATGTGTTTTGATCCAAATTCATTGGATATCTTTTTTTGCCCATGTTCCAGAAAGAAAAAAAAGTTGTCTACGCGGTTGTCAACAAACGCGTCAAAATTATGAGGTGTTTTAATAGAGATGAACTGATAATTAGAATTTTGTTAGTAATTGTTTGATAACTTCATTTATTTAATATTACATCGGAACTTTGTTATTATAGATTTTAAATGAGCATAACAGATCATTATCCAATGTGTTTAACTAATTGTCGTTATTTTTACCTAACTTTAACAATCAGTGATATTTCTCCTTACTTGCTACATGTGTCGATTTATATTAAATTTAGTCATTGCATATCTTGCATTATACAAAATGATTTAATCTATTAAATACTTTATTAAGTACTACAGAATGAGTGCATTTCATAGTCCTCTTAGAAAACACGAGGGGAGCAGATAGCTTAATCATTCAAAGTGACAAAACAAATGCCAGAAAAATTTGCATTTTTTGGCTGTGGTATTGCAGCTACCCAATTCTGCTAAAAATATTGCGTCTCCAATGAGAACCTTTTTGTACTGTTCAAGTGTGAGGTATGTTTGTTTATAAGTGAATATTGTGACAAAACGTTCTATATCGGTGATACGTAGATTATTTACATTATAAAAAAACATTAAAAAATGAATATATTTTTAAGATCGAACGCTTCAATGAAAGGTATTCATTTTTTGCTTGTATTTTTTTCTTGGAATTTCGAAAAACATGTATGTCAAAAATATTGAACGTCACAGATAAATATATTTTCGATATTCTTTATTAAAATAACTGTATTTACAAATGTATGGAAATTTGTTTTGACTTATATTTATTTGTTATTTATTTTCCAAAAACAAAGTTGCCTATCACTACCAGCACAAACAATTGGTAATCTTTGATGCCATGTCAAACCACCAAATAAACGAACACGGCCGCATAGAACTGCTTGTTTATTTTTCAAATTCGTAATTTTCAAGAAATTATCGGGTCTTCCTATGCTGGCTATAAGATATTCATTTGATGGGGAAAATTTCATCATAGTACCTCCTTCAATATGAAGAGTTCTTGTTTCTATTGGACGACTGAAATAATGATTTAAAAAATAAATATCCTGAATGAACTTTATTAGTTCTAAGTCACAGCAATTTTATTTGAAATCACCTTGGTTTTGACATATCCCATACAATCAATTCTCCTGATGCGATGCAAGCTACTTTCAAAGGATTTGGTCCCCAGTCAGCAGTTGACAATGGAATTGAACCAGCATCAACAGACATAATTGCTTGCTGGCTTCTGACATTGTACATACGAATAACACCATTTTTCTCAGCAACTAACAACTTTCCAGTTTCTTCAGAATGCCAGCTTACGTTCATACCTGGAGATGTCAGATAGAATGTCAAAATACAATTTTGACCTTCTTTGATTGGCCATAATTTACAAGTATGATCGTCAGATACTGATGCTAATAGTTCTCCCTCTGGATCGTAAGCAATACTGTTTACATAATCTGTATGACCTTCTAGAACCTAGATTAGACAATTTATGTAAAATAAATTTTATTACTCAGGTCATTAGATAGCCAGTGATAAACAGTATTGAATATTATTCAAATACCAACCGCATATGTATTTGTTTCACCTAAATCACTATTGTACAATCTTATTTTATAATCTGCTCCAGCTACACAGAAAGAGATAATTTTAGGTACAACACTTAGAGATGATTCAGGACTCCAAGCAATTGCATGTATTCTGGTATCATGATGAAATGTTCTAAGTGGAGTATAAATGATATCCTCTACAACATCATCATCTTCCTATGAATAGGAGTTAAACAATGGAAAATTGAAATAATCCAGAGATAAAAAAGAAATACCAAAAACTAAATTGTAAATTAATAGCATTGACCGTTATCTCACTTGAAACTTCACTGTTGCTATAATAATTTCCTCTCCTAATCCAATGCAGATTAAATACTGAGACCATTCATATGGAGACCATTCAACATACTGAACTTTTTTGGCAAAATCCAACTTAAATGTTGGTGGAGTTACTAATGTTTCTTCCATTGCTAATAAACTGAAATCAAAGGTGGTCAAAGATAATTAAATTAATGGCTTAAGAGTTGATTAAACATGATAAACTAAAAGAACAATGTAAATCATAAATAAACATATTAAATTTATTCGACATTAAAATGGGAATAATTGATTTTTGTGACATCAAATCATGAAAACTTTTCAATGAAGGAATTTATTAAATTATTAATTATTGTATTTCAACTATATAATAAGAGCCACAATAAATACTTACAGAAAATTTAGCAGTATAACCTCAAAGTAAATTTACAAATAAGTGTACAGAAATATCGAAATTAGCTTATTAAATTTACAAGAAAGAAGGTTGATCGATCAAAAAAGAAATACCTATAAATAAATTTTGGATCAATTCAGTAATCAGCAACAAATATCTAAATCAAACTTCTATTAAGAAGCACATGTAAATAAACCGTATATAAGCGCGGGATAAATTACGTTATGACGTCACTTACGTTATCAGACAGTGCTGGGCCGAACCTATATATTTGTTTGGCCCCTGTATATATAGTCAAGATAAGCGTTTCCTATAAACGGCTATCAACTAACTTACGTTTGCGCATTGAGAATACGAATTAGCGAAACTTTTGAAAATGTAAAAAAAGTGGTCAGGATTTGTAGAATAAAGAACAGTACTGATTGCGTCTAATTGAACTAGTGTATGAAATAAAAATATTTGCGTTTTTAAGAAATTTATAAAGTATTTCTTATGCTGTAGTGGTTACTTCTCATACGCATGACGGTAATAACTTGCTTCCTGCATAATATATTATGAAACCAGAGTTTGGGAAAGCGAATAAAAAAATTTTGAAAATACAGGATTCCTTTGTTTGTATCAACTTTTTCAAGAAATTTCTTGAAGAGTTGAAGAGTTGAAGATTGAAGAACAAATTTGAGTATAATAAAAAAAATTGTATGATTATTATGCCTCCTCGCTTGCAGAAGTTTATCTTTTCTGAAAGGTGTAGGGGCTGGGCGGTAGGGATTTATCTTTACAGAGGTTATTAGTGAATCGATGAAAGTCTGAATGAGGTAGAAGATATGATAAAGGAATGCCTTAGCCGCAAGCTTGTTTAGCAAGATCGTCTCATGTTTCATTGACAGGAATACCTTTATGATTTCGTATCCAGGCGAAGATCATTGTTGGTTATATTTTCATATATATATATATATAAGCAACCAATATATCTCCGGTACTAATTATCCATTCATGTTACAACTCAAAATTAATTTTGTACATTGTAGAAAGCTTTATTAGCAATACTTATATTACTATAATAATTCAAAAAAGTCTTAGTTTTTTAAATGTCCACATTTGCATAAAAAGTAATCACCTCTATCAATCACATCAGAACTGATCACACTTCATTAAATAGCTCTTTATTTAAATTTAATATAATTAGATCCAATATCAGTGTACTTGTGTTAAAGATATAGATACTATCGAATATGTATCTTGTGAATGTGAGAATTATTTCAAACAGCAAATAAAAATGCTGAGTGGTCTGCGAAAATATATTAAATATGTCACATTTTTATTTTCGCATATGAATGAAAACATAATCAACGTTTTATCAGATTTTATTTTAGAAATTAATATTTATATTTAACAACTATTATGGTTCGTTGGGATATATATATACTCGTATATATATATATATATATATATATATATATATATATATATATATATATATATGCGTAAAACTATTATACGTACAATGGAAATGTTTCACCTACTTTTATAGTATAAATTTTACGTTTATTTAAAATAAGTAACAAAACTATATCGAACAGTATGGCTTGAATTTGCATTTTTTTCGCGCCTGTCTTTGGCGCTAATAGTGTTGTGGCCTTATTTTTTGTATAACATAAAAAGGTGTGGTACCTTCATACCAACACATCATTCATATGTCATACGTTACATATTATTTAAAATATTTTTTATACGAATCAATCATTCAAGTTACATACGTTCCAGGCTTGAGCTTAATTATTATTAATTATTGCTTCATCATATAGATTATAAAAACAAAACATTAAATAAATTAAAACTTGAAAAACTTCAAATAACTACAACTGTCTAATAGTTCGAAGCTACTTTTAATTTGTTGTTTAAGAAATAAAATTTTAATGCATTATCGATCACTCTTGCATATGGAATTTTATAGATTCATTGTTTGCGCATTTCAAAGACTCAAAATATACGTTTTTTAGAAGCTAAAGCGCTCTTACCCCTTCATGAAACTTATTTTTATTTATAAAATAAAAAAGAAATTAGAAAAATAAAGCATTTAGAAATTTTGCTGAACAGATATAACAGAAAGAAATGATTTTTAAATTAATCTAAAAGGAATAATTTTATTTTACACAAATTGTAAAAAGTAGAAAATCGAAATAATCTTTATACCAATTTCGCAAAGATTATTGTCAATGCATTTATTTATTACAATACAATATATACAAGATACAGCTACTTTTGAAGCCGATGTATAAAAAAAAATCAATGATGTCATTGGCAGCATAAAGTAACAAATTATTAAACTCGATCGCTTTGAAAATGCGAAAGATAAGGCTATTTAATTGGCTTTTCTTTGTATTAATGTAACATGAATTTCAATTTTAATTTTAAAAAATGATTCGATTTGTTGTGCATTTTCTTTTAATTACAGATATTGCAATTATTAAATTAAACATCGTTATACTTTTATTCAACAACTACTAATGTGATACTTTGTGCCTCTTCATAAACACTTTTATACGCTAATACACAGCAAATGATAAAGATCACGATAGTTAGAATCATTATTTTATAAATATCAGTTTTTCAATGGCCATTTTTTAAAACTAAGTAAAATAAGAATAATTGACGGATGCTTTCGAAAAAACCGTAGGAAGCTGTAACAGTCAATAGCTTCAGTACCAATAGTTTTTTGGTACTTAAATGCATCGAAAGCGTCAGTTGTTAGGAATGATTGGGAATAACATTGATATTCCAATAACATTTTTAACATAATTTCGATTATTAATGCCAAAATTATACTAATATGATCACAAATAAATTCACATGATCACAATTTCTACATTTGAATTTCTGAATTAAAAAAATAATATCTGGTAAAAAACATTAATTAGATTATATGAATATTATATACGACTTTCTCGTTTGTATGATCATATGTTTTCATGTTGAATATTCTGAGTTTTAAAAATTTTACTGTGCTTTGGTACGGCACCAACTGATGAAGTAAAACTGATAATGGCTGTATACTGATGATGATTTTTAGACAATCATTTTCAATATGTATTATGTTCAGTAAAAAGTTTCGTAAGAAATGGTACTTTACATTGACGCAATGTAATTAACATTTTATGCATTTGTATTACGTATTTACTATGTATCAATCATGCAAATAATTTATCATTTTATCCAATACAGATTCTTATTCGCATCTCTCATTCATACTTATAAAAAGAATAAGAACAAATTATTAATTCTAAAAGAAAATGTTCATTGCATTGCAACTCATTTGCACAATATAACATTTTTTTGTTTTGATAACAGAGTTGAAAGAAATTTCGAACACAGACTTAAGTTATAATTGACCTAAAATTAATTAAATTTACATTCGCCACAATTATTAACAATAATTTGAAAGGAATAAGGGGCAAGCTTTGTGAAAAAATATTATTGAAGAAACTTACATATTTTCATCTCATTGAAAAACTTCAAATATTCAGAAGTCGACTTATTTTTTTTTAACGAGCAATTATATTGTTTTCTTATCCCTTTAAATTTCATTTTGAATAATTTTATAATAATTTGTAATCGTTTATCGAGCTATACCAATTTTGTATGCTATGCTCGGAAATCGTCTGCTACGTTGGCCCAGCAAATAATGCCGTCAAACCCGCTTCGGTGGCGTTATTTGAGATCTCGTCAATACGGACAACTTGTTTGTTTGCCACTTGCAACCGCGGTAAATTATCGATTTTTATTTCTTTTCGAAACAATTGACCAATACTTCTGCCAATAAGCTGTTGAAAAAATAAAATTATAAACTTATTTGCCTTATATTCAAATGTATAGATAACGGTTATGAAAAAGGCTTTGAACTTTCAAGACATTCATGAAATAAAATTAATAAACAAAATTGAGATATTTTTTTTTTTTTTGTTTTTCAAGTGAAAGTAACCGCTGATTTACATTTAATATTTGCATTAAAATTCTTAAACAAAAAATTTTTATTTTTACAGTAATATTTTATATAGAAGTAAATTTCTTACCTGATTAGTTATTTTCTTAAACAGATCTTTCTTGCCTTTCTCAACTTTATTTCCTTTAGAGCTGACAACCGACATTTTTTCGTCGAAACGTTGCAAGTCAGCTGGATTAACACCAGGTATCTGTTGCATTACTTCAACAATGTTGGGGAATTTGGGTCTTAGAACCTCATAAACCTGAGCCCCAAGAGTAATGAGCGAGCCTTGGTTAGCATCATGTTGACCATGGAGTTGAAGACCTTGAAGAATGGCTACCATTATGTGTGATACCATAGCTGGAGTCAAACTTCCATCCGATGCCAGGGCTCGTACTACTGGACTTGTAAGCATTGTTGCCTTTAGACTGGCGTTCGAGTCGTTCCACGACAGAGCGCTAAAGTCAAAGATTCGGGTATTTGGATTTTATACTTATTAGAAATCAATCTAAATACAAATATTTCTTAAACTTATCACTTACCCAAGTATGCAAAGTACAACACTATGACAAGTCGATGGATGCCTAAGTATAAAAGCTCCAAGCTCGCTGACGATTTCAGCAACAATGCTGTTACTTCCACGAGGTGATGGTGTATCAACAGCCATGCCACTGCCATCCTGATCCATGGAATCGGGTGGTGCAGCGTCAGTCGCTGCACCGCCGACTAGAGCTACTTTCAATACATCAACGAATTCACGCGTAAGATTCCGGTTGAGCATGTCGTCAATCACCTCCTGAGACTCTGTATTCTCTTCGTCGAGGCCGCCGGATTCGTACAATCGGGTCATATATTGCCACTTGGCACTGAGTCTTTGACACACTAGAATATAATATATAATATGATTCACAATTTTTAGATATCACAATTAAAATTGAAATATAAAGCACAAAAGTGTTCTCAAACATTTTATTGTAGATATGATATTAAAATATTTGGCTCAAGTAAGCATACATTGAAAAATGATAGTTTACAGTATGTAGGTATACGAGTATTTTTTGTTCTAGATTGATACTCACTGTGTGTTGATACATGCGCTAACACAGGAACAAGAACCGATTCGTAAAACGTTGGTGGACACCAGTATATAAAAGGCTTCATAAAAACGCGGATAATGGGACGTAGTCTATGATCTGGAATTACCTGAAAAAAGACACATCAACCTGCTGATACTGGACAAAAGATTAGAAATTTTTACTTCTAAAATATCGATTAACTTACTTCCATGTTAGAGAAAACTGAATTCAACAGGGCAGCTTCCAATCCCGGCAATTGATAAAAGTCGCGTCCAATAGTGGTGCAAATGCTTCCGAGCATATGATAGCAGTTATCATGCATATTCGTAAGGAAGCTCTGCATTTTGGACAGTGGAGCAGACTGTTGTTCAACTTCTATAGCATTATCGTTGTTATTCGACGAGTTTAATCCCAAAAGACATGCTTTTTCTGATTCTATCATGTCGTGAGCTTTTTTGTAACTCTGTAAAAAAATCGCCGATTAAAGACTTTCTTTTTCTTCAATAAATCAACAGCTCGAAAGATTTTATATGAATGGAAAAATCACCTCAGATAAATGCCGCAATGCTTCAGGCGTGAAAAGTGCGTTCATCGAGCGAATAAGACCAAATAGTGTCGGCAGTACTGGTACTATATGAGGAGTTGCAGGATTTCTATAGATAGGATTTCCACTTTCACTGAGAGCAATGACAAAACCACCTCGAGCTGCACGATCTGGATCTTCTGGAACGGAACAGCGTTTTACAACTCCCAATACCGTGTGAATACAAAACATTAAGTCTGCACGATTAGCTCCTATTGGATCATCTAACACATTATCTACTGCAGTTCGGTCCAATCCGACAAAACGCATTAGCTCGACAGGACCTTTGAAAGCTTCTGCGCCTATTGCGATAAACCGCGTTGAGGTATCGCCTATCACCTGTTAAATAATCGTGAAATCATAAGGCTTTGCAACAATTATTCAATTGCAAAACTAGTTTGTTCAAATTTGAAATCAGAACATCTTACCTCTGCAACAAAGTTACTCTGTCTCTGATAATCACAGAAGTGATTGGATATAAGTATGAGAGCTTCATAAAGTGTGAGACATTCCATTCTGGACACCTGACTGGCCAAACCTCTGACAGTCGAATGAATCTGATCGAACACAGGTAGCAGTATCAATGGATATTTAAGCCCGATCTTCACCATAAGACTTGCCGCGTGCCGTCTAACATTCTTCGTAGCTTTAGACCTGTTCTCTTTGGATTCGCCAGGTCCATTAAAAACCAAAGCTGCAAAGATCTTTTCAAGTACTCTCGGCAGTATTGCAACGCCAGGCATTGCCATCGAGCCAGTCGACATAGATAAAAACACAAAGAGAGCGCTGATGCTGGACAGTAAAGTGGAAAGTAGCCAAGCATCGTGGGGAGAGTAGCTTAAACAAAGTTCCAGAAGTTGCAGACCCTGTTGAACACTTGGTCGTTCACTCACAAGAAGGATCCGCGACACAATGCAGTCAAGTGCCGAGGCTAAGGCTTCCCACTCAAGATACTCTGGGTCGTTTGGGTCACTCTTGTATGCTAGATTTTCCATACCCTTTCGAATTTTTGCTGTCAACCATTGTTGCACGTAGGCAAATGTTACTAATGGAGCGACCATCGTTGCATGTCTGAAACCTTCAAGCAAGTCCATTCGCAGCCGATGGAAAAACACGTTAAATTCTTCTTCCGTGTCGTAATCCGCAAAGTATGAAGCCATACCGTTTGCGTGGCGTTTGTTTGGGAATGGTATCTGTGGATTGTAATTTATTTGAATTACAATCGATTGATTAATTTTTCTAAAATGAAAGATCAATAAATTACCTTCACAAGTTTTGGTCCAGTATTCTCAACGTACTTTGGCACATAAGTCAATAAAAGCGTATCAGTTTTTATGTGCTCATGTTTAAATAATAAAACCCAAATTGCATTAGACATCTGAACGAGTGTGAAACTGGAGTGCATTGTAAAGATGAGTACTGTGTCTAAAAATATATTAAAGTGTGCTGGACGAGCCTTCATTGCGTCATCTTTAGTCCAAAGAGAACAAAGTTGCATAGCCATTCCTTTAAAAGTTACAATTCATAATTAACTGACAAACAAAAAATTAACAAATGAATTAACATAAAGTGATTTTTACCATTCAAAACTTGAATTAGCTTCTTCAAAAACAAATAGTGATTCTCCTGCACATCACCAGGTCCAGAAGGTGGTGCAGCTGTTGCTGCAGCATACATACACCTTAATGCGGATTCCGTGTAAAGAATCATCAGCTGTTTCCGGTCTTCGATCTTTCCTTTCCTATTCACAACTTGCAATAGACATTCGGCTGCTGCATAACGGAATGTTGGATTGCCCAGAAATAGACAGAGAATTTGTAACAGTCGTCCTTCATCAGCCATTATGTGACCAATAAAAACCCATTCCACAAAGCCAGAGAATGTGAGAAGAACCACCTGTAAATTTTTAAAATAATTAATTTATGTTCAATGTGAACATTGAGAGGTTAATAGTTTTCTATCACATACCTGAACTACTCGACTGTGAGCAGCAGCTTGAATCACTCTGCCAGCAGATGTATTCTTTTGAAATTCTGCAAAATGCTGTTCCATCAGTCTCAAGAAAAAGGCAAAAATTTCTGTCATATTTGTGGTCAGTGCTTGGTAAATGTCCTTTTTCCTTTGATTAGATTCCAATGTCTCTAAAATGGCAACATCTTCCACCAGTCTTAAGAAAACCAAAAGTACAAGCTCCGTTTGACTCTCTCCTCTGAGGCACACCTGATTCAGTTCGCCAAGCAATGTGGGCCATTGCTGTGGCCACTCCCTTTTGACCATTTCAACAATGATACGAGCCAAGGCATCTTTGATATGGCTTTCTTCTTGAGTGAGTGGTTCTATACCTTCCTCTAGCAATCTCATGGCATTTTCTTTGATAAATATTTTTTCAGTCTGCGACAGATGTGTCCAACGGTATTTGATACAATGTTCCATTAGCTGAAGTCCAAAATGCCTAACAATGGAATTTCTGCCTGGTGATCTTTGTGCAAGAAACAGTCCACATTGAGCACATAATGGAGATGATTCTTTGAAGCGTTCACAGGCATTGTAGACCTCCAGACGCTGCTGCTGTGAGATGTTTGGCGACATTGTCATCTCCACCCAGCGAGCAAGTTCTGATGACATCTGAGCGACATCAACATCCCTGCCTACTCCAAACTCCATTTTTGTGGATTATTCTAAAAACACAAAGTATAGAATTTTTCAGATAAAATGACTTATTTTCTTCAATTATTACATCATTGACAATATTTCAAATATTAGTAAATTTTTAGAATAATGTTTCACTGGTTTTAATAGTTTTTAAGAATGCGAGCACATAATTTCATAAATTGGAATTATCTGTGAAAATGGTAGAATACATAAAAATACAGGTCCAATGTACAGCTAAGCTTATTGCAAGTGATGTAACGAATACCAGTTTCTTTGTCACAATGTTTCTTTGAGTAAAATCAATTTTCTACATTTCTTTTAAACAATTATTATTTTTATTATGATATAGAATCACTATTGTCTAATTTTCACTCATAATAACAACGAGTAATCCTCATTGTAAACAAAACATATTGATTATAGGAACGGCAGTGTGAAAATTGCACAGAGTGTCAATCGTTCGTTTGTTTTTGAAGTAAGTACAAACTCAAGCATCATCGCACAAACAAAATAATAACACAATCAACCCAGTTCAATTGCAAAATTAAACAAACATTCAATGAATTAACCCTTGCGAGTGTTGGACATTCATCGACACATGAACCGCTAAGCTTGCTTGCTCACACCAATCAAAAAACCAAATCAATAAAGACAATCGGCTGTTGAATCTAGGGTACAAATCGTTGTCGAAGAGAGACCTGTTCGATTCCCCAGAGTAAGCATCACCGACGCGATGCCTCGGCGGGAGTCATCTCTATCTCTATCTCTCTCACACATTCTCTCGCCAGTAAAACACGAGGAGAGAAAAAGAGGCGGAAAGCGGAAGAGACACACGAGGTATTGCAAGATGCACGTGCCACTAGCGAATTTTTAATTTCATTACCATTTCGAGTTTTCACGAATGTAACGTACAATACCGAAAAAAAAGGGCGAACCGTCACGAGGAAAAGGTTATGTTGCGCTGTAGGGTAAGGAAAATAAGCCGAATTAAATACCAGAGTTTGCAGCGTCCGTGGCTCGCCTCTTCCTCGTGTCGGCGGTGTGCTGCTGCTTGAATGTTTGCTTGCTACCTTGCTACACATCCCTCCCCATACTTGGGCGCCTATATAATCTATATACGTTCGTCGCCGCCGCCGCTCGGGCAAATTCGTGCCACGAGAGTCGCCACTCACGCCACGCAGAGACAGTTGAAAATTGAAGATAAAACGGCAGGATTTACAAAACAAACTCCCAAATTTACATCGCGTCTTTTTAAAAAAGTAAAATCAAGCGTCAATTTCTTTGTATACCATGCCTTGAGAATAAAAAGCTTGACGCCAATCATCTGCACACCCTCTTCTGAATTGGATTAGAAATATACGGTATGAACAATATTTAAACAATTAACACAGATTTTAAAGCAAAAGTTACAACAGGCATGTGCTGAACCTCGCATATTGATATATCGACGCGATTATTTAAAAATGGAACTTTTCTGCAGAACTCATGTACTGAAAAATAAATTCAAGGACTGACATCTCGTTGATTATATATAAAAAATAAATTGAACGGATGATGCCACAACACACCACGGATGGAAAGCCGTCGGCTTCGAACCAATACTTATGCAGACACTATTGTTCGTGTTAACTGCTGGACAAGATGATGTTTGTACACAAGCTCATTAGTGTTTTGAAAGGGAAGATTTTTTTTACAGTTATTGAACGGTACTTATCACGTAGAAAAGAGAAAATAATTGTTTGTAAATTATTCGGGCAAATCTCGAAGGTTTTGCGGATATATTCGCAGTTTAGATAGAAGAATTTTGCAGATAGTTTGACTTTGAGGTTTTCATCGGCAAAGTCAAGTTCACAAGGAAATTGACGTTTAGAGCTGGCTTAGCGTTGGTACAACTTGATTTGGTTTTTAACACGAGAATGAGATATATAGCAAGTTCTCAAGTACTGCGAACCTTCTGTACTCTTCGACAATTGTGGGCATTGTTTTAAATATCGATTAATTACAATCATTCGAAGAGTTCGCCGGTCTTACAATGACGAATAAGTGTGTGGATGAGCGGGAAGAAAGTCTTCAAAATGGTGCACTTCACCGATAGCATTTCGATTATTTGATTAGGGAAAATGCAACTTCTAAGAATCAATTAGGATTGTGACTGAGATTAATCATAGTTAAAGTATATTAAAAAGTACAGTTGACAAATATTTAAGAATATATAATGGAATATACGTCGTTTAATCACTACGTACTAGAATAAATAAAAAAGAAATGAAGATTGCATGACGTGCAAGTCTTACCTAAAAACTCGTAGATTAGTGGAGAGAGAGAAGTTGATCCGTACTTCACACTTTTACGGAAAAAACTGAATTCCTTTTCCACGTTCGACAAGCTAGAAAACGTGTGGAATAGCTGCTCCCCACTGTTTTGGACCCTCGAGATAGGCCAATCAAAAGTGCGGAAGTGCAAAAGGGCAAAAGTCGCATGACGGACTCCCCCACTCTTTCTCTCTCCGCTATTTAGGAGTGCCTTCGTCGATGGAGGGGCTGTTTAACACGCTTGCGAGGAATTGAAAATACATATTGCCGGGTGCATCCCTTGCTGATTATGTACTATACTTCAGTGCACTTGGAACAGTTTTAGACTTTCAGTATAATAAGTAAGTGAGGCACACTGACGTACGGCAATAGAAGAAAATATGTATAACGAAAGGTTGAACGAAAGGCAAAGGCGCGCATAATTTTAGCGCAGCTGTAGTCATTTATTAATTTGTCAGTTCATTGATTTGTGTTATAGTACATTACGATACAAGTGCGGGAAAGTAGATTCTTGTCTCGTGTACCTTTCCACCCTCGCGAGACAATAATCTACTTTCCCGCACTTGTATCGTAATGTACTATACTCTGCCGACGCGTTATTCAGCTCTCTGTCTCTCTTGTGCTTGGATACAGCTGTTTTTGAAAAGTAATTAGCAAATGTTAATCAATGATTCAGTTAAAAAATGCGTTACATATTCAAAACTGATTTATCAAACCACAATGATTTTACGACATTATCATAAGTATTGCAATGAAATCAAAGGAGTGAAATTTCTCCTTTTAACACTCTAGCACGCAGACACGTCTACAAAAAGTGATTTAAAATATAACGATGCATAATGACGTATTTTATAAAAACCGTTCTTACACGAGAGCATAAGTTCAATGAAATGTATTATTTATACTTATATATATTTTTTAAAAGCGTTTTTCAGCGAGCTTGCAGCAAAATCGTACTTTCCGCACGGTTTGTTGCAAAGATGATCCATTTAAGGACCCATTGTAAACAATTTTGTAAGCTATGAATATATGATTAATTTTTTGACAAAGTCATCAGTTGGCGTTTTCTTTGACTGTCGGTACTGAAATGAGCGCAACTGAAAATTTGAAATCCAAACCGATTTGACTGCGCGATGAAAGAACATAACTTTGATTTTTTGTGATAGTCTGGACCTGATAGGTGCCGCGCCGTCACTAGAGAAATTGTTTATTGTACAAACACGTCGTACCTAGCACAATTCAAACACGGCAATGCGTCGGCCGATTATTCATTCCAGCTAAATCACAAGAATCCCATTTCGGGCCACGCGTCGTTGCCGACTTTCCTCCTCCTTGATCACCTCCCCCCGCTGTAATTTTCTCTGAAATTTCTGAATATAAGCCTTTCTCTCAAGGGCGTATCGTCGGCTTTGAAACATCGATCATCGCTCATTCTTCACATTTTCATCGTGTTTTTAACAATCGTTTCAGAAAAAAAACATCCAGATATGTCGTCGGAAATTTTTCCTACCTACGTATCATCACTAAGACAGAGAGGAATCGACATATTTTTGTGAATGGGCAAAGCTTAAGGTATATCGTCGGAATTAAGGACACTGCATTAACTTAAAAGCTGCGGTATGAATGTGCAGAAAAGTATTCGTGCAATTAGGCGACCGTCGGAATTTTTTCTTTATCGAGACTTGAATCGTTATCTCGACATCATCCGCACGAGACGCGTTCGTCGATAATCGACTCCGAAAGTGAGAATAAGAATTTTTCTCCGTTGGCTTGCAATCGTGTCGCGAGACTTTATACAAGCGAATGTTTCGCGTGTAACATCTCGAGTTGATTGAAATTGACGAAACATGCACGGAGTAACTGGCGATACCGTGACCCGACACACGCAGTTACTCCAAAAGAGTTATCCGTCTGCGATACCAGACTTGAAAAATGCGTCCTTCGTCGCGTTCAACGCCGGACTTTTCGCTTCGCGCTTCGCAGAGTACCCGCGACCATGCAAGTGTTTCAGTCGGAACCAGCAATTACGTAAGATCGAGAGCAGCAGACGTTGGTTCGGCATAAGTGACCTACGAGTGGGTGTCGGTGAGATGCAGGCGCTTTCGTCAAGCCGATCAGACCGCGAGTAAGTAGCGGATAACCAGAAACAGAGAGATTACTTGCACGGATCGCAACGTCGTCGGAGCGCCGAATTTCGGGTGCCGCCAGTACGATCGCATTGCGAAACGACGGCTCGTTAGAAATTGGCGCTACACGCGGGCGAAAGTCCAGATGCCACTGTCCGTGTCTAACGTTAATGTATACTAATCGCGCGCGGCTGCGAAGCTGATTGGCAAGACACTCGACTCTCCCCATGGTTGCGCGCGAGATGGACGCGCGTCGGATTCGACGCGAGCGCAGAAGCTCCGTTAGCCTCCGAGTGCGGCAGCGACGCGAGAGCGCACTCGAGTCACGCTCGTCTCCTTGTGAATCATAGCACAAGCGCGCGCGAAATCGAAGCCGAGCGCGACAGAGGAGACGAATCAAAGAGCGCGGAGATCGCGCGCGTCGGTGGTTTAAATCGGCGAGCCGGGAGAGGGAGACAATCAGATGTCCGTCGTGGCATCGCCGACATGGGCTTCCCACATGATTACGACCTTGGGGCGTGCGTGCGCGAGCTCGCATTCGATTCATCGATGAAAATTAAGAGACCGCCGCGATACAGCCAGCCGAACGTATATACGCAGGAGAGGCGACACGTCGCGCCAGTAGCGATCGGCGAGTCGTCCGCCGCGAGTCTCGACTGCTCTCGCGCGAAAACTCGCTCCTCTCTCTCTCTCTCTCTCTCTCTCTCTCTTTCTCACTCCGGCCGCCGCGGACTTGGACAGCTGGCTCTCGGCGGCGAGGGTGACGATGCCGCCCACGTAGCCGCGGGCGACGCTGCGCGCGTTTGCGACGAGTCGGAGAGTCTACGCAGCGTGCGCGTGCGTGGGGCTCGACTCGGCTCCCCGCGTAGATGACGTCAAAACGTAGTGGCTCTCGATCGGACGGCGCAGGTCAGGCGGCGGCGGCGGCGGCGGCGGCGGCGGCGGCGACGTCACGGCGACTGCTTCCGTGAATCGGATCCCTGCGCTCTCACTCGATAGGTAAGTCAGGCGTGCGACGGGCCCGCGCAGAACCAACAGTCCGAGAGACGTCGATCTCGCGGATTCGCTCATCGTGCGCCGCGGACGTTCGCCGACCGCCGAGCGGCATCTCCAGTCGCCTCGACTAAACCTCGGGTTGCGATCTTTTCAGGGACACGCGGGTGCGCGGTTGTTGCCTCTCGAGCGCTATGAGTCGTTGGCAAGATTCTGCTCAGCGAGGCCGGACGATGCGGCGCTCGGTGCTGCTGCTCGTCGGCGCCCTGAGCCTGGTCGGCACCGAGTCGGCGCTCGGCAAGCTGGAGCTGATCCAGGTACTCTTCCGCAACGGCGAGCGAACGCCCTACCCGGCCGAGTCGTACCCCCTGGACCCGTACGCCTTGGGCCGCCACTACACTTCGGCCGGCGGCCGGCTCACGGAGCAGGGCCGCTGGCGCGCGCACCGCCTGGGCCGCGCGCTCCGCCTGCACTACGAGGGCCAGCTGCCGCTGCCCGAGCGGCCCGAGGACGTCTACGCGTACAGCGCCGACGTGCCGTGTTGCCACGAGAGCATGAGCCACGTGCTGGAGGGGCTCTACGACGGCAACGAGCGGGCGGCGCGGCAGGTGCGCGTGCGGATGCTGCCCCGGGCGACCGACGTGCTGACGAACTCGCGGCAGTGCTCCCGGTTCCGCGCGGAGGCCGACCGGCTGCGCGGGAGCCCGGAGATGCAGAGGATGCTCGCCAAGTACGAGGGCCTGTACAGGTGAGCGAGCGCGGACGCGCCGGTCGGCCGGCCCACCCGCACCCAGCTCTCGCCCTCTCGCTCTCTCGCGCAGGTACCTGCGGGACAACACCGGCCTGAGCCTCGACGGCCCCAGAGTGGACGAGAGCCTCTACGAGCTGTACGGCCTGCTGGAGGCGCAGATGAGCGTGAACCTGACGCTGCCCGACTGGTGTTCCGAGGGCGTGTTCACCTTGCTGCAGGAGATCGCCTTCCTCCACCACGAGCTCGAGTCGCGCAACGACCGGCTGAAGAGGCTGAACGGCGGGCCGCTGCTGCGCCGCTTTCTCGACAGCGTGCGGCGCTCGGGCGCGCGCAACCGCGTGCACCTCTACGCGGCCGAGGCCCGCAACGTGGCCGCGTTGGCGCGCGCCATGAACAAGAGCTACCCGCGGTTGCCCGGCTTCGGCAGCGCCATCGTGCTCGAGAAGTGGCGGCATGAGCGCGGCGGCAACTTCGTCAGAATCGTCGTGTGGACGGGCAGCACCGAGAAGATGTTCGCGCTGCAGCTGCGCGACTGCGCCGAGATGTGCCCGCTCGACGAGTTCGCTCGGAGGGTCAAGTCGGTCCTGCCGACCGACGACGACGCCCGGTGTCTGCTCGACGACCTGAGGACCCGGCCGTGAGCGCGCGCTCGCCGAGGGCACCTCAGCTTTATTCATGCGCTGTAACGCGAATGCGATGTTCGATGATTCGTAGCTTCAAGGCTCTCGCGTAGTTCTGTACATCGAGCGCCGTAACGTTTGGTTTTATCGCAACAATACGAATAAATTTCAATTGTTGGAACGTATTTTCCTTGATCATTGCGTACTTTGGCGCCAGAATACGACCGCGCGTAAGAACTTTCGCTGTAGGTTTCCAAGAGTACCATCGAAGCGAATGACTCAGACGTACGGACGGACTGTCGGCTATTAAATTCGATCGCCTGCTGCTGATTGCAAACGTAATAGCGGCTAATATGCTTAACACCAATACCAAGATGCTCGCCTATGAATTAATGCTCGTGCGACGTTCCGGCGAGTCTTTTTTTAGCATTCGCTGCTTATTACTCGGCCGAGCTGATCGACGGAACGAAAAATAACGGAGTCAATTTTTCCTCCGTCGCTCCTCGTTTTTCCGTCGCGGTGCCTCGGTCGCACGAGGTAACGCGTTCGCCCAAGCAAGCCCAGACTGCAAGGGCTCGACCGTGGGGCTTAACCGAATTCAAGACTGCGAAGCGAACGCCAGTCGCCGCGTACAACGCGAGCACGACTCCGGGGCCGGAGCGCCCGCGAGGATCGTGTGCTCGGTCAAATCGCCCGATTATTTCGGAAGACGCGGTCGCCTCTCTTTCGAATCGCGCGCCGGTTCCAGAGCGATGCCCCCGCAATTTGGTTCAATTTTCATTGCCAGCATATCTTGACAAGGAATGATCGTTGCGAGGAACGCATGCCTCAAAGCTCATTTCCGCAGAGAACAATCTGTCGCGACGATCTTCACAGTCACGATCCAATTCTTTATTGATTGTACAGGGAATCATTGGCAAGCAATCAGCCATAGGACAGCGCACTATTCCAGCCTGCTGGCTCATCCGCGGTGTCCGCGATACGTCATATCAAATTGCCGTATACAACAGTGCGTCTCATCGCTAGCAATCGAGACAAGCCGTGACAAATAAATAAATACATACGAGCACGTTTTCATCATCATAATATTGTGAATCGATCGTCCGTATGAGGTATCCAGAAACGCTTCGCTTCGTTTAGCCGAGCACGATAACAATTGCGTCTACAGGGGGCCAAGTTGAGATTTTATCAGCGCAAACTAACAGGGTGCCATACGGCCTGAGCATCATACAAATATAAACCAAGCTGTTTCAAGCAGACTGTGCAACATTATTGCAGGGCGTCGACTCGCTAAAGTGGATAATCTGTAAAACGCTAGACGATATAATGCGTTTGCTCATATGATCATCGAGCCGCTGAAGAGTTTCAATAGATTACGAAACGAAGATTTTCTTTTCTAAAATCGTAACTCGAATAGTCTGTCATCGTAGCGTGTACCCGTAAAACTGTAAGTAAACACGTCAAATAGCCAATTACGTTTGCCATATGAATGGAATAGCTTATATTCCGATGTTTTGTTATTTTGTTTCTACCGGCTTTATATTGTCTGAATTATAATTTCGGAGTCTAATAATAATATGATGCTGGCAGTAAGAAATAGATTCGATTTATCCATAATGTTCAAATGGAAATACTGCGATAATAATAATTACGATAAGTCCGTTTCTCTTACCGTACGCCAATGATCGTATATCTAAAGTCCCAAAATAAGCAAGAAAACACACTATATATTGCACGACAGCTACTACTATCTTTTGCAATTCACTGTACCCGTTATCTTTTGCTGATCTGTGCCTATGGTAAAATAAAGTTTGATATTTTACCAAATATTAATTGACCTAAATAAAATAGTCGATGAATTCACTATGGAATTCGTTCTCGACCTACATCCTTCGATAGACACCGCCACGATCAGAAGTTTTATTTTAAAACGACATGATAATAGGAATGCGAAAGGACACGAAATGTAACAACTATTCACAAAGAACGCTTTCACGTGTGACCAATGCTGGTTGTCATTAGATCTTAACATATAACGATCTTTATGGGATAAGGGGGGGGGCTTTACAAATAATTAGATTTGTAATTATTGTATAAAGTATAGTAGCTGAGCAGTGCAGACGTGTACTGATAAAACTTTCTTATCATCATAGGCTTCCGTGTCTTCTTAATGAAAGTAAAATACTCTGCAGCATTGCCATTCTTGACGTATCCGTGACGAAAAATACTTTTTATTTGATATTAACACCGAATATCTAGTTATTATTGTTATTATGAGTGAGGATATGTTCGTATTTAATAATTCGGTAATGTGATACATAATAATATGTTGAGATCTTTAATTCACCTTACAAATGAGTGAATACGATCTCTTTTTTATTTTATTATTGAAAGAAGTACAGAATAAAATGTAAACCGTTCAAATGAAAAACAATTTTTATTAAATTATTTTTTTTATTTATTTTTTTTAAGTGAATCGAGATAAATTATTTGAATGTACAACTTATTATAAACGACTAAATCCAATTCCTTCATGTAGACGTTATAACAAACATAACAACAGATAATATCTAATGATATACTTAAAACAAATACAAATATAACCTACTCGTAAACTATTCCATCTTTTCGATCAAAATCAAGTATGACTTTTTTAATTGATTAATAATAAACATATAAAATAGGCATCGCGAACTTTCAATTTCGCCCATATTAAAATTTGACACTCTTAACTTCTTAATGTCAATCTTTTTTTCTCTGACAAAATTTTGCTTTACAGTTTCCAAAGTTGACTGTAATTTAGAGTTTTATATAATAACATAATAAATAAATGCACTGTTAATAATAATCAGAGATATGTAGCCCGAATGTTTTATCATTAATTTTTAGACACGCGTACGCTGTATTGAATCTTTCTCCCACACGTAATTCATTAAATCTTTGAGAAATCCATATGAGAATTTACTTTATATTTCTTATTGACGAGAGGAATCGTCTCCTTTTTACGTTTATATTTATATGTACACTGACGTATTTTATAATATGCATATATATAAATTTTCCTCGCTTTCCAATGATCATCCTTCAAAAATTCAATATATAACAATATTAGATTACAATAAATATATCATACGAGTAAACTGACTCGACTACTGTTACATAGCTATGTTGCCAATAAAACAAACACTACATACAATTGCTTTTCTTTGTCTTTTTTCTGAAAATTGAGTAATTTCTTCTAAATTTTGCACGAACTGCAGACACATCAAACCATCAATATTTCATGATGAAATATAATTTTACAGTCTTCTTTTACAACTTTTTTTTCAGAATATCATCAAATATTATCTTTTCTTATTTAAAATTTTATTCAATCGTGATTCGACTTTTTTTATTTCAAAATTAGTTGATTATCGTTGGATACTCTGAAGATTCAACAATGGACTTAAGAAAAGTATAGTTCCGGAAACATTAAAACAAACTTCAAAGTCTCGACGTGTATTAATTAAATGACTGAATCACGTGAATCTCGGCTCTCTAAATATCATGATTATTATTATTATAATTAGCGTCTCTCATTAAAAAACATTCTTAGTTAAATTATAAAACAAACGTATTCATCGCTAGATAGTTTTTCTAAACTCACAGTTGTGAGATATTATAAGGAAAATTTACCATCAAAAAATAACGTTCGACTTTAAAAATGCAACATAGCGAAATGCCCAAAAGAAGAGCTAACAATGTTATTCCTTTACTGAGAGATTCACACGGTAAAAGATTTACAATGAATTGTAAACAGAGTCACGAGATTTGTTTTTTTTTCTTTCTGTTATTTTCATTTTTAATTAATGCGACATTCCAGTTCGCTATAACGCTTCGATAATATAATATAAAACATCATCGACATGACATTCATCTCGTACAAAAGCTAATAAACATTTCTGTCATGATATATACAAAGTATCAGCACCACGGAAGACAGTGTTACAATTGGTTAAATCAAAAGTTACAATTGGTTTCTTCATTTTTTTACAAAGACTTCATGAACAAATGAACACTTGCTCAGCTAGCAAATCATTGAAAAACTTTTATTTGAAAAAAATTACTCTAAATCTTTGTATGTCAAAAGACATCATACAATATAAGATTCTTTTAATAGTACCATGTACTATTTTTTGCTTGCTGTTGTTCATCGCTCTCGAGTCTTTATTAAATTAACGCTAAAAGGACGAAATCATTCGTCAGTAAAATCAATAAACCATCATTAACAAAAATCTAGCTGCTTTAAACGAGCTAGTGGCGTTATTATTTTCATTATAATACATAATCGGTAAAGTAGCACGTTACCAATTATTACACTTATATTCTTTTATTTTGGAGTTACGACGATTTTTACAATTGAATACAAGACACTTACGTGAACGCGAGGCTCATTGAAAGCGCATATATATTAAAGTTGTGTACTTATATTTATAAATTATGTGTTCACCGTGTTTCACTCTGTCTTCCCCTTATCAATTGCTATTGTAATTTCATTTCAGACAATTTTTATTTACAAAAATACGGTATTTATTTCAAATCGAAATTCTCCCACCTCTTTTTTTTACTGAGAATGAGCAGTCAACGAGGCTTAATAAGGCGTGATTTATCACAATCGAACGAGTATCCATTTATGTTGAATCAAGGCGTTTACAATATATGCGTGTGTGTATTTGTGTGTCTTGTGTGTGTAAATTTAAGCAATAACATTTTTTGGCCATTTAGTTTTGTTTTATTGACGCATTAGTTAGTAGATTGAAAATTTGATGCTATCAGAGAGTATATGGTACATATTAGTGGCATTTTTTTTACAAAACTTTATTATCACAGCGGTCACTTTGAGCAACCATATCAGACGCTTTCAAGTTAACAATCGACAAACTTCTTTACTGTTAATATCAGTCCTTAGTTTAGGATTCATTTCTGAAGGCTTGCATACCTGATTCACGTCTGACTCGAATCAATGTAAATTTGCCTTTAATTAAATAAATATTAGTATAACCAAGTACCGTGCTTACAGTTATTTTCAACTAACCCAAATACATGACAATAAATATTTAATATCTTATTTGTTTTAATTGATGCTTGAATATTAATTTTTCAAGTAAATAGGCGTTTTATAAAGAACTACTTTATAGTAAGTTAAGGAACTTTTTTTCAAATCTTTTTATCGTAATTGTTAAAACTTGAAGTCTTTATTAACTTCATTATTATAATATTTAAAATGCATTACCTATTTGATGTACGTAGAATCAATTTACTATTCATATATATTCTGCAGATGAATATGTATTAAAAAAAATCTTAAAATATTTGCTTAACTTTCAAAGAGTTTTTTTTGTAAAAATAAATATTATCAGAATGTGTCTTTAATTTTTGTCTACCTACTATTTAGAGTTCTTATTTAGAATTTGCATTAATCGACAATTAAAAAGCTCATTCTCCGTTGGCATTCAAATTTTCAATCTACTTGCATCATCTCTCCCATACGTAAAATCTAACAATAAACCGTCTCCCATTCGAGACTGGTAACATTCACCTTTACATTAATCTCCCTATCTATATATACCTAGCACGTCGACTCAACTTCTTTTACCCTTTAGCAGAAATACGTTCATATCATCTTTGCCTTTGACGTAGACTTGACCACGAGGCTCGTAATTGTACCTCAGTGAAACGACGTCCAGGCAGTTACTGGCAAATTGAATTTCACCAGCTACGCCAGTGGAATCCATTCGTGAGGCGATATTTACTGCGTCGCCCCAGATATCGTAGTACAATTTGGTTGCGCCGATTACACCTGCAGTAACATCACCGTAATTAAACCCTACACGAAGTATCAATTTGAAGCCTAGAAGATCGTTGTTGAAATCGTAAATAACTTTGTGCATGGCTTCGGCGAATTCCAATAGCTGATACAAATGCGTGTACTTGTGCTCACTCTGTAGCCTCACCTGAAAATAAAAAAGTTCAAGTTTATAGAAGAAATAAAATAGATTAATCGTTAGTGTTGGATGTTTATTGATAATTAATTAATTACCTGAGGATTCAAACCACTAGCTGCCATAAAAGTACTACCAATCGTTTTGATCTTCTCAACGTTTGAATATTCTTTCTTTTCAAGTAACTCATCGAAATCTCCAATCAACTCGTTTAACACTCTCAGATACTCTTTGCCTCCGAGATACGACTCATCGTAGAGCTCATTAAAATTGACTATACTAGCAAAAATAATGCCCACTTGCTTGTGATTCTGAGAATATTTGGCAGTGGTTTTTAACTGATCTGCGACGTACTTAGGTATAATGTTGTGCAACAGCCAATCTGCCTGATTCTTCATCGACTGTACGCGACTTTTATCTCGAGCTGCCACTGCGTTACCGTGGAAACTCAATCTATAACTGATTTCAAATTCTCGGTTTAAAAACCAGACGAGAAGTAGAAGAAGACCAAGATCGAAATAAATCTCTGAATCATAGAGTCGTTTATTATACTCATAAGCTCCTTCGCTTTTTGTTGGTGTTTCTATTGCGTTCATGACACTGGATGACTGATCTGGTCGTAATAAATTGTCGATCGGATTTTCAGATGATAAAGGAGAGATTGGATGTATTGGACGACCTATTGACGAGTTGATTCCTACGATACGGTACATTTATTATAAATTTACAAATAAATCGACGTAAAATTTAAAAAAGTTTTACCAAAGTTGTTGTTAAGTTCTTTTGACGAATCTGATTGTAACGTAACGATATTCTGTCTGTATACATGACTAATGACAAGATAAACGAAAATTATCCCAGTGAGAGTTGCTAGAAAATTCTTCATCCAGCAATTAAGTTGCGTAAAGTTACAAAAGTGCACGAGAGCAACGATCACTAAGTAGCTGTAGTAGTACTCGAAATGCCCTAAACTAATGTTATTGCAGGTGAAATTCATTAAAATTGAAACGATTGGCAGGCCGACCAGGATGGCACCGCACACGTGCCATGGATACCATTTGGCAAAGAACTTGAAGATTTTGTGAGCGAATGTTAGACTAAATAAATAAATAAATAATAAACTTGAAAAAAGATTTAAAAAAAATTTTTCTTTCTGAAGAAAAGTATACTCACCCTGGATTTAACAACTGTCGTATACACAGTGTGACCGCGAAAATCTGAATGAGAGCAGCGAGGCCGAAGAATATATGATACTGCAATGTTGGCTTGCAGAGTAGAAACAGCGATATCGCGATAGCCGTATAAACGAGGGCCGAGATTAAGATATCAAAGTACGTGTTGAAACGCGACGTCGCAAGTGTTGGTGGATTACCACCGATACCTTCAGAGGCCTTGTGTGCATTTTCACGATATTCCTTTTCCATCTCTTTGTTTTTAAAAAATAGTGTGACACTGGATAATGGTGGTTTAACGAAATACGAGCTTTGTGATGTTACGTTGTCCTGTACACATCTGTAAGATAACAATTTTTGCATAAATAATTATACTATTTAGATAATAGAATAAAACTAAGTAATTTACCTGATCAATTGTAAATCAGATTGCTTTCGAAGCTTATGAAAACAGGCGCCAAATGTATCGGTAACGGCCGGTGGAAATGGATAAGGTGGAACAGATGACGACGGATCATGAGTGGAATTCAGTGTCGAGCTAGACGTATAATAACCGCTTACTCTTGGTCCCAACAAATCACCTTGGGTCATCCCATTCATCAGGAATAGCTAATTAGAAGTAGATCAATTTAATTAGAAATCACGCGACGTACTATTAATATAATTGAGTTTTTAAATACCTGTTGCTGTATACTACTACGTCTACTGTTGCTGCGTATACCAGAGTCTTTTCTACTACATATCGAGGATGCATGACTCAGTGTATCCTGTCCAGGAAGTAATGGACTCGAAGGCATTGGATTCATATCTACTTCCAGAACATTGTTCACTGGGATTGGGAACTGTTGAGAAATAAAAAATATATTGTACATTTGAATAATTGAAAGCATTGAAAGCATCAAAAAGAAATATGCCTCACCTTTGGCGATCCATTATTCTTAGCAACAGGCGGCGTTGGCGCAAACGGCAATCCCAGATTTGCTTCAGCAATTATAATATTCCTTCTACTTTCTACTTCCAATGGTGACATCTCTTCGGTAGTCCTTTGTCTTTGTAAATACCTCCAAGGCCGAAGTTTCTTTTTCTTGCCGTAACTGGCAGTTGAACTAGGCGATTTACTTGAATCTTCAACCTCGTCCATGTTGTCGGCATCGTTGTCCGAATCGAGGATACTTGGCAACGAATTCGCTTTCATACGATAACTACTCGCATTCGTCACCATGTGTAGATAGTGCGGACGTACAGCTTTACCTTGACTACTACACGAGGCTAGACGATGACGGGCTTGAAGTATTGGTGAGACGTTCGTTGGCGCGTTTACGCTGTTCATTACTTGCGAGACGAAATCAGCTTTGCGAGTTTTTATAAAGTAGGTTTTCATACCTGAAAATTATTGGAAATTTCTTAAAAACCATTTTTTAATTGAAAATATTTTTAGTCAACATTATTGGGATTCCAAGCCCAGAAGCAAAGTTAATAAAAAAAAAGCAAAGTACAATTCCACACTTGACTTAATGTTTTTATTTTTGTTTTTATAAAACTGACATATTTCCATTCACTTACTTTATTAATTATGATTGAATGAGTTAGCAAATTTTTTGAATAAACAATTGTAGTAGCTCAATACAAATATTTGTTTCATATTAAGATCGAGAAAAAGCTAATCCAGCAATTTCTTTGGTATCGATAATGATCAATAAACAAATAGTTAAGCGAAAAAAACTGTACTCTAAAAAGATAACAAAAAGCTCCAACAGACATTAAGACATTATCGGCAATCTCTCAGTGTAATAAAACTACCGCAAGAATTCCCGCTGCTTGAATATTTTTACCCGCGCGCTACCGAAAAGCTTTAAACAAACAAAGATCTCTGATGAATCAGCAGCCGCAACAACAAAATCTCAAGGGGAATAAAAAAAAGCAATGTGTTACCATTAACAAGCTCGCCATCTTCGGTGAGATACTGATCATTGAGAAAGCTCAAAGTTTTTTCGCTCAAATGAACCCTACCAGGTTTACCAGTACTCTCAAGTTTGTTGGCAAGGGTGACATCGTTTGACCACACATCAAACTTAAATCTTTTTGTACCAACGATACCACATAGTACGGTACCGGTATGAACGCCAACTCGCATATTTACACCTTCACGGCGCTCGATGTCGAATTGCTTTATTGCCTCGATCATTGCTGTAAAAAACAAATAAATAAATAAAAAATAAAAGAGAACAGTTGTGTTTGCATCAGGATTGGAAAAAGAGAATTGGTGCGCTTGTGCAAAAACAAATATCATCTTATCGGCTTCACTGCGGTTTTTCAGTTTATGAAAATAATACTCTTGCTGATAATACCGTCGTTGAAACACAATATAAGAAGCTATATAATTGCTAAATCAAAGCTGAAATTTACGATCGGGAAAAAATTTGTACACTCACCCAAACCCATTTCCACGCAACACTTTGCATGATCAGGTCTTGGCTCAGGACATCCACTCACGCAATAGTAACAATCGCCAAGAGTTGAAATCTTCTCACAGCCGTGCTGCTCACATAAATCATCGAATCTCTCGAACAGATCATTCAATATTCCGACCAGTTCCTCAGCTGTCTTGTTACTACTCATCCTTGTAAAACCAACGATATCCGCAAACAATATACTAACGTCATCCATCGAGTGCATGTTAAAGGGTCTGAAGAGCGAACGAATGTCGGTATTATTAGACGGTATTGAACCTTTTTTCAGCGAGTCTTCGCGTTCTCTTTCTCTCTCGCTTTCCTCCATCAACCAATCAGCAACTTTAGGTGGCATTACAGAGTGTATCATCTTCTCTTTGAGCTGTTTCTCCATCTCAAGCTGCCTACGTACGAGTAAAGATTGACCAACTTTCATAAATGTACCTCGCATTCGTACAAAGGTCATTATCAGGATATGTACACCAATTAAGTGGATGCAAATCTGCATAAGAATTCTTATAATAAGAATCTTAGTATTTGTTACATCATCATAAATTATCGATAAAGAAGCTTCATAACTGGAGTTGAGGAGATTTGTTTCAGACTCGAGATTTGGCATTAATAATGGCAGAAATTCTTGTATAGTACTGTTGACGATACTACTTGTATTGTTTACAGCTCTTATCAGCCTTTGAAAAGTGATGTTCTGATTGAAAGAATGGACTGCTACACTTGGGGGTGGGACTACATCACTGAAATATTGTCTTGTACTTTCAGAACTGTATTTGTAAGCAGTGAAGAATTCAAATAGAAATGAGTAGAGCGAACATATCAGTACACAGAGATACAATGGCAATGGCAAGACTGTATATATCAGCAGTAAGATTTCTGAACATAATGCAAAATGTCCAACCTTTAAGGCAATATATATTTTTTGTCAATCTTTTGATTACAATACTATGTACAAGAAATAGATCATTTGTCTGACAATAGCTTTTTTTTAAACTTACCAATGTTAAGCCATCCTCATAAGGTGGCACTAAAACCAGAAACAATATCGATAGAAAACAAAGCATCAAGGCAACGCCCACTGATATAGGCAAGACAAAAGTTCTGTAATAGTCTGTGTAAGTGAGGTAAAGAATTGCTGCACATAATATGCTAACAGTGCCGAACATCATTACTATAGCTAACCAACAATCACTTTTATCTTCTATGCCAAGTATGACAAAGTAACCCAGCCATATTATTGATATCAAAAGTATGTAGGTGAGAGCATACCTGAAAAGACAATTTGCAGCATTTAAAATGAAGTAAAGGAGATGTATTTTTACGCTTTGAGCATATAGATGTTACATGAATTTTGTATTTTATTATGTACACATCAGAGGTTAGCAAAACTGTCAACTACTGTAGAGTTAATAAAGTACTTGAACAAATTTGCTTTTTACATAAGAAAGGTTTAAATTATAAATTAGAATCAATAACGCAATTATTATAACAATAACGTTACTGTTTTGCCTATTCAAAAGATATGCGAAAACAAAATTTCAATTACTTAATAAGCTATGAGTGTTTTAAAAGTCTTTCGAAATATAGAAAACAACAATAACAAGAATAAAAAAACTCACCTAAATCGTAGTCTGATCTGCGGAAAGGAGCTGCACTTGTACTGTCCTTCTAGAATTTCAGAGTCGAATTTCGGATTCCACCATGATCGGGGTGCAGCCCTTTCGAAGGGTACAGGTAAGCCAACCCCGCAGCATCCCAAACCTTGACCACTGTGCGCTAAGTAAGTTTGTATATAGGGCGCGAGTGAGATGTGAATCTCATCGTCAGGAACGACACTGCCATCGTCGTCGTCGCCGACGTTGTCCTTCGCGCCACCGTTGCCGCGTATGTAGCTGACCGAGGAGCCGCGTTTACGGCCCTCCTCCTCCTGACTCATCGCTAGCTCTCTTTAAACTCGATCAGCTGTAAAGCCATGGCTTAGACGTTGCTTTCCGAGCTGTCGAGTACGACATCGTCAGCCATCTCTTTCTCACTCTTTCTTTTTCTTTTTCGCTCCTCGCGACGACGGAACGGGCACTGCCAGACACTGCTGTCTGTGGGTAGGTAAGCTAAGGTACTAATGCAATGTTGCGCTGTGCGAAACGCGACGATGATATGATATGTTTTTTCCGCGGCGCGCTACACTCGCATCCGCGTAGCACGAGACACGACTGCCTGCCAATCGCGAGCATTGCTTACTCGTATCTCTCTTTCTCTCTCTGCGCGCACTGTGGGAAATTTGAACGAACTTGGCGTATGACTTTTTCTTTCCCGACGATTGATATGTTATATAGATGCGAATTAAGATTTTTCATCAATTGACAGCTCGACGATCAAGATTGAGATTGCGATTACCTCGTTACGAGAATGTATTCTTTCAGGAGATCAAATGTTCTCACACAGTAGGATTACACTTGTTACTGCTATTTAAATTGCAGGAAAACGGGCGAAGGAAATTGATTGATTGTAAAACTCATAATGGTGTTATGTATAAAAATTAAATTTATTCAATAGTAAAATGCATGATTTGTTCGATAATAGCACATAAATTTTCCATAAGCTCTAGATAGTCTTAATAAATTTCGACAACAATTTGATAATAATCACTCTAATCTCATTGTTCGTCTCTCTTGCGAGTGACTTTACGTAAACCCGATTTGATACAATCCTCCAATACTTTATGATCCTCCTCAGATTCTTCGTAGATATCCTCAGCGCGATAATCGTCTCTGGTTAATTTGTCAGTCTCTTTACTCGTAGCTACTTCCTCCTCGTCTTCTTCGTCTTCCTCCTCAATGCGCAATAATGCCAGGCTGTCAAGATTGACTTGCGAGTCAAAAGGTGATACGTCGATTCTTTTGTCGACACAGCCTTTGAAATCATCTTCTGATAAACTCGCACTGCTATCAGTATCGTAATCATTCAATTGGCCACTTGATCTGCCTTCGCTATAAAATGTTCGAGGTGATTCGTCGTCTTCAGAATTGGCGTAATAAGCGAGATTCTCGTCAGAAATGCTGAGCATCGACAAGGCTGACAGATTCGACTGTGAACCGAATGGAGAGATAAAAGTTGGTGTATCCTCGGTACAATAGATTCTTGTAGAGTCGACAGTTATGATTTCATCGATGTCCGGTTTTGTAGAGAAAATAAACTCGCATTGACGTCTAGTAACTAAACTGCTCGAAAGCGATTCATTTAAATAATTTTGATTATTGTTCTTCACGCGGTTATCACGCCACGGATCCTTCAGCGAATCTCTTGATCTCTTATGCGGTGATTCTTTATTTACATAGACGAATTGACCTATATTTTTGTCTTCGAGATTGATATAACGCACTTCTTCTCTGATAGGCGGTGAAAATACTGGATTATTACGACAATCTAAACAGTAATTAAATTCCATTTGCATTTCATTTCAAACAAATAATTAACGTTTCTTGCTGAGCGTTACATACCTGAATGCTTATTAACGACTTTGTACAATTGTGGCTGATTCTGCATGGAAGCCTTGTGCATACCAGCTGCACTGGTCCTTACCCTAATAGCTGCAATTCGATTCATAATATCCCGACTGTCGCACTCGTCGACAGCGTCATCATCATCGATAGTCAACGCGCTCAGACTGCTACCTGCGATCGAGTGTGCCTTACTAGGAATCAGGGCGCTACCGAAGGAGACCAAGCCGTCTTCGAATACGCTGCAGTGATTAATTTGGTGGTTTGATTTGACATACGTTGGATCTGGCCGATGAAGAACATTATTGACTATTTGTAGTTTATTGTTTTCTTGGTGTTCACGTGAAGGTGGTTTCCTTATGACGGGTCTGCAAAAGATGAATAAATTCAATTAAATTTATGATTAAAACGCCTGTAGTCGAATTATACTACGAGTGAAATTTGTTTACCTTATAGGAACTCTTGAAGATGGTTCTTGAAAGCTTTGCTGTTTTAGCCTTCGCGGACTCGGTGGTACAGTTTGTGTTGGTGAATCCGGTAATTCGCTTGGAGAAACAACTGTGCTTGTTCTATGACTAAAATCACTTACAACAGAACTATGATCGTCGTGGATTGAGCGTTGATCAAATTCATTAAGAGAATCTAAAGAGCTACAACGAGAAAACATTAGAGGAGTCTGTTGAGCATCATTCTCCTCTGAATTTAATGATACAGTTTTGGATTCTTTTTCCTTATCACAAAGTTCAGTTGGTGATTGTAGCGGAGTTACTAATTTTTTCAACTCCACATTACAAGATACCTCAACGTTAGTTTCTGCAGTTTTCAATAATACTGGTATTTTAGTGTCTTCATAGGCATATTTTTTTTTCAGTTTTACTTGATTATCTTTTGAAGATTTGTCTGGATTTGTCATTTTTTCTTGCTTTTCCTTCAAAAATTGTCTTTTGTACGTTACTTCTGGTGCTTCTTTATTGTCTTCTAAAGATAAAAGATCTGATATCGATGTGGAAGCAGAAAAATTACATGGTGTTTCATATGGGGTGCCTTCTGTATAGTATGTTTTTGTGGTATCTTCTTGTCCCCTGGTGCACTTTAATAAACATAAAATATAATTAGAAAATATTGATCATCTTAATGTGTGAATATAGCAATCTTATATTATTAGACTTACATAAAATTGAGGATTATCTTCTTTCTCTTCTTCATCTGTATCCTCTTCAGCATAACGTAAACTATAGTCAGTTGGTTGATCCAAATCTGTTTCTGCATAGTCTCCATAAGGATCCACTTTCACTGATTTCTTTTCAGGCACTCTTCTTGGTGCTGTGGGAGCAACATTTCTTTGCTGCTGTGTAATTGCTAACGAAGAAGTGTCTGTTGTGTAACGTTTAGAATAATCTATCAATTCATCATCAGCTGTGTCAACATCATTATTTTCACTTCTATCATTGCCATTATCACTGCATGCAGCATCTTTAAAAGTTGGAGATGAGGCTGGAGATGTTTGAAGATAATCTTTGTAGGATTCATTTCTTTCATCGGTATTGTTGATAATCAACTCTTCATTTTCGCTACTGACCGTAGAATCAAATTCATCTACTGGTGAACAGCACAATCGATTTTGACTATTATCTATTGCTTCAATCGATGTGTCAGAACCATAACTCCATCTTTTTCTAGAATCAAATTTACTATCATCATTTTCGTTAGGCCACCAATGTTCTGAATGGTTAGAGGCTTCTAACAATTCATTTACATTTTTTTCATCATTCAAGTAATTTTCTGGAGATGGTTCATGAATACCTTGATATCTATTAATTTCTAAATCATTATAATATACTTTGTTCATTTTGTCACAGTTTTTATATGTTTATATTTATAACTTTTTAATTATTGATTTTAAGGCAGTAACATATATGACATACTGTGTCAATAATGATTTTTATCTTAAAATTAGTATCAACTTTGCATATTTGTTCATTTATTAACTGTCTTTTTATTACAGTCACAGTAAAAGCTTAAAAATCTTGATTTTACGTGTAATTGATACTGCTTTTTTGTAAAAAATCTAAAAATATTAAAAACTTGTTTAATATAATACATCGTATATCATTATTATTGCAACAGTCATTGCATACCTTAAAAATACTTTGAATATTTAACTTCCATTAAAACATTCCATTCAATAAATAATAATAGAAACAAAATAAACTAGAAAAATTAATGTTTAAGTTCTGTTTAAATGAATTCACATTTTCTGAAACAAACAAATATTTCATTATTTACAAAACATAACCAAAAAAATAATGAAAATATGCACTATGAAATATTATGCTTCAATTATACGGGCCATGTTTGTTTTGTATTTTGCAGATACATACTTTTAAAGATTCAGGCCTTGCCAGAATATTTCTCAATGAAATTAAAAACATTAGCTTGAAAATAAAAATACAAACAACAAAAACTTTTCATGGTACATAATTCCATTTCTAACATATTCTTTCCATCTATATTTTGGCTTTGTTATTAATTATTGACTTCAGCAGTACCCAGTAGACAGAGCGTATGAGTTGACTCACGTATTATAGATACATTCATTCAAATATTAATAATAGGATTTTTTCAATAACTTTTTTATAAATAATTAATTTGCAAATAACTACCTATTGGCAACTCAATGTATAGTGAAAAATGTATAGTTAATAATTTTTAATAATCTAAACAGTATTAAAATAACTTTTTTTATATAAAATAAACAGAATAATGTTTTATATAGATAGAAATATTGCAAAGTGAAATGTAATCATTTAATTGAAATACTTTGGATATTTATGCATTCATAGCAATTTACATATATGTCTTTAAAAGATGATCACTTTTTGAGTGGGGCGTCTACTATCATAATCCGTAATATCTTATTAATAAAACGTTTTCTATTATCTGTAGAAAGTTCATTAATTCGCAACTATATTTCTAGTTATTATTAAAATACTACATGAACATTTCGTGCGACAAACCTGCATTTATCATTAATTATTTGGCTTATTGCTGGTTTTGTATTGGATGTAAGTATTTTCATAAGTTAAAGTGGTATGTAAACAATAGCTTTATTTACAAATTGTATAATAGTGGATATAAATAAGAGATATATTACTATTCAACTTAAAAATTAATAAAGTTAAACGCTTATATATTTTGTATTTTTTATAGAGGTTAGTTATTATCCAAAAAAATGACTACAGTGAAATGTCAGGGTGGCATTGATATTTTGAGGTTGCCTGTTAATAAAGAAGAACATGTTTTTCCACCATGGTTTATGAAATATACACAATCACATATATTGCATTCCAAATGTTCAATAACTGGACAAGAAGATCAGGGATGCAAAGATGATAAGGATATTTGCCAGTTTTGCTCGTAAGTTATCATTTAAAAATCCCATCAAATATTACAGTTTGATTAAAATTTATTTATAAATAATTATAATTCATAGATACAGTCGAGCTCTTGAAATGCCACACATGCCAGATATGGTTTTTCCAAACAATATTCTCCATTTAAAACACAAGAATGGTGCAACATTAGATTTTGTAGCTCTTGATGCCTTGAAAAGAGTATCCAACGGAAAAATCAATGTTCAGCTTGCTTGTGCTGAAGCTTGGCGTGAATCCAGGTACATGAGTTTTTGTTTGGATTGTATTATTGGAAGGCTATTTGGATTGTATTATTGAATAAATATTATTATCGTTTATGTGAGCAATCACTTCCAATAATATACATTTTATTTTTACAGAGTGGATCAGGAAGAATATTTAAAAGAGACAATAAAACCTTTTGATTGGACATTTACGACTGACTATATGGGTACAATGTCAGGATTTGAAGTGGAAGAGACTGATGAACGTATTGATATGGAAAAGCTAAAACGTAAAGATAAAATATTATTTTACACTGATTTGACTTTATTTGAAGATGAACTACATGATAATGGAATTGCATCACTATCAGTAAAAATGGTCAGTAAAATAGATGTTATTCTACATCATTGTAAAATTTCATTGAGTACTGAAGTGATAATATGATTATTTTCAGAGAGTGATGCCTGGAACGTTTTACATACTCTTACGATACTTTTTAAGAATAGACAATGTTATGTTAAGAGTAAATGATACCAGAATATATCATGAATTTGGACATAATTATTTGTTACGTGAATATACTTCCAGAGAAGCCAAAGTTGAGGAAATAAATGTGAGTTATCCTATAATATACAAGATTAATATTTAAAATTATCTTTATAAACAAATATGTAATACAAATATTTTTTTCATAGGTATCCCCATCCTTATTCGTACTACCAAATGAGATTGCTCCTCACCTGCCATTGGTTAGAAGTTATTATCACAAATTGAAAATGTCTGCATGTCCTGAACCTATTGCAGCACCTACACTTAATTTAGCAACTAAAAGTGAAGCTGCTGCAACATCCTCTGAACGCAAAGATTGTGCTAAAGAAACTGCAAATAAAGATAATGCTACAGAAATTACACAAAACAAATAAAAAATAAATAAGAATGTATGTTATGTGAATCTATAAGTATGCTCCATATAAAACCTTGGATTATTTTTAAGGCAAAAAATTGTAAATTTTGTAATCAACGGTAGAATGGATTTTGAATTTGCAGGATAGATTTTATGGATATACTTTAAAAAATGCAGATTCATTTTACGTGAAAAAACTTTTTAATAAAACAAAAAGATTTACAAAGAAAACGCGGGCTCTTTTTTCACATTGTAATATTTAGCACACTAATACCGCTTATAATTCAAATTATTTAATCATGAATGTTTAAATGAAAAAAAAAATTATTTAATAACTTTTATTATGGTAGTCCTACATAAAAAAGTGAAGGCATTTTATTGGTGATTTGATTGATGAAAAGTTAGTTATGTGAATTACCATCGCGTGGCAGTATGTGTGCATATGCACGTGTATTGAACTTAGAATATATATAATAATATTAGAGTAGCAGCTCATGTTTCATAAATAAAAATTAATTCTATTAAATAAAATAAAGTTCTTATTAAAATAAATAAAATAAAGTTCTACTAAGAAATATATATTCAATAATAAAATTAAATTTAGATTACAACTAAAGTAAAAAGATACAGTAAATTAATAAAATAGAAATACAATTCTATTATTTCACAGCAGACTATATACCTATTTAACTTGACTTGCGTCCTATAGTCTTACGATATTCAAAACTGAAGAATATCAGTGTTATCACCTAATACTGTGGCGCCCCGCGCACTTGTAGTTGTAGAAAGACCCGTATGTATGCCCCGTGGCGCATGCTCGGGCTGTGACCACCGTTGAGCACTCCTCACTCGGTCTCTGTAACGAACAGTCGTCGTCGCGCTCTTACCGACACGCACCAAATATCGAATAAAGGAGCAATACAGATAGATAAGTGGGGATTTGAAATCAGTGACCTTTCCCGCCTCGGCATCCCTGGATCCCCACAATACTATTTGCCTTAACGCCATCTAAATTTTATAAATGTACTAAATAAAACATTCTTTCTGATCTTATTTCCTTAATGAAACATATGTTCAGCAAATTTCTGCTTATAAATTTCTAGAGTCGTTTTACATGTTACATAGATTTTATGTTCATTAATTGAGTTTAAAAAGTAAGACGCTTTGCAGGCATTAAAAAAAGAATAACGTCCACATTCACTCAACGGCCTAACCTTAAAATAATATGGTAAAATAATTTTAATGCTCTTCAATTACATTTATTCTTAGGACATAAATTTATTAAATATCTCTGTTACAAAGTGAAGCTTCGAATAGACATCATTAACAATGAAGAGAATCATAAACTGATAGAATATTTCATAAAATAAAATACTGTAAAAATACATGAGAAATAAACTCAGAATTGTCATGGATGAATCGGTAAAAGATAACAGTTATGTTGCTGGAAGAGAAAATTAAAAAAGTAATACTTCAAATGAGCCGAAATCTGAATAACTAAGTACTAGTTTTTTTGTTTATAAACAAATTATTAGAGTCATGTAGAAACGGAAGAAGGAAAAACGAACTTGATACACCGCCCGTCATAAATAAATCTGTGAATATTAATGTAAATGGATTTTTATTTGTCAATTAATATCTACGGTTGTTATAAGCATGTCAAAGCATAGAACAACTTCATATATGCAGTGTATTCTATATTGATTTTTATTTGATTGAAACATGAAATTGAATATTAATACAAACAAGAAATGAGTGCGCGAAGCGCGCTTTTCGATACTAGTTTACTATATAATATTCAATATTCTTATTCGAAGTATTACTTCATTATATCTATAAAGTTTGCTGTGTAACAAAGCATAGTGCACATTAAGACTAATATTTTTCTGTTACAAGTTAATTATTCTTACACAGAATATACCGTGCGACTGTCTCTGGTGTGCTACTAAGCCGCAGTATGGCCAGTCATTTCTATTTTTGTTTGCATGTACATATAGGCATTTACATATATATCGTAGCAATAGCAATAATAGCGATCAGTGCCGAACAGTCTTTCGAATACCGCGTACTCAAAAAATAATACAACTCGTTTATATGTTGAGTCGGGCTCTATAAGCTTTGTAATTCACGCGCTGACAAAAAGCTACCGATTAATTTATTAACAGGTTTGATGCGGGACTCAAACTGAAGTGAGTGCAGATCTACGTGTGCGTCTGGTGATTATAGTTTTCATACAATTATTGTCGGTTGTTGCATAGTTTTACAAGATCGCTAAGGTGACGCAACGAGATAAGATACCCGGTCGTAATGTCTCGCATGGGATCCCACATAAGATCCCGTATAAATTCTCATGCGGAATCCCAGGATTCCTAGGTGGGAATTTGATAAAAAATTCCTTATGGTTTCCGACATAGGATTTAAAAAAAATTAAAAATGATCGTGAATCCCACATGAGATCCCATATAGGATTTCAAAAAATTTTCCGATCCGCATGTATGAACGTGTAATATCCATGTAATATCCGCACATGGATTGGATATACTACATATGTTCTACAAAATAGATGGTTGTACACGTAATATTTAAAAAAAAATTTTTTATTGATAGAACCTTGAATTTATTTATTTATTATTTTGTAATTCTTAAGAGAAGTCCAACTGAATATTATGTATATAACAGAGCAAGACATACAGAATGGCACGGTGAATCGTTGTTATTTGTATCAGCAGCAGGTTGGATACATCAGTGTGCACTTTTAATTATTTTGGAGTATTTTACATAGTTCTTCACTGAACTGAGGGTTGAAACAGTTAGATAAAAATCATTCACAAAGAATCTCTCGTGCGCGTATTTGTCCGACGTGTCGAACAGCGTTTATGATTTTGGAAAAATTAGTGTACTAAAAACAACGCGTATTTTATCAAATTCCCATATAGAATCCCGTGCGGGATACCATTCAGGATTTTTCGACCGGGTATAATGTAGCGCCAACTTATTTCATACGTATGTAAATCAGAATTTAATTCGAATAATGAGTATCGAATGATGCTTCTATAATAGGATTGGAAAAGATTTTAATAAATTTGTACGAGGACTATTGTTTACACTAAGAGCTGGATTCTTGCACTATGCGCAGATAGATTATTTGTAAGAGTAACAATTTCGTATATAGATCATCGAAAACTTTCAACGATACTGTGGTACGAGTTGTTTCCTGATAACAATAATAAATTCTTAAAATCCCCAAAATAAAAGAGTGTGAATTAAACTCTTGAAATAAGTCAATTTCACGCGTAAAGTGCTCGGTGTACTTGCGTACTTCTCAGCACAACACGTCTCGAATTGTACATGAAATGTTGTCAGTTGATTAGTTGGATCGCATTAATTAATCATTCTAGTTTCAACTGAATCATGAATCGAGTTGTTATACCAGATTACACAGTTCCAGCGGATTTGGAAAAAGTTTTAGTTAATCACATAAAGAGCTACAATGGCATGAACAATGATTCGCGCTTGTATTTACAAGTTTTGTCAGCTCTGAAGAATGCTACAAGCATCAACATTTCGGAGAGCCATTACTTGACCTTATTGAAACTGGCGCTCTATTTAGAAGAGCATCAATGCAACGTGGATATGAAAAAATACGAGCGGTCTGGCATAAAAATCAAACGACCAGACAGCCAACCAACTATGTTCCAAATAATCATTGAAGAAATCGACGAAGAAAAACCTTGGATAAAACAGAATGATCTCGTGGATGTTATTGATAACGCAAGTAATCTGCTTTACACGTTGAAAGTTATGAACATTCAGCAGAACAATATAATCGCCTATGATGAAAATGCGATGTAAGATATATGCATCCACATTCTTAAATAATTGCTTCACTTTGATCGAAAGGCAACATTTCTTATCACAGCTTGGATGAAACTTACACTGCCGATAAACTTTACAACGTTAAATTTCGATTTCAAAATTATTCCTTGAGATGTTGTCATTTCGCTTTGTCACGAATTCTTCAGCAAAATGTGACGACGTATTTGTTCCCGTACAAATGGAAATCTTTTATTATAAAGAACCCGAGTATTTACAAGTAAGTTTCGATTTTTTGTATTAGATGTAACAATTATCCGTTTTTTCATTGAACCGATTTCGTGACATTTTAATAAACTTAATTGCAGCAAATGTATACTTATTGAAGAAATTGTATTATAATTTCGTAGTAAGATTTTTATTTTATCATTGGTTCTCAGTGATTTCACAGCAGTTAATCCTTCTATCTCGAAGAATTCTGAGCAAAAACAAGCTATCATTAATATTATAAACCGATCTTCATTTCCTGCGCCATACATCCTTTACGGCCCGCCTGGTACCGGAAAAACAGCCACTTTAATTGAAGCTATGTGCCAAGTAAGAATTTCATTTTTTTTTCTTATTCATTACAATTATTTTTATGGTTTATTCATAAATATTGTATCTTATTTAAAGATATATAGTAGTTTTCCAGAGCGACGTGTCTTAGTTTGCACGCCGTCAAACACTGCCGCAGATGAGATTGCGAGAAGGTTGATTAAATATATTCCTCCTGAGGATATCTATCGATTTTACAGTCAATCTAAAGACGCGTAAGGTTCAAGCTTATTTAAGCCATTATGTAGTATACTTTCTTACATAGTAACTGTTTGTATAGCTCAACCATCGATGAACAATTGCGCCCGTGTTCTAATTTTGAAGGAGGACAAATAGCTTTTGTAAAGCATGAAGTTCTTGAAAAGAAGAGCATTATCATATCTACTTTGTGTAACTGTATGAGGTTCGCATCGATTTGCACTGTAGTAATCCTAATTTTGTATTGCAAAACAAACGATGTGAATTTTTATTTATTTATTTATTTATTTATTTTCAAGATTGATAATAATGAGACTGAGCCCTAATTATTTTTCATACGTAATTATTGACGAAGCTGGGCAGTGTATAGAACCAGATCTTCTCATTCCCGTAAGCATAGTGAGTAACGGTGGACAACTTTGTAGTCAAATTGTTGTGGCGGGCGACCCACAACAGTTGGGACCAACAGTTATATCAAAACTTGCTGCAATTGTTCTTGGTGTGTATTTAATCAAGTTCATAATTATTCGCTAGCTATTTCTTTACCTTCTATTATTTATATTACAGGAAGAACAATTTTAGAAAGATTAATGTCTTATGACATTTACCAAAAAGATCACAATATGAGGTACAATCCTAGGTATATTACGAAGCTCCTTATAAATTACAGAAGTCCTCCAAGTATTTTATATCTTTCCAACCACTTGTTTTACGACAATGAACTTTACTCACAATTTCACAGTAACTGTGAAAAGACTATTTTTCCTATAATTTTCCATGGAGTGAGAGGAAAAGAAGAAAAATATTTCTACTCGCCTAGGTACGTAGATATTTTATTATGTAATTGATGAATCTTAAAATCTATATTCAACAAAAGTGGTTTACTTTTTCAGTTCTTGCAATCACACAGAGGTCCAGCTAGTTTTAGATTACGTTGATAAATTAATTAAAAATAAAACAGGTTTGGACTTAGGTTTAATTGATCCGGACGATATAGGCATTGTTACACCTTTTACTTTGCAAAGTAAATTGATTAAAAAAAAGCTTAATCATAAAAAGTTGGAGGGAATTAACGTTGGAACGGTCGAGTTATTCCAAGGACAAGAAAGAAAGGTTATGATAATGACAACCGTCAGAAGCAAAACTTTTTTCCACGACGGCCAACGGCATATTGGATTTCTATCAAGCCCAAAACGTTTCAATGTTGCTATAACGCGGGCTAAGACTTTACTTATCGTGATTGGGAACCCAACTGTTTTGCAAATTGATTACAAGTGGAATTACTTATTAAAATATTGCATGGAGAATAAGTCTTACCATGGTGTCAAATTTTCTTTACGTCCGGTCGATAATAAACAAAATAATAAAAAGCTGCATATTCTCGAATCTTCGACGTTATTCAGATCAGGTAACTAGTGATCTTAAATATCATCATTTGATTTAAAATTTTCCGTACTTATAAACGAATTTAATTAATATAAATCATTTTTTTCTCATTCACGAATCAGACAGTGGAACTGATTTATTACAATCTTTATGCGGAATTTTCTTTCCTGAAATACCAGTTATTTATAAAAAAGCATCAACAAATTGCCGAATATCCCAAGAAAATTACAGCTACCAATATAACCAGAAGAAATCAAGCAGTTGTACAATTCTTTAGTCATTTTATGTATCTGTTTAACAACTTGCACGATAATCTACTTTATAATGTATATTCATTTTGAATTCGTTTCATGACGATATACTAGATAATGTTTTTGCTATTATTTATGATAAATTTATATTTCACATAAACTATTTAAGGCTCGGTACCTTTCTCAAATAATATGATTGTTAATATGTTCGTGACAGAGAATAATTGATGTATTGATGCGTGCTTTTGTTATTCATTGTAGTACTAATAAAGTAACAAAATTTAACAAAAATTCATGTTGATAGATCGTTGGCAATGTCAAAACCCTTTTGCACAATTGATTCGCTCACCTACTCCCTCCCAAAACAAAGACTACAGTGATTATTTTATACGTTGTAAAGTAATAAAACAGTGATTGTTATATATGTGCCATTTGAGTACTACGAATGCTCGTAATCGATTATTTTATTTGGTTTCAATTCACGAACTATAATTAAAAAATTATCTCTTCTTACATAACAAATAATAAAATGAGTCAATCATTACAATCATAAAACTATTCTCTTATTATTTTTTACGACGAGTAACATCCGTTTCATTTCAATATATTTACAATTTTTGCTGTTTATTGAAGAATGATTAAACTTTTTTTAGTAAAATTAGAATTATTAAAATCATCCACGTTCGAAAAACTTAACGGTTAAAGCGTGCCTTCTTTATAGTTATTGATATCTGATTTTTTTCCATCACCACTATTTACTTAGATGTACTTACCACCACTATTTATTTATATGTAATATATGTACATGTATGTGGCACGCGCATTGTACTAGTTTAGTTACCGATACAGTGCAAGTCGCGACATGAGATCCCGCGATCCTTGTTTGTTTTAGATAAATTCAAAATGGTACGTGGATCGTGCTAAGGTACGTAGTTGAGAAGATTTTCTGTGTTCTTGCATTTATTCAATATGTTAATATCAATCATTTTTGATAGTTGAATAGCAAATGTGATTTGTTTTGTGCCGTGTAATTCCATCGGACTGAACAAAGAACGACTAACGCGACACACTGATTTTTCAGCTCGTACGAAAGATCAAACATTTGATCTCCATTAACGTTCTTACGGGTAAATATTTTGTTGTCATTGGCTGTGTTGAAAATGGACACCATAGTTTCATATTCGATATTGCTTCAACACATATGCATTTATAAAAGGTATTTTTGTGTTGGAAAATCAAATACTCTATTAGATGAATAACGTGAGTTGCTAATCAGCTAATATCGTTATTAGTTTTTTAGAGTTAAATCCTGATGACTGTACACTAGAACAATGTTACTACGTAATATTTTGAACGGAAAATTATGTTTTTCAGAGTCTTACTAACATTACATGCGGATGTTGTCATATGTGCAATTATTAAATTAATTAATTATTAATTATTATTATTAATTGTATTGAATTATTATATAATTAAAATATCAACATGTTTATATTCATATTTGAGTGTCATCTTTCATTTGCTTTCTTTGTGATTATTTTGAGAAAGCTTTTAATAGAATTCAATTGCAATATTAGTTTGGTTCTTGATGGATAAACTTTGCCCTGTCCTCTGTACGTAACACGTGAAATAGTATTACAAAGTGAAAAAGTTGAAATACCTTATTTTCTCGATGCATCAATAACGAAAATAAAAAAAGAAATTTGTATAGAAAACTCTGACTTTAATTTTGTTTTTAAGATAACGGGATTATTCATTCTTCAAAATGACAGCAGTTGTGAGAAAAAGTCGACATTCTTCATCGCAACTGCCGGAATATGCTGTGCCAAAAGATTTAATAGCAGTGTTGGATGGAAAAGATTCCTCAGATTTTTCCAAAAGAGCTCAAATGTATTCAAAAATTTTAAGGTTTATCAAAAGTGCTGATTACATAGATATGGCAGAAAGTCATTACATACAATTACTCAAGTTAGCTGTATATATTGAGGAATACCAAAGTAACAGAGAAATGAAGAAGCATGAAATGACCAAACAGATTATTAATCGTATAAATTCCAATGATCTTAATGAAGTATTATTCAGAATTGATGTTGATGATCTTGATGAAGAGAAAGCGTGGATAAGACCAAGTGATTTTGTTGATGTGACGGACATATCAAATGATGCAACTTATACTCTCAAAGTTATAAACGTAGCTCAATCAGAAATAATAACTACTGATGAATCTGGCAGGTAACTTATTTTTTTTATACAAATATTTGAATTTTTAAGTGTTTAAGCTTGAAAAATTTTTATTTTAGATTGCGTAAAATGTACAATAGGAAAAATCTCTATGATATAAAGTTTCGATTACAGAATTATTCTTTACGATGTAACCATTATGCATTATGGATTGCACATAAATCTAAATTAACAAACTATCTTTATCCTTATAAGAGTAAACCGTTCATCAAAACACAAAATACTGATTACAAGTAAGTTTTATTTGCTGCGAAGAATGAATCCTTTGCTATTATTTCTCAATATTACATTTTCATAAAAAAGAAAATTATTGTATGACAGGAATTTCAGAAAACTTTGCTTCAATCACAGTTTAAAAATATGTTACAGGGAGTTGGAAATGTGGCACAACACAGCTATTGAAATGAACCCAGAACAAAAGCAGGCTGTATTGAATATTCTAAATAAATCAGCTTTCCCTGCTCCATACATTTTGTATGGACCACCTGGCACAGGAAAGACTGCAACTCTAGTTGAAGCAATTTGTCAAGTAATAAATTTCTTATTTTACAAGTTAATGTGACAACTAAAAAGAAATAAAATGAAATTATGTTTTAAAGATACACAATGAATCTCAAAACAACCGTGTCCTTGTGTGCACACCTTCAAATACTGCTGCTGATGAAATTGCAAGAAGATTAATGCAATTTATGGAAGTAAGATATCTCTACCGTATTTATGGTCAATCCAGAGATAAGTAAGCTAAAATTATTAAACATTCAAAATATTTTTACTATGCAAATTTAATTTTTCAACAACCATTTAATTGTTATAGAGGAACAATTGATGAAGAATTAAAATCATGTAGTAACTGTCAAGGAAGCAGCACAGAACCAGTAAAATATGAAGATATTTTAGGGAAAAGGGTATTTGTTACAACATTAGGTACTGCTGCAAGGTAATCAAGCTGTTCATTTTCATTCCAATATACTTTTGCATGAACATAAATCTCATTACATTTTTTCAGATTAGTCCTTATGAGGTTGAGTGTATATTATTTTTCTCACATTATTATTGATGAAGCTGGCCAGGGTACTGAACCTGACATCTTACTTCCCATTATCATTGCAAGTAAAGATGGAGAACTTAATAGTCAAGTAGTTTTAGCAGGTGATCCTAAGCAGTTAGGGCCTACTGTGATTTCAAAAATTGCTGAAACTATCATTGGTTAGTTGAAGTTTTTACCACAAAATAAAGTAGTGTAAAAACGAAGATTTTTTAAAAATTTCCTTAATACAATATATTAACTCTTGTAGGAAGATCTATTTTGGAAAGACTTATGTCTTATGACACATATCAGAAAGGCTCAAACAATAAATATAACCCAAGATACATCACAAAACTACTTTACAACTATCGCAGTGATCCAAAGATCATACAAGTCTCCAATGAATTATTTTATGAAAATGAACTCATTCCTAAATTTCAAAAGAAATATCATCATCGCCATTTTCCGGTTTTATTTTATGGTGTAGAAGGTACAGAAGAAAAGTCTAATTATTCTACTAGGTAAGTTTTTTCATTTTTTTTTTAAATATAAGTATTGATAAGCTAAATTTTGAACTTAAATACTTTATAGTACTTGGAACTCTGCGGAAATACACGTAGTTGAACAATATGTGGAAGATTTGCTTCAAGGCCGCGCAGGATTGGGTAATGTGTCACCTAAAGACATCGGGATCATCACACCTTTTACTTTACAAAGTAAGAGGATCAAGAGATCACTGAGGGGCATGGGATTAAAAGATATCAGTGTTGGAACAGTAGAACTATTTCAAGGACAAGAAAAGAAAATTATGATTATGACTGCTGTCAGAAGCAAGACATTCTTCCACGAGGGCAAAGAGCATATTGGATTTTTATCAAATCCAAAAAGATTTAATGTTGCTCTGACAAGAGCGAAGAACCTTCTCATTGTCATAGGAAATCCCAAGGTTTTGCAGCAAAATTATATGTGGCGTTACCTTGTTGAATATTGTATACAAAACAAGTCTTATTTTGGATCGCCATTTTCTCTAGAATCTTCTAACTACAGGAAAAATATCTCGGGAACAGAGAAAATAGTGGATTCCAAGAAATTGTTTCAAGAGACTCCTTTCCAGCTATTTATGCTAGGTAATTTTAGATATATTTTAAACCAGTAAAATTATTAATTTTTACTTTTCAACCAAGATCTAACCGATGAACCGTAAATTCAACTGTTTATTTACAGACGAACGCGACACTATAACTGATTTGCAGAAAACTATGGAGATACTTACTGATTTTAAGTAATAAAATTTTCGCTAAGGACGATTATAAATAGATCTGATTATTTAATTTAATTAATTGCACTATAATCGTCTGTTATTAGTTTATAAAATAAAAATGTGAAATTAATGTAATGATACAATGGCAAGAAGGAAATTTCTACAAAGATGCAGATACAGTGAATGTAAAACGATTATCATTCCGACATTTTGAGCATATAACATCGCTATAGCACTTATTATTACTCTCATTAGTCTTTGACAATTGATAATTATTATTCTTTTTTAATTACTTTTGTTAGCAATAGACCCTAAAATGGATTTAAAAAATATTATATAAATAATAATTTTTTCAGATTTATACATACCAAAACTCTTATCACGAATAAACTATTGTATTTTGAACACATTTGACGATACATACATCATTACCATACAAGTATTTTTTGTAGATGGGAAATCTAAAATCGCCCATTTTAATTCAAGCTTTCACCAAACAAATTTTTTTTTATTTTTCATTACTTGCAGCCGTACATTTTGCGAATCTTTTTAATGTCTTTAAGACTCAAATTTTGCCTCTGTCCTATTTTCATCTTTTTATTTTTCTGAAAAAATTCGTGAATGAAATGGTAACAATCTCTGTGCTAGTCTGATCAAGAAAAGAAATTTATTTGATCAACAATTGGTCTAATTATTTAGTCGTTGGTATAGTTACCCTTACGATGATCGTTGGTTTTCCATTGCGAGAGAAAGCGTAAGTCGGATAATGCATTATACTTTCATAATCATAACTTATACCAAAAGTGTCGACTTCCGTAAAATCATATTTCTTGAAGTTGAATTTGGCAACTGTAAAATGTTTTACGTCTTTATTACTAACAAATAGAAACCGAAAGAAAGCTCGATAGATTGAACCAATAGCAAAATCGTTCAACAAAAAGAGCTTGCTGATGTGAATTATAAAACAAAATTACTTTCATGAATGTTGTCCCACAGAATTTTGACATACTTGTCCCTATCAGGGCGGGAATGCTCGTGGTAAAAGCCAATAACGTGCATGAGCTCGTGAATGATGGCTCCTTTATTGCTCACGCATGCGGGCGTTAACCTGAGCACTTGAAAACCGCCTATACGGCCTACGTAACTACTGCATCCTTCTTCAGATAATGTTATTTCTACGCAATCTTGCTCTCCGGTGCGTGGCTTGAATCGGATACACGTGCTTTCGTGAACATCTTCCATCGCGCTCTTGATCATCTCTCGATCTATTGTACCTATATTGATGCTCTTTATTATAACACTACACTGTCGGTTTCGTTGAACAGTTGAAACTTAATGTTAATGGTAGAGATCCAATGTTTAAAAGTTATTTTCAAATGAGCAGCTTTCGAGCTTCACTCAACTATAACGAATCGCAATGTAAGATTTATAGCTGGTGTCCATTAATGGTTTCACTAACTTATGGATGGTAAGGACTTGAAGCATCGACTATCGATAAATCTGCCAGCTGGAGCGTGGCCGTTCGTTTGATATAGTCGTTTCGCGCACCAACACTTTCCTTCCGTTGGACCAACGAAAATTAATGACAGCTAGAAATCATAGTCGCGTTTTCTAAGTTGTTTTTGAGGAAATGGCTACACGGATCGCTTTGGAAATGATTAGTCACAAACCAGCTAACCAGATTTAGCAATAGGATTAGTTACATATACCAACAATCTATAATTTACCAAGCAAACGTTATGAACTAACTGATGAAAGTTATTCTGGAAATGTTCATACGGAGATGCAAAGATTCACGATTGAAAAGATTGTATAATAATTTAAAGCTTATGAAAATACAATGATGATTTGATGCTGTGATTAACGACATACTGAAGCGACGATCGATGACATAGGGAATCCGGCCGCCAGGCCATTGGAAAGATATTGCTCTTGTTCCACTTCTCTTCTTGACCATGGCAGTTTTGCGACTATACGTAGCTTTTTATTTATTTCTTAATAATGTGGACCAACTTAAACATAAATTTTGGTTGTGCAGTGCATTATCGCAAGTTTCCCGAAAGGAAACTGCGAAGCAAAATCAAAATAAGCGAGCTTTACGTGTACTCGATTTTACGAAATTATGGCAGCTGCCGTGAAGTTGTCCGCATCAAAGTGAGAGAAACGACAAAACAATAAATAATGCAGGGAAGTGGTGTTAAATGTAAGCATGCGTTTTTGTCTCTGCCGTACTTGTGTCCACGAGTGTAACCAGCAAACCATGCACGTTATTGCTTGGCTGCAAGCTCCTACTCGGAATGGAACGATAGGCGTTTGAAAAAAAAGCTTCGGCAGATGACATATTATGCTCTCATTATAATAAACGTGATAACGGCACATAAAGTAACTGAAAACAAATCAAAATGTTCAAAGTCAATAATGAATAGAGGAACAATGACAAAAGAGAGTCCAGAGTTAGTTGATGGTTTTCATCTCGAATCTCGGACCAAGGCTAGAAATTGTCAGATCCCGTGACAAAACAAAACAAACGAAAGTCGCTCGTTACAACTTCAGGTCGCAATCGTCGCACCGATATACTTTGCAATAGAACCACTCAAACATTCCCGTAACCCTTAGCTGAAAACCTATCGAGCGACCGTCTTATTGTTCCGATGTGAGATGCGGCGATTGAACGAAGTTGATTCTTTTCTGCATTTTGTTGAACGTCGCAAGGAGAATTACGGCGGTCTTTTCCGCAACGTGCGTCGTTGCGGTTTGTATTTTGCAAGGGCTACACGAGAACAGCGCATATTCGAGCGCGACCGATGGGTGTTACGACCAGCAGGAGATCCGTTGATAGCAGATTATCAATGGCGCGTCGACGAGCTAAGGAGACATATTATTTCATAGGCAATCACACCTTGACGAATTATTTTAAAGACAATGTGAATAAGAGAGAAAAATTTGATTGATCACGCATGTCTGCAAACCAGTGAGGGCTGCACTCGATGTATTTACGTTTAGCAGACGTTCGTTGTCTATGGTCACATTGAGAGAAGAAATAAATTTTCGAAATTATGGTCTCAATCTGTAGAAAAATTATTTCCCCTTCCACCACATGTGCGACAAGAATATAAGAATCAATGTTCTCATTAAAAAAAATGGATGCCAATGACATTGTCATCCTGAAATTAATTGTCGGCCACTGGCCATGTGCATGTTCCTCGCAACACACGAGTCGCCGCAAGTGGTGCACTGCGGGAACGATTCGTTTCCAAGCTGCATACAAGGTACACGACGCACATCTGCGGCTCCACGTCCATTTGCTATGCAGAAAGGGGGCTGAATATTCCATAAGCGTGTACGAGCGTGCGGCGCTATTACGATCAGCGAAAGAGCGCTCGATGCCGCATTATGCCAGATCGCTCGGCTACGACAATATCCGCGGGGAATATTTCACGAGCGCCTGCCATCAGCCGAGGCTATGGATGTGTTGCCGGCGCAGTTTCGCACTCTGCGCTATCTCGGGCTGTGGTGCGAAGCATCGGAGCATCAGCACTGGCTGGTGAAGTACATCTGGAAGCCGCTAGTCATCAGCATCGTGGTGCTCATGACGCTGTCGATGCTGGGCGCCACTCAAGTTTACCGCGACGACCTCGGCGAATTGACCGAATGCTTGTTCTTGAGCCTCACCTGGCTGGCCTTCTGCCTGAAGCTACTCAACTTCCTGTGGCGCGTCGACGACATGGACGGCCTGCTGAGCGAGTTTCGCGACGACGCCTTCGCACCTCGCACCGACGACGAGCGTCGAGTGCTGGCGAGCTACCGACGGCTTCTGCGGATCGTCGGCACGCTATACATGAGCATCGCCCAGACGAGCGCGGTGGCCTTCGAGCTTCTGCCCCTAGCCTCCTTGGCTGCCGGCAGCGACGATGTCCCCTTGCCGTACAAGACTTACGAACTTTACGATCGCGCGGACCCCGTGAGCTACTCGCTCGCCTACGCGTCCCAAGTGCTCGCCTTCGCTGTCGGCATATGCGCCAACGTCAGCCTCGACAGCCTACTCAGCGGATTCATACTGCTGATCTGCGCACAAATCGACATCAGCCGGCGGAGATTCGCCACCTCGGCGCGCGACGGCGATCACGCGAAGGCGACGAGGGACTGCGCCGCCCATCAGGTCGCCATTCGACGGATCATCCGAAAAGTGCAGAGTTTCTTTGTGAACGTCGTCGTGCTACAGTTGTCCTTTAGCCTGATCACGCTATGCACGAGTTTGTACAACGTCACCCGAGTAATCGGCATTTCTTTCGCGGAACCTATCGCGACCAACACCATCGACTGTCGCACGCTGTGTTTTACAGATGGAACTGGTCGAGTCGCTCGTTATGGTCATGTACCTCGGCTGCTTGGAGTGTCAAATCTTCTTCTACTGCTGGTTCGGCAACGAGCTGAAACTGAAGGTGCCGCGTCTGGCGACCGTAATAGCCGCGAGCTGCAGCGACTAATCGACATCGTTTGATTTGTTTATTTCAGACCGGCACGATCTGCGACACCATCTGCGAATCTGACTGGGCTGCCTTTTCGCCAGCGGACAGGAAGAACCTGTACTTAATTCTGCTCGTTTGTCGAAGGGACGTGACGATATCGCTGCACGGCCTTTGTCCGATTACTCTGGACGTCTACATCTGGGTGCGTCAGTTAAATGAAAATTAGTCTTATTGTATCCTTTACGGCTTCGCCGACTAATCGAGTCATCATTGTCATTACAGGTGCTGAAAACATCATACGCAATTTATAATTTGTTGAAAACCGTAGAGGCTAGAAATGAATAGAAATGAATCCTTTTGTTTTTCTTTTTTAACGTAAACGCTACGTGCTCACGAATTATCACTTACGCAAATTGCTATTTGTAACGCTGTATTCACTAACGTATTTGGCATTTCTATGTGCACAACGGCGTTTTCCTGATGATCACGCCAAAGAACTTACTTAATTGCCAGTATACCGTTTCCATAATGCTCTCATTTCGTTTAATCAGCTTACTTTTGAAGGGGAATGTCGACCATTAATTGCTGAACAAGTCGCGCGTTTGCCTCCATTTCATTTTCATTGTTTTTAACTTCACAGATATCTTCGCGAGACACGTGATTCCATTGATGCTGCTTGTAAAAACACGGGGCTTCTCACTTAACAATACGCGTACGAAGATACTGTTAAATCAGATTTGCTACTCGAAGTCACTTGCGCGACGACTCATCAGTTCAGCCGAAAAAAAAGACATTGCACCGCGACGCAGTGCTCGAACAGGCACTGACCAAGGAGCTGCAGCTCGCGATCGGACGGAGGTAGTCGCCGCGCATCGGTAATTGATTAAAGGCAAGCGGTCTGCCTTGTCTCCGCAGAGGCGTAGCGCATGTGCAATCCGACCTTCTTGCGCGGAGTGCCGCGAGCCACTGGCAGCGGGCGCGTCGGCTGTGCGAGTCGGGGGAGTGCCGGTGCACTCGAACATTGCACGAGGCGCGGCTAATCAGCCGAGGTCTTTGCACGATCGGGCTGCGAGCGCGCGATACCAGACTGGCGGCATTGCGAATTCATGGCGCCGGCCGAGCGCATTCGCCGAGTCCCCCTTCGGCGCGATGGACGTGCTGCCGCTGCACTTCAATACGCTGCGCCTGTGCGGCGTCTGGCACGAGGCGAGGCTGCACTGGCTGGTCAAGTACGTCTGGCGGCCGTTCACCGTCAGCTCCATGCTCCTGTTCACCGTCTCGCAGCTGGGCGCGCTCACGGTCTACCGCGACAACGTCAACGACTTCACCGAGTGTCTGTTCCTCAGCCTCACCTACTTCGGGCTCTGCTTCAAGCTGCTGAACCTGCTCTGTCGGCACGAGGCCATGCGCGACCTGCTGAGCGACTTCCGCCGGGACGTCTGCGCCCCGCGGGACGAGCGCGAGCGGGACGTGCTGGCCGGCTATCGCGGCATCGTGGCGCTGGTTTTCAACCTGCACATCGGCGTCGCCCAGCTGAACGGCGTGTCGTTCGCGCTCGTGCCGCTGGCGTCCATCGCCCTCGGCCAGCGCGACGTCGATCTGCCCTACAAGACCTACGAGATCTACGACAAGCGGTGCGCGCCCTACTACTGGCTGACCTTTGCCTTCCAAGTGGTCGCCGCCTGCATCAGCATCTTCGTCAACGTCACGCTGGACACGATCCTCGCCGGCTTCTTGCTGACCACCTGCGCGCAGATCGACCTGTGCTGCCACAGGCTCGCCGACTCGGCCGGTGGCAAACGCGCCACCCGGGAGTGCGTCCTGCACCACGTGCTCATCCGCGGGATCGTGCGCAAGCTCGAGGACTTCTTCATGCGCGTCGTGCTGCCGCTCATGTTCATGAGCTTGATCACGTTCTGCACCAGCGTCTACAACGTGTCGCAGGTAAGCGCGGCCGGGCCTCTCGTCGGCGACGCCCATGCACTGACGCCCTCGGCCCAATGTCGTAGACGAAGAACAGCGGCGCCGAGTGGATGTCGTTCGTCATTTACCTCGTGTGCCTGCTGTGCCAGCTCTGCTGCTACTGCTGGTTCGGAAACGAGCTCAAACTCAAGGTACGCTTCGCTGTACTTTGTCCGCGCGTCGCAACATACCGCAATCCGCACTGATTCGCAGAGCAACGCGATAAGCGACTCGGTGTACAACAGCGACTGGACTGCGCTGCCGCCGGCGGACCGAAAGGATTTGTACTTCGTCATGCTCTCGTGCCAGAGGGAGATGAGCATCTCCTTCCACGGATTCTGCACGCTCACTATCGAGATTTTCGTCTGGGTACGTTGTTCGCCGACCATGCTCTGCCTGGGATTGTATTCACACCGGTCGACGTGACCTTCAAGCTAACTGTGATTATCGCAGGTATTGAAAACCTCATACGGGGCTTACAATCTGTTGAAGACAGTCGAATAGTCCGTCACCGAACGAGTTCATCACCGAGCACGATTCCTTTTCAATGACACGCGTGGGACGCTCCACGCCGAGAACCTTTTTACTGCCGAGTGCGAGAACATAGTGGACAACCCTTCGCACCACGTAACAAAAATGATTTTCACATATTTCTGGCTGTACGATCAATCGTACGCATATCTTCTGTAAATATTTTCCGAGTAATCGTCGACAAATCTATGTACGTATTTTTAATATGTACAAACGAACAATCAAAGTACGTATAAACGTCTATTAGTGCGTCGATTAATCCCTTGTCAAGCTTTTTGCCCGTCGGTTTCAAACTGCAATTACCCACTACCAACCGTATAGAAGGTTGAAGATCGTGACGACATAGGTGATGAAAAGTAAAAAATGCAGACACGGATATCCCACAATAGCCACATCAGAGATTCTATACCTTCGCGCCGACTATACGTTCAACAGATCGAGAGGGGACATTCTCAAAAATCGAAGTGTAATGCGCCAATCATGGAGCGAATATACCAGGGACTGCTAGTCGCGCACTTTGATTTCGCATGCAAATAACGCGTGAGGAGCGCTAACGTTGCTGCAACGCTTCGTATACGTCGAATTTTCAAGCGACGGAGGGAAACGTCGGAGCCGAACATATATTTAGAACGGAACGCCGAAGCTTCGATATAAGCTATGCAAATGATGGCGGAGCGATTTGTCTTGCCGAGCACGTATTGGGATCAAAGAGCGTCATTTCAACTCCCCTATCGATATAGCGAAATTGCCGCAACCACCGAGAGCCGGGTATATACCTACCTGCGAAGACGCGTGGTTCACGCGTAATTTTAGTCCTAGCGGGGAGTAGGGGAGGGATTTCAATATTACGAACGTTTAAAAGAAAAGCTACAGATTAATTTGCGAAGATAAACATAAAGATTGTTACGCTGATGTCGTGACATTTCTGACAGATCTTATTAAAGATCTGAACGCACGTAGACTGGCCAAATAGATAAAAAATACTTTGCTTACAGCCTGTCAATGAGAAAATTCAAGTTTGATAAAACTTTCACCAAACTTACGTTGATTAAAGTTTATAAAAAGTTTTCTCGTGAGACAATGTAAAACTGAATACTGCCTCTTTAGTTCGTAAACTTTTTATCAAAACTTTTCACAAACTTACTTAATAATTTAAAAAAAAATATTTTGCTCTTTCGATGAATCGACACGAGGTTCACAAGATTTGGAAAACTTGATCTTTTGGTGTGAAACTTGATGTAAAGTTTCTGAAAAGTTCATATAAACCATATTTAAAAAGTTCATGTGATAAAATGTAAGTTTGACCAAAGATTAGCATATAACTTTACTCGAACTTTCATTGATCCAACTTTAAGAGTTATCGTTTGCTAGATTCCCCACAAGGGATGCCATGTCAGAGTGCCAAGTCACCGTACGCCAAGGGCCAGGTTCTGCGATAATTATTTGCGGGTTCTATCTCGGTTAAGGGAGCCGGCGTTGACTTTCACAGACAAGACTGATCGCACCGGTTAGGAGAGGTTAGAGGTTGATAAATAAAATTGCTCGTCGTTAGAGTACAAAAGGTCATCCCATTTATTACGCCAACGGAATACGATCACTTAAACCTACCGTACGGTAAACGAGCGGCGTGGGTGAGCGCGCTCGCTCAACCCGGATCGCGACAATCGAGAATCACGAGGGTGAATTCGCTCAGCGTGCGTACTTCTTAAACAAAACTGCGGTCACTGTAGACGAGCGAGAGTTGGCGAGAGAGAGAACAACAATTGTGCTTAGGAGAGCGACCCACAAGGTGTCGTAGGCTCGCTGGTGGATAGGCGACGCCGGCGGAAACGAAGGCCTGCAGGTAGTGGCGCCCTGAAGATGACCGGCACCGGCTTAAGAGCGATTCTTGGTCGTGAAATTGTGGGAGCAAGTTCGGCCACCCTTGTAGATACCAAGTCGCCCGGGGATGGACGATTGGCCAGGCGTCGACGTTGGAACGCTGTTGGCGGTTGATGATAAGACACCCCGTCGGTATCAGCACTGACTCTTGTCGGACTTATCCTCTCTGAAAGTAGGCGGCCTTCTCGATACTCGCCTCGCGTCTCACTTCCGTCAAACCGCCTTATTGCTCTTCAGCTTCTTTCTCGTATGCTGAAAAAAATGCTACCAACTTATCTTGCACCTCGTATTTATGATGAAGTTCATGCCGGGGTTGTTGATAGATTTATTTAAATTTGTAAGTGGATAATTAACCATATTATTACCCTCAATCATATTAAATTTTGCTCTATAATTTCGTAAATTGGTAAGTGTAATAACAAATACCTGCTCACTGATTGCACGAAAAAAGTGTGTTACTTGTATCGTGATTTTAAAATGTAATGTAAAAGAGTTATTTCTTTGTCATTTGGTAAAGGATTACATTCCAAAAATTTTTGAATGTGAAAAAACAATGTGTATACTGTTAAAAAATGTCGATAATATTTTGAATGTTATATTACGTTCATTTTAATGACAGAAAATTCATTGTATGGCCTACGAATACTCTCGAGGAAGAATTAATAAATTTATATAAATTGTTATTGTTATTGTAACTTCAAGAAACACATCCACATGGAACGCTGCAGAGGTGAACTAGGTACCTTACGCATTAGTCTTGGTTCCCTATAGCGATGAATATGCAGACCTCCCCGCCGTTTCTTTTTAAATAGTGTAGGAGAATAAAGTTTTACACGCATCGTGACTGGACCTATAGTTTGAGGTGGAATCTGAATTACCGGAATCACGGTAACAAATATATGAAAATTTTATTTCAGAAAAAAACTTTACATGCCCAGAGTTCGAGCCCACGATCTCTTGCACACAAGCCTGAGCCACCGCGACCGTAAATTTATATAAGTTCATACAAATTCATAAAAATCTATTGATTACCTATGTAAATTAATTTTTTACTCAAATAATTCAAATAATATGACTACAAAAAAAAATTATTCATCTGCATATATACTGTTAGACTTTTTAGTATACAAATGTTATTTAGCGCGCTTCGTTCGTTCTTTCTTTTATGTTTTTCTGTTATCTATTACGTTAATCCAACTTTTTACATGTAAACTTGGAAATTCTAATGGGCACAAATAAGTCATACTATTTAAAATGCAGTTCATATTAGTGATTAGTTTTCAAAAATAGTGACTTCTTGGGTAATTTGTTTAAATAACTTTTTATAAACAATTGCAAATGGCAAAAGGAAAAACACGGCTAACTTATGCTATGAATGGCGTAGTTAGTTTGACGCTATCTTTTCCAGTTTCGGCTTGGGCCTTAATGGATTAATCAAACCTGATTTTTTTAAATAATTAATTCAAACTTTAGCATAACATTTGTAAAACTTTAGAATTGGTCAAAGTTATGCCAAACTTTAATTTTTTTCACGTTTAAAGAGAAATTAGAAGCTCATTCGATTCAGGTAGTCGCTCGCTATTATTTTACGAGAAATCACAATACAGTACATTCGGATCGATATCGATAGCAGCGAGAAGCAGTCAGTTGCTGTACGCCTAAGGATTCACGCCTTCGATCAAGTTATACCACGAGCTTATATCTCGCCTTATGTCAACTTAATCTAGTGAATAAATCTTATATTTTATTTAAAACTTGAACCTTTAATTCTTCCTCCGAGATAGAATTAACTTACACACGGAAGGTGTATCACTGATCACCTTGAAAATCAGTTATATTTGAAGAGTTCTTCAGTTGCAACGTGGTATGTACATATTTATAATAATATTTAGGATTTTGTTCAACATTTTTTATAAGTGCTGAAGTATAAAACAGATAAAAACCGATTCATACATAAAGTTCTGTCGAATAATATTTGGAATTTACATAACCGCCACATATTCGTAGTATTTTTATAAGTTAATTAATTCAAACATAATATAAATATTTCACGCAAAAAAAGGAAACAAGATTATATCTCCAGCCTTATAGATCGTCGTTTGCTCGTCAATGCTGCATACCCACACGTAGTACCAAACGTGCATACATAAAGCCACAGTATTTAAACAAAAGACGAATCAAATTTCATTGAATGACTAATAGGTTAACTAAATTAGATTTACTACGGAGAAAAAGTGAAAATAACAAAGTGATGATAATAATTGAAATACTTAGAAGATATAAAACAAAGTTTATTGTACCCCATTGACTAATCGGCTACAGTCCAGTGACTGGAGGATGTGAATTTCACATTTCCCATTGCGCGTCGCGTAATTATTTTCTGAAAGTGAATTGCATCGTTACACAACTTTATTATACATCTTGTAATTACCTATTTGACGCGCACTCAGAAATAAGTACATTTCCTAATGGGTGCGCAAGGGCTTTTTGGCCTCCAACTCGCACCGTAAACTTCTTGTTACGTCAAAAATCTTTTTCGCGTCAGCTAGAGACAATATTATTCCGCGTGAGAATCGAAAACAAGCGCCGAAGATGCGATTTGGAGATTTGAATACAGGAAAATTTATTGCAAAATATTGTTGACATTGTCGTAGTTGTAATGCCTTGTTTAAAAAAAGAAATGTTTCTCCTTTTTTTGTTCTTTTTTTTCAGAATTGTTGACAGCTACAATTTTGCTCACTTGTAATCATGTACCGAACAGCGTCGGGAGGGTACAGAGTCATGTCCCATTTTGACCAGGACACATTGCCAGAATTTCCGATTCCCGATGATTTAATACAAGTTCTTGATATAAACGACGACTCGGTGATGACGGAAGAAGCCCTGATGTATTCGAGGATTTTGGACTCGTTAACTACTGTGAAATACGTGGATTTGTCGAAAAGTCATTACCTGGATCTGCTAAAGTTGGCTCTCTATTTGGAAGAATACCAGAGTAACGAGGAAATGAAGAAAAGAAAATTATTCCAACAAAGAATTCAGTTGGTAAAGCTTAATAAAGAAGAAATCGCTTTTGAAATACACGTGAATGACCTGGACGAAGAGCGCCCGTGGATACGTGAAAATGATTTCGTCGATGTAATCAATGCAAGAACGTACAAGTCGTTTACTCTCAAAGTCGGCTACATAATGAAAGATAAAATCATAGCCATGGATAATAGAAGGTCATTAAATAGATTATGGATATGCTATTTTAGGATTGTGATTCAATTACAACACCGTTATTGTATTTCAGATTTTGTAACGTATTTAACCCGAGACATTTGTACAACATCGAGTTTCGTTTTCAAAATTACCCTTTAAGATGCAGTCATTATGCTATATGGATCGTGAACAGAGAAAACACAATTCATACTCTTTTTCCAGACGAGCCCAAGTCGACGAATAATCAGACTAATGGGTAACATCGTTCATTAACGTTACTAGCCTTTCATATATACTTTGAAAATGTTGTATAATTAGTTTATGCAGTTTACGTATACGCTTGTTGGTTCTGTTTACCAGGCTTTTCAAATTTTTATTATTTTTAATTCTGCATTCCTAGTAGTATATCTAATTAACTGCCACGATTGTATTTATAATTATCTATAATTAAAAAATCTGGCATGACTACATATTTCGCTTTATCTTGTCACATAAAACGCAAATTTTCTTAGCTTGTTGACGACGTTCGTCTCGAAAATAGCAATTAATGACCAACAAAAACAAGCCGTAATGAACATTCTGAACAAATCGTCGTTTCCTGCTCCATATATTTTGTACGGGCCGCCTGGCACTGGCAAAACTGCTACATTAGTTGAGGCTATTTGCCAAGTAAGATCTGTAAACATTACGCCTTTGTCTTTTTGCCCGCGTATAATATAACGACTGAGGAACCAGATACTTTGCGTCAATTAAAACCTTGCAGATTCATGAGATGTCTTCGTTTGACCGTATTTTGGTTTGCACTCCATCAAATACCGCTGCCAATGAAATTATGAAGAGACTGCTTATATTTATTCCGTCCAATAAGGTGTATCGAATTTTTAGTCAATCTAAAAATAGGTAAACTCTCTAAATGTTTGCGTTATGTCTACTATAATGATAAAATCCTGCGAAGAGTGTGATTCTGTTTCATTGTTTTTTCAGATGGAACGATAAAGAATTCAAACATTGTTCTTTTTCTGGTAAAATGTTAACACCTGCAGATATCAGACACAAGGCTATCCTTGTCACAACTCTGTGCGTTGCAACAAAGTATCGGCATTTTATCATTATTGTCTTGTACAAGTAACTTATTTTTTCATTTTTCGTGTACAAATAATTATTTTTGTATGTTTTACAGATTGCTGCTGATGAAACTAAATTGCGACTATTTTTCTTACATTTTCATTGATGAAGCTGGTCAAGGAACCGAAGCTGATATTATGATTCCATTCAGTATAGCAAGCAAAGAAAACAGGCTCCATAGCCAAATTGTTCTCGCCGGTGATCCTCAGCAGCTAGGACCTACTGTGATTTCAAAACTTGCAGACATTATACTAGGTAAACACATTATTGTTATAAAAAAAGCCAGGCTGGAATAGTGTCTGCATTTCACCGTTGAATATTTATCACTTTAGGGAGATCAATTTTAGAACGGCTCATGTCTTATAAAATTTACCAAAAGGATTCTCAAAACACCTACAATCCTAAGTAAATTACCAAACTACTTCATAATTACCGCAACCACCCAAGTATTATTCAGATTTCTAATAAACTATTTTACGGGAAAGAATTGATCCCAAAATTTTCAATTCATGATGAAGCGAAGACATTCCCTGTCATCTTCCATGGTATAGAAAGTATTGAGGAGAAATGCTCATATTCTCACAGGTGAATTTAACGTATTCAGTTTGTTTATAATTGATAAATGGTTTACAAATTGAATTTTATTAACTGGTTATTCTAGTGCATACAACTATAAAGAAATAAATCTAGTGTTAGAGTATGTTGACAAATTGTTAGATAACAAAACTGAATTCGGCGAGGTTTCATCTAAGGATATTGGTATCGTTACATTTTTTACTCTTCAAAGTAAAAAAATCAAGAATAGATTGAAAAAAAAAGATGATGAAATAAGTAAACGTATGAATAACGATTCGGAGATCAAACTTTTGAAAAAAGCTGACGATGCAGCAAGTACTGACATCGAATCGAAAAATGAAAAGAGTGACCAAGCAAACGACAAGAAGGATATCATAGCAAAAATCGACAAGATTACACTCGAAAGTGAAAGTGAAAATATTAAAGTCGCATTGGAAACTGATAATAATAAAAATGAAATCAAATGCAAAAATTACCAAGACATCAATGTAGGTACTGTCGAACTGTTTCAAGGTCGAGAGAAAAAAATTATAATTGTAACAACTGTTCGAAGTAAAATCTTCGTCCACAACGGCCAACAACACATTGGCTTTTTGTCGCATCCAAAACGCTTCAACGTGGCGTTAACGCGCGCTCAAAACGCCCTCATCATCATCGGAAATCCATTCATCCTGCAAAAGGATCATATGTGGCTATATTTAATAAAATATTGCATAGACAATGGATCGTACCGAGGATTGAAATTTGAAATCCGAGATCCGTGCAGCGAAAAAGTAGAGGTATCGGACTTGCAAAGCATCATTAATACAGTATATTTATTCGAAGACAGTCCACTCAAATTGTTTCCGTTCCAGAATTGGCAATAGGTAATTTTCAATTCATTTTTTCACAATAGTTATTATTATTTTCAATACATAAAACTTAATTGATTAATTTTTTTTTGTAGACTGTGCATGTAATTTAATTAAACGTCATTGACGACGAAATGTGTTATTTGCTGAAAACTGTTGAGTTTTGTTGAGTTTGAAGAAAAGAAGATTGATAAGTTAGCCAATCTTCTCAATATTTTTAATTGCGATAATAAATTGAAAAAACATTATTATTTCAATGGCACTTTTCATACAATTTTTAAACGAGACGTTTAATTTTGTTCAATGTAATATGTTTTATGACAGTGTGTATCCGCCGTAAAGCCGTAATGTAAAATGTTTATTTGTAGCTCTATATTACTATAAACGACTAAAAAAAATTTGCCCCTGAATTAATTTTAATGTTCAAATGATTTCAAATAAAATATTTTTATCGTTTAATTGTTAATTTTACATTGTTTAAAAATTTGCAAGATACCGACAGATTTTTATTCTTGATCCACAAAAATTTTTTTCAAAAGTTTCGTGTAACGAATATCTAATTTTGACAGGGAGAAAGGTAAAAATTACCGTATAGGGGCAAAATACAGGAAAAGAATACGAAAAGCGTGGCGAGGGTGGTACATCGTACATACCACCTATGGATGTGCTAGAATCTAAGATGAAGTATGAAACGCGAGCGCTGGTAAGATTCGACTGTAAAAAACAATAATGGTGATGGTGATATTTAGTGTAAACATTTGAAAGATATCGACGTTGGTACTGTTAATTGTTTTCAAGCACAGGAAAGGAACTAATCATCATAATGGCAGCTGTTCGAAGTAAAACCTTCGTCAACAATGGCAAACAATACATTGGGTGTTTGTCATGTACAAAACGATTCAACGAGGCTATGCTTCGCGATTACAATGGCCTTATCGTTGACAATCTTAACATTCTGCAATAAGGTCGTATGCACAAAGGATAATAAGCAATCAATAATAGTAAAGACGTAGAAGGCCGCTATGCTGGCGGATTATTTGAGGAACAATCAATCAAAATGTTTTCATTAGATAGTTTTTACTCTATTTTTCAGCTTCTTTCACGTCACTTTAAATGATATGAAAGTTACTAAATTATCAATCTTTTATTCGTAGAACAACTAAAAAATAAACTCGAAGCGCAAGTTCAAGAACGTCTTCATAAACCTTCGATGGACGTTGGCTTCAGTGAAAAATTGAATTATTTTTTCAGATGTATTTTTTTCATTCAATTGTATTTTTATTATTTTAGGTTAATATACAAGTCTCTTTGTGTTCCATCTAAAATTATTAGATATACAATTAAGGACAGTACTTCTTCATCATATAGTTAATTATAAAGAATATTCAAACAGTCAAAAAAATATTTTTATAACGGTTATTTTTAAGCGAACAATAGAGTATCTAATCATAGCATTCATCGCATATTCAACGAATGAAAGCGTGCATCGTTTGAAAATGTGCATTCTTTATAATCAAACCAAACTGATTATAATAATCAGCTGTTCGAGAATAATGGGGCCACAAAATTGTTATCATTTCCTAATGTTGTTAATTCAGCTCTCGCAGCATTAAATGAATCTCGCTTTAACTTTCAATACAAGATAACTGTTATTTTATTAATTTTAATCACAAACGAATAAAAACATCAGACGCATATCGCTTTTCTACGTTTTTTCTTATATCAAGCATATTTTGTTTATATCTTTTAATGAAATATAATACGAGTTTCAAAGTTAATATAAAGCGAGACTTCGATTTTTATTGCTCGCCTCTTTATTGCAAAATGCTTGTTTTTTTTTCTAAATCTGTAGCTGTTCGACGCATTTCTAAGACACGCGGAGGAATCGTAGTATATCTACGCGCATGGATATACGTACTTTCGATTATCTCATCCAAGTCGCCTATGTATCGCCGAAATTCTGTAATAAATTAAAAATATCCGTCAACAAACTTGTTCAATTTTAACGGTCGATAGCAAGGGCAATTATTGAAGCCTACTGTTCGCTGTGCGCGCGATTACAAAGCAATTTGAAGCAGTTTTGAATCGACCGTGATATTAGCTTTGTTATAAAAACCGATGACTCGTTGTGGGGCTTTCGATGCGACAAGTAAAATATCCGAAAGTCTTTAAAAGTGCCTAATAATTGAAGATTTATGATATTGACAGTGTGAGTATATGTATAGATGTATTAAAAGTCATTAGCTCGATTCATCGCGTCACCGCGATTGCGTTGGATTCCCAACTATCTACGGTACCGTATAATTTTTTGTACACAAATCGATCTTGAATTTTCTCGTCCCCGTAAGGCATTAAATATGCGTGCGTCGCAGCCGCCGTGTAAGTACACCGCAAGTTCGCCTCCACGTTACTTTCGATTCCTTGAACTAAACGTAATACTGCCCACATGAGCACTATCGTCATCGGTGCTATTCATAATGCTATATTTACAAAACGAAAAAATAATCGCAGCGAACACGCATAGGGCAGTGCTTCTCACGCGCGAATCGCGCGATACCTATAATACGTATGTTAGCACAGGCTTGCCCAGTTATTCGTGGTGGCTTGAGTATGCAGGCTGGCCGTCACTACTGCCGCAGTCGTTTGTTTGAGTCGAACGCGCTCTTGGCTTGCTTGAAGACCGAGACCGACGGCTTGTTGCAAAGCTACCGATCGTAGTGCGGCAAGCAAGGAATCCGAAAGTCTTTAAAAGTGCCTGACAATTGAAGATTTGTGGTTTTGACAGTGTAAGTATATCTATCGATGTAGTAAGGAGTCATTAGCTCGATTCGCCGCGCCACAGTGTTTGCGTTGGAATTCAACCTGCGGCACCCTATAATTTTTTGTACGCAAATCTTAATCGCGACTCTCTGTGGCGAAACCGCTCATCCGAGTGTAGTGAACATTTTTTATTAATAAAATGCGAGAGACGTAAAGCCTTGTCGCTAAGCGTTCACAGGATCGCTGCTTAGCGCTCTTATAGAATGTAACTTGAATTTTTTCTTTCGCGAGTTCGCGTAGTATGTTTCACAGTTGTCTAATTTTGCAATAAATTTTATTAAATTTCGGGGCTTCTCGCATCGGATGTTATTTTTACTACAAACGAGAGTAAAACAGGAAAAATATTATAACATTGTTAGCATTGAGCTTATCGTTATTTTCTTCTCTGACTCATTTGTTTGCATGGAACGTTGACACAGTGCAATTTTCAGTCAATGCCCGTAATTTGAGCCGGCACACGCATGCGTTGGGGTATACATTGGCATGGAATAGAATAAAATAAAACGATAACAAAACGATAAGAAACGTGTGATTTGGATAAAAGACGAATTCCATTCACGTTTTCAGTATAGTAAGACTGATCAAATCCCTGCGATTGTTTTCCCGCAAGCAAGGTAATTATTGGTACATGAAAAGAATGTCATTGATATAATATCCGTATCTACTCGTAGCATGCTTTAGATGTTGGTGGAGGAAGGAGCCTTAACAAATCCATTAATAATGACATTCCATATTCAATTCTAAGATTTTTTATCGTTATTATAATTAACAATAATTAATAACTGCAACGATAAAATAGCACACGTTGCAATGCCGGTGCATGTAAGCTATATGACTTGCTCATAATTCTTTTTCAGAAGTGTATATGAATTGTGTGCTGACTGTTAATCATGTTTCGAACGAAAGAAGGGCTGAACAAACAGGCGCATCAAACATGTTCGCCGATGCCGCCGTATCCCATTCCAGTCGAGTTGCAAACGGTGTTGGATATCAATGCTCAATCGGAGTTGTGCAGAAAGTCAGAGATGTATTCGGAAGTTCTCCAAATCATCGACCCTCTGAAACATGTCGATTTGTCAGAGTGCCATTATGCACAACTACTGACGCTCGGTCTCTTCTTAGAAGAGTATCAAACTAACGAAGAGATGAAAAAACGAAAATTGTTCAATCAAACAATTAAAAAATTACCTGTCAAAGATCCAAATGAAATATTATTCTCAATACGGGTGGAAGAACTGGATGAAGAGCATGCGTGGATACGAGAAGGTGATTTCGTCGATGTCATTGATACGAAAATGTATAAAGAGATATACACACTTCGAGTTGCGAGAGTAACGCAGACATATATCATAGCGAGTGATGATGCAGCAAAGTAATTTAATTCAATTTTCATTGAGCTATTAATTGACAATCCGTAATTCGTACTTATTTTCATTTCAGATTATCCAAGGCCTTTGTACCGACAAATTTATATAATATCAACTTCCGTTTTCAAAACTATCCGCTGAGATGCGATCACCATGCTATATGGCTCACTTACAAAGAAAATACTATCACTTATCTTTTTCCAGAAAAGGCCAAGCCTTTTATAAATAAGAAAAGTCAAACTTACGGGTAAATTTGATAATACTTATCACGCTTTTAATTCCAGCATTCATCAAACGTATTTCAAATTGAATCAACATATCTCGAATTCTTTGAACTCTAGATGATCTATTCAACTCAACGTAACTAAATGATTTACAGCACAATGACGATGATCAATCCAGCTATTGAATCAAATCCGCAGCAGAAACAGGCGGTGCTGCACATCGTCAACAAGTCGTCGTTCCCCGCTCCGTATATTTTATACGGACCGCCTGGAACGGGGAAAACTGCCACGTTGGTGGAAGCCATAGTTCAAGTAAAAGAGCTTATTTTCATTTACATTTTATATGAAAAGCAAACCTCATCAAGTACACAATTTGCAGATACACGAAGCCTTCCCGCTTAATTGTATTTTAGTGTGCACGCCATCTAACACTTCCGCCGACGAGATAGCAAGACGATTGCTGAAATATGTGAATTCGTCCTACTTGTACAGAATTTACAGCCAATCTAGAGACAAGTAAATAATTATTCATCAATATTTATAATGACTTCCAATTAATCTACTTGTCGTTCCGAATTGAAATAAACTTTTTCATGCATTACTTTAAACATAAAATATTACAGATCAACTATCGATAAAGAATTGCAAAACTGTTCTTTTTTTGGAAAGAATAAAAGAATTCCATTAAGGCGCGAAGATATTATTGGAAAAAAAATACTTATATCAACATTATGCACTGCAATGAGGTATATATTTTAATTGTATTGATCTATTTCAAGTCCAGGAGTGAATGATGACATTATTTTTATATTTATTAGATTTTCATTGATGAAGCTAAACGCGGATTATTTTTCCCATATCTTTATCGACGAAGCAGGTCAAGGAACTGAAGCTAATGTTTTGATTCCTATAAGTGTAGCAAGTAAAGATGGCAAACTACATAGTCAAATTATATTGGCGGGTGATCCTAAGCAGCTAGGGCCTACAATAATATCGAAGCTTGCTGATAAAATCCTTGGTAAATAGGTTATTTTTCTACAACTTTTTTGACAGTACTCGTTTGATCATACTAATCATTATTTATTATTTTAGGTAGGTCTATTTTGGAAAGAATAATGCAGTACGATATTTATCAAAAAGACCATTACAATAATTATAATCCCAAGTACATAACTAAGCTCCTGCATAATTATCGTAATCATCCAAAAATCATTCAAATTTCCAACAAATTATTTTACGACAATGAGTTGATTTCCAAGTATTCAAACGGTAACGAGAAAGTAAATTTTCCCATAATTTTCAACGGAGTTGCGGGTGAAGAAGAACAGTACTCGTTTTCTCCAAGGTAAAACTTACGATCTCGATTTATTCGTCTACAGAAAAGGCAAACTAAACTTAATTTAAAAGGTGAAAAATTTGTAATTAATTTTACCATTTGCTGGTAGCAAATTCAATTATGAAGAAATACGCTTAGTTTTGCGATACGTTTACAACTTAATAGACAATAAAACGGCATTTGGTGAAGTTGCTGCTAAAGACATCGACATAGTTACGCCGTTTAAACTTCAAAGCAAACGAATCAAAAAAATATTGAAAAAGAAGGATCTTCAAGAACGAAAGTTTCTTTATAAATTATTTGGGAAGAACATCAAACTTTCTGACGATGACAGAGATATCATTGAAAGTGAAATGGAAAACGAAGAGGATATCGAAGAGGCTATCGAAGAATATATCGTAAAGGGTACCGAAGAGGATATAAAAAAGCTTAAAATGCAAAGTGGAGCAGATGTCATACCCGATGATCAATATAAATACCGAAATCTTAAAGATATCAACGTCGGAACGGTGGACTTATTCCAGGGTCAGGAACGCAAAATAATGATAATGACAGCTGTCAGAAGCAAAACTTTCATTTGCAACGGGAAAGAGAACATCGGTTTCTTGTCACATCCAAAGCGTTTCAACGTCGCTATGACGCGCGCTCAAGCAGCCCTCATCGTCATAGGAAATCCTGGTATTCTTCAAAAGGACTTTATGTGGCATTATTGTTGAAGTACTGCATAGACAACGGATCTTACCGTGGATTAAAGTTCGACCTGAAAATTTCGTGCATTAAAAACCCAATCCTGCAGGACAATATTGCTACTTCCCTCAGTTTATTCGCTGCACAGCCGTTTAAGTTGTTTCAACTGAGTAATTTGCACACGCACTCTAATCGTAAGTTCAATCAATGAATTGAAATAAATTGAAATTTCATTGTTTTATTTGTAGATGATCAAGACTTTGATACAACTGAAATATGCAGAACTATCGATTTATTCGGAGGTCTTAAAAAAAATACAGCTAACAAGAACACTCCAAAAAAGATGTATAAGGATTTTTCTCAATTATCATTAGACTAGTCTAATATGTTTGTTTTGTAACATGATGCCTGTACCACGACGACGGTTACACCATCTGATTAGTTTATTTTATATAAATAATTATTATGTAAAAATTAAATTTTATATTGCATCTTAATATCAATAAAAAAATTACATCTATAATCAATCAAAGACAATAAATCTATAAGGGAATTTTTATATAAGAAGACATCGGAGGTTGAACATCAGTCATCAGACGTTGACCATGGTGAAAAAAATTGCCTATGATATATTATTGCACTAATAATGTTAATATAGTAGGTCTATATTTTTTATTATTGCTCGCATCCTGCGCAATCATGAACACACCTAGTAGATGTTAAATAAACCAATTGATTTTTAATTTGATAATCTTGGTATACGTGCGATGTCTGCTGTCCAATGTCTAATATCCAATGTCTTATGTAGATAGTCTCTAATTATGGCAAAACAAATCTACATAAATAAATTTCAGACCATATTTCTATTGAATGGAATTGGTTATTGGGTAAATATCATGAAAAATACAAATGAGTATTTAAGAAGATCTTCAAATTAATACAATTATCTTCAAAGTCAATTAAAAATTTTAGTAAACCAAATTTAAAAACAAAAGATTTTAGATCAGATATTAATCGCATTAACATGAAAGTGTTGTGTACTTATTTGATACAATTAGTTATATTCATTACTTGGTCAATATTCAATTAATCTCTAGTGTTAGCTTATGTCTCGGTACTTAATAGTTATTTATGCATCAGTAGCATAACGAATTTTTTAGACGGGTTAAAGAAGTTGGAGCATCGCTGGGCCAAGTGTATTGCACCTAAATGAGACTGTGTTAAAAAATAAAACTCCACTTTTCCAAAATTTTCGTGTTTCTTTTGTAGGCTAAGTACTTATCGGACCACCCACGTATATAGCTCTTTATAGGATCTATATACCTAACCCTACTCCTGCGGCTACAGTTATCACTACGACGCTGATGTGATTACAAGTAATGTATAAGATTTTTTAGTCTGCGCGAACGTTATTGGTACTCTGCGATTGATTAAAAGTAAGTTTCAGTTAAATAAATTACGTTGATAAAATATTTAGTTGGCTTTGGCTGCAAACTTAAAAAATTTATTGAAACCCTTAGAGCGTTGAATTAAAGAGTGGTCGTAAAATTAAGAATATAGAAAGGTTATTTTGAGTATGCGCCGTGTACTAATTATCCACAAATAAAAATGTGATGCAGGAGTGTTAATTTAGTTTAAATAAATTTAGAAATCGTGAAAGTGTTCGAGTGGACATAAGTGATAGGTAATTTTGAAGTTCGTAGTGTAACAATTATTTTCTTTAACGTGGTTTTAAGAATTTCACTTAATATTACTTTAGTGTTTGTAAAATTACATAAGCAACAGCCACATTTGTTGCATATTGCAATGAGAAGTAATCGTAATTGTTCAGTTCAATGCAGCATCTTACAATACGTATTCAAAGTATGAAACCATACAGAGATTGATAGTATAGAAAGAAATCGTAAAAATTTTGAACAATCCGTAGACTATATATCGTTTCGCTTCGTTTAGAAATTCTCTAATCGCCGGTGATCATTCGCGTACTCTGCCTGGACATTTATTCAGAATCCAAATTATTTTTGGCTATTAAGCATCGATGACACCAACGAAGGTTAGGTCAAGGGTTCATTTTGGCAAGTTATAAAATATATAATATTATTTAGTGTCCCCGCATTCGATGCCATCGATGCTCAATTCTCGAAAATAATTTGGACTTTCAACTTGGCGGGCCACAAATTGATGTCCAGACAGTGAATCCCCTTGATTTCAAGTAAGGTATACAACACGCAAGCGCTGTGGCGTTCACATTACAACAATGAACTTTAGTCATATTAATCTTAACATACTATCAATTATTACATTATATCTTGTCGTATCAATTCATAACTTCAAAACTTCAAAATTCAAATAATATTGATAAGATATGCTGCGTGTGGATACAGAAAATGTTGAACGTTTCTTTCAGATTAACAAAAAAATCGCACACTGATTGGTGAACATGACCCAGAAAACGCGCAGAGGTGAAACAACTCCGCCGGAATACCCCATCCCCGAAGACTTAAAAAAAGTTCTCGATGTCAAAAAAAAATCGGCGTTCTCGGTGAATTCTCAGATGTACTTGAAAGTTTTGAAATCGTTGAAGGCTATGAAGTACATGGATTTGTTGGAAAACCATTACGTGGAAATGGTAAAGCTGGCTCTCTATTTGGAGGAATATCAGTGCCGTGAGGAAATGGAAAAGCGAAAATTATTCAAGCAGGTGATTTATCGACAACCTATCAATAGTAAATGTAAACTTTTATTCAAGATACATGCGCCGCATTTGGACAATGAGGACCCGTGGGTCCGAGAAAACAATATCGTCGACGTAACGGATACAAAAACCTATAGATCGTATACTCTTAAAGTCACGTACTTAAAGAAAAATTATATCTTCGCTAGCACCGACTCCAGAAGGTAAACGAACCGATTGGCTATTGAACAAACTCGAGATGATCGTTAGCTGTAATTTCCAATCTTTCTATTCTAGTTTTTACCAAGAGTTCGAGCCGAGGCGCTTGTACAACATAAGCTTCCGCTTTCAAAATTACACGTTCAGGTGCGCTCACTACGCCCTGCGGTTGATGTACAGCCATAAAACAATTACTTATTTGTTTCCGTCCACATCAAAGCCGTTCGTTACCGTGAAAAATAAAACTTACGAGTAAGTAGACTTATTGCCGCGGCTATCGATTAGCGTCAGCTTCCAAACTCTTTTAGGTATTTGCTTTCTGACGTTCATCGGTCAGCCGATCGACTTGCCGATATTATAAATTACGTTTGTTGGTTCGTTCGAAAATGACAGTCCTTGACGGTGGTGCGCAATCGATTGCACATTAGATGAGAGTAAGGCAACGACGCCCGGCTTGTGCGTTGTTGTGCGAGTGTTTTACTCTTAAGCGCAAAGAAAGCACGCGACAGACAGACGCGTTTGAGCCGCGCTCATTGAGTGGCGGCCAATAGTAGCTCCTTTAAAGAGAAGCTGGCGTTTCCCTTTCGCCGACGCTTTTCTTCGCGCAACAATCTCGATAAGCCCACAACCCCTCGCATTCGCGCGCACACACGTACACACACACACGAAGAATAAAGTAATCCCATCAAGTGGAGCATCGAGTAAACAAGTTCCTTATAAATATCATTAAAAAATATGCGTAACATCTACGCGTATGAGCAATTTAAAGAAATATAAGCCACTCAACGACAGTCTTAAACTCTTGAAACTCATCTATCCACACGCGATAAGGTCGCAGCGAGCATATCTTTGAATCTGTCATTTGATCGGTCACCCCGCAGATGGTCATTAATGCCACGATATCAAATTGCGCTTTAAGTAATAGGTATTTCTCATTGTAACATTCCAATAAAAAGACACGGTTTGCTTATTCATTACGAAAAATGCATTACTCTCAATAATCTCGAATTAAAATACATGACGAAAAAAGAAAAGCACTTGGCGCTGCAACATGTAACGTTTTTCTCCAGCCCATTGAAAATGTTCAATCCAAATATTGAAGCAAATCCGCAGCAGAAGCAGGCGGTGCTGCACATCGTCAACAAGTCGTCGTTCCCCGCTCCGTATATTTTATACGGACCGCCTGGAACGGGGAAAACTGCCACGTTGGTGGAAGCCATAGTTCAAGTAAAAGAGCTTATTTTCATTTACATTTTATATGAAAAGCAAACTTCATCAAGTACACAATTTGCAGATACACAAAGCCTTCCCGCTTAATTGTATTTTGGTGTGCACGCCATCCAACACTGCCGCAGACGAGATAGCAAGACGATTGCTAAAATTCATTGAGACGTCTGAAGTGTGTAGAATCTACAGTCCGTCTAAAGATCCGTAAGCTTCTATTAATATTTGCGCGAATGATATCATGCGCTTTGACAAAACCAAATTTGCTTGAAGTGCAGTGAATTTTATGCCAATTAATTATTTTTTAGATCGACTATAGATGAAGAATTGAAGAGCTGTTCTTATGGTGGAGGGACAGCAAACAAGCAAACTGACGAGTTTATTAATAAGAAAGCCATTCTCGTTTCAACTTTATGCTATGCGATGAGGTGAATTTTTTACTTCTCTGTGGAAGGCATTCACTTAAAAATCGAAAGAATAACTATAACAATAATCGCTTGTCATATCCATATTTCTATCTTTTTAGATTTGTACTAATGGGACTGAGAGCTTCATATTTTTCGCATATTTTTATTGATGAGACTGGTCAAGGCATCGAACCAGATGTGTTAATTCCGATAAGTATAGCAAGTAAAAATCGCAAACTTTACAGTCAAATTGTTGTAGCCGGTGACCCTCAGCAACTAGGGCCGACTGTCACATCGAAGCTAGCTGAGGTCATTCTTGGTAAGCTGCTCACATCTTCTTAAACAAGGTACATTTGGTTGTGATTGGATTTCCAGTAAATTAATTCTATATGTCTATGTCTTAAGGGAGATCGATCTTAGAAAGGCTTATATCTTACAACATTTACCAAAAAAACTATCATGGTAATTACAATCCCAAGTACATTACCAAGTTGCTTCGTAACTATCGTAGCCATCCAAAAATCCTTCACATTTCGAATGAATTATTTTATGACAATCAATTATTACCGCAATTGTCAATTGATAATAATCAAAAGGTCCAATTCCCCGTAATTTTTCATGCAGTTGACGGTCTCGAAGAAAAAAGCTCCTACTCTCCGAGGTAACTTTCATGTTTTTTTTTTTGTTATGTTATGTCAAGTGTATACAAAGCTAAAAAATTATCAATTAATTTTAATATTTGTTTTAAGCACGTTCAACGTCAAAGAGATAAATGTAGTTTTGAAATACGTTTACGATTTAATAAATAATAAAACCGAATTCGGCCAAGTTACTGCTGAAGATATAGGTATTGTTACGCCGTTTAAGGAGCAAAGTATGAGAATCAAGAAAATATTACAGCAGGAAGACGCTAAAGAGAAAAAAAAGATCAAAGATAACGTTGATACTGAAAATACAGTCCATGTTTTCGAAAAGTATAAAAAGGGCGAAAAGAACGAGCTCAAATCGGATGAAGTAATCCAAAATAAAAATACAAAAGAAACGAATATCAAAATAAAAGACGACAAAGAGAAACTTATAAATGAAGTAGGAAAGGATGGAAAAACGAAAGTGAAGGTGCAAAAAATAAAGAACGCCAAATGTCAAGCAGCTAATGATGTGAATGAGATTAAGTGCAGAAATTTGAAAAACATCAATGTTGGAACTGTAGAACTCTTTCAAGGGCAGGAAAGAAAAATTATAATAATGACTACGGTCAGAAGTAAACTGCTCTTGCACGATGGCAAACAGCACCTTGGCTTCTTGTCAAATCCAAAGCGATTCAATGTTGCCATGACGCGCGCTCAAGCAGCCCTCATCGTCATTGGAAATCCCAGAATTCTGCAAGAGGACGAAATGTGGCGATATTTCTTGAAATATTGCATAGACAACGGCTCGTACCGTGGATACAAATTCGCTCTGTCGGAATCACATAGTAATAACCCAAAACCCGTGCTGTCCGGATCGCAAAGAATTACTACTTCAGCAAAATTATTCAAAGGAAAACCATTCAAATTCTTCCCATTGGGTATTTTTCATTTTATAAATTACGTATACAGGCGTTTGCAATATGCACTAATGAATCGACGATTTTATGCTACAGATGCTATTGAATCAAAAAAAATGACTGCTGATGTACTTGCAAAGTCTAGAAGATGTAAATATAAAGAGCCAGCCCAATCGAAACTTTGCGAGAGCTTCAGAAAATTGAGTCTGACATAGATTTTATCTTTTTCAAATTTTAGTAATATTACTTCGTAGTTTCATAGTATTTAATCATTTTATTTTTTTTAGTATTATTAATTGTTTCACATTTTAATATGACTTTTTATAATAAAGTGTATTTTGACATGATAAGATTACTAATTGTAAGTTAAAAAAATAAAATACCTACAATTAGTTCTTTTATCTTCCCCGAGTTTTCCAAGTTGAATATCGATTTTCTTGTTTGCCCTTAACCGTATAGTTTCGTCTATAGTAGGACGTAGCTGTACTTTTGAAAGAGAGAAAGACGAAAATGAAGGGAGAGGGAAAAGCATGGAAGGAGAAGATGAAAAGCTTGGCGAGGGTGGGGATAGCAGGGAGTATGCCACTTGTTCCACTCCTGCAACTTGGATGTTCAGCTTGTGTAATGCACAGGAATTCCATGGCTTGGTTTTAGCGTGTAATGGCGTCCAGTGTCGGCCGTAATAGAGACATTTACTAAGTTGTTGTGTTTCACAGTGCCTTATGCAGTCAACTTACTTTAGTGAGACGTGTCGAATTGCGCAGCTGCAATTATTTCATACCAAGAGTCAATGAGGACGCGCGCGAAGCTTTGAAACTCCTACTGTACCTATACGTACGTATATCAAAATTTGTGTACCATGTACGTGGAATTTTTTCGATTGTTACTTTTCAACTTTCGTGTTTAATTAAGAAAATAATGCATTTTAGGGCAAATTTTACTGCTTTCAATGCGAGAGATTTGATCAAAATTTGCCAGAATACTCTATCCCCAAGAATCTAAAGGAATTCGTATGTATGCTGAATATGAATGCAGAAATTAATTTCTCTTCTTTTCAGAAATTTCGGAAACTCTAAATTGTACAGATATAGCGACGACCTCGTTGAGAGTCATTACCTACCACTCTTGAAACTGAAAGTGTTAGATCTATGAAAAAACATACATTGACTATCAAGACGTTCGACAGAATAGTCAGCAAGCAAACTGCGGCGAGGAGATAAAAGACAAACAATTTATAAAAGCTAATGATGTCGTTAATATTATTGATAAGGCCACGTTGTGTACTCCGAAGGTGACTGAAACAACTCGAACTCGTATCATTCTTTATGATGATTGTAAAATGTAATTAGAAGAACCATATTTGTTTCTATAGCAGCCCGCATATATTAATTGACTTTTCATTTAGGTTTGATAAGATTTTTCCATTGAGAAAAGCTTTCATCCTCGTTAAATTTCGACTTTATAATTATCCCATGAGATGTGCTCATTACGGTTCGTGTCTTATGTATGAAAAAAGTAGTCTGACTTACCTTTTTCCATTCAAAAGCAAGCCACTTTGTCGAGCGTGACACTCCAGTCGATCCTTGGTATAGTATTTTTTATTTTCTAAGTAGCTGAATCACTGCGTCCGATATGTAATTAAAAACTTGTTTATTTTTTCAGCGGTGTGGATGTTCACGTCATTACTCCTGACATAGAAAATAAGCCTGAATAAGGCTGTTTTCAATATTATCAACAGAAACGAGGGGAACAGCTACAACGTTAACTAAAGTAAATTATCAGGTACTCAAAAAATCTTATCGATATACTTTCCCTCGAAATGGATAAAATTTGACGGACGAGAAGCCATTGAATCTTATGTGTTATCAATATATCATCGATTGATTCGTCAGTGGCAACTTACAGAGGAAGTTATGAAATTAATTTTTTGTATCAAACAAGTAAGCTAATTCAAACTCATATGATCATTAAGCTTAAAAATGATCAATTTTTGTACTGGAATAGAGGAGAGTCGTTACGTATCTTTTCAGGCTAATAATCGATCCCACAGTGAAACATTTTGAAATGAAATCATGGCGTGATTGCTTATTTTAATATTTATCATGACCGATTAAAACAAATTGATTTGACGATAGGCCACTGTAGAATTACCCGATGACTATTTATTAATAAATATATAACTTACGGGATTATCAATACCAACATACCTGTCAAATTTCGTTATCTTATATTGCTATCGTATATTGCTTAACGTTGCAAACCATGAATGAAGAAAAATCAGCAAATCCCGTTAATTTTGTAACACGTCGTGATACGAGTTAACCTGAGTTCAATCCGGCCAGTCGATTGGTATCCGCCTTGAAGCAACGTCGCGTCGAATGCTCTCAAAATCGTGACAGCGAACAGTAATTTTCGCCGAGGTGATAAATCAAGGTTGGTATATTTCTTTGATTTTATCGCCAAGGAGCAACAGTGGGTGGGGATTTTCGTTTTGGAAACCATTAAAAAAGATACCGTGAAAATACTACAAATGTTTTCCTTTTTTACTGAGGGCCAATTCTATTTTCAGATAGTTGAGTCAGATACAAGCGTTTACGTAGAAAACACGTGGAAGTTCCGAACGGCGCGTCGATGCTATAGTTTTCGCATACCGACAAATGCGTAGCGAGCCCGCGACGCGTATGAGTTCTCATATCTACACTGTTGTGATACAGTCGAAAGCGCGGGATATTCACCGCGACAACAAAATGTTACGTCACCTATATAATTTTGTTCGATCGAGAGCGGTCGGCGAGATATAATTTTTGAATAGTCAATGAAAACTTGTTTCGTAATTGATGGAGTTACGGTTGACTTTAAAAATTTGCCTTTTGCATTTCAACACTAGGATGATTAAAAATTAATTGAAGTTTCAGAGAAACCTTGAATCATGTCCGATCGAATAATTTTGCCGGAATATCCAATCCCAGAGGAATTGAAATCTGTGCTCCGAACTAAAAGTTATTCATTACAATCGATATCTTACAAATATGCAAAAATTATAGCAGCTTTGAGGAGTGCTAAGTGCATAGACATTCAAGAGAAGCATTATCTTCAATTGTTGAAGTTCGCTCTCTACTTGGAGGAGCACCAGAACACCGAAGAAGTAAAAAAGTATCGATTGTTTAGACAGCCTTTAAGAAGGATAATAGATCCGACAGGGGACCTGAGACTAGCATTATTTCAAATAATTGTTGACAATGTGGTAGATGAAGAGAGACCTTGGATAAGACCGAATGATTTGGTCGACGTGATCGATATCTATGACAATAATGTATACACGTTGCGAATTACAAAAATAATCGAAAATCAAATTATCATCGGTGACTTCTCCAAAAGGTAATAGTGACAGTTGCAAAAAAGCACTATACAATATTTCCAATTTAATCTTGCAAATTCAATTTTGTCTAGATTGTGTGATACTCATGTGCCAAGTAAGCTTTACGATATCGACTTTCGTTTTCACAACTATCAGATGAGATGTTCTCACTATGCTATAACGTTGATGGACTCACATAAAACAGTTTCCTACCTTTTCCCAGAGAACAAGCAATGGCACGTTGAAAATGACAACTGTCACATCGAGTGCGTATTTTACTGAATGTTCAAATTCGAAATTCTGAAATATTGTGCGCTAGAAATGCCGACTGAATAATTTCCGTTAATTTACAGTTCTTTTCAAACGGTCAACCCTAATATCGCAAGTAATCCCGAACAATTGCAAGCCATTTGGCATATCGTTAATTTATCCTCGTTTCCGATACCTTATATTTTATACGGGCCACCTGGTACGGGCAAAACAGCAACTCTAGTCGAAGCGATGTGCCAAGTAGGTCGCTTTATAACTTTTATTCATCGCTAAGAGTTTTTTCATTACATCATTTTCTTTTTAGATACTCAAGAATAGTTGTAACAACATATTAGTATGTACCCCGTCAAATGCTGCAGGAGATGAAATTGCTCGAAGACTGCTAAACTTTGTTCCACCTGGTATGATTTATCGAATGTATAGCATGTCTAAGCTCTTGTACGTATCGATATCTATCGCTAATTTGCAACGAAACGCCATCGAGCGCGAATGCTACTTAATTTAAACTTCATTTGGTTTTAGCTCAACTGTCAATGAAGATTTCAAATTCTGTTCAAATGTTGAGAAAAATGCTGTGGTATTACCAAACATCGAGCATTTTCTCACCAAAAGAATAGTTATCACAACTTTATGTCTTTCAGCCAGGTTCGTTGACAGCTTACGAATTCCCTTTAGTTTGGAAGTGTAACTTGTTGTTTGCTCGACAATCGTCTTGCAAATTATCTTGAAATTTTCTATTATCAAAGTGAATCTGGCTCTTGACAGACATAAATTTCTGGATAATATTTACAGGTTAATAATGATGAGGATTCCGTGTAATCATTTCTCGCACGTTTTTATCGATGAAGCTGGCCAAGGTACGGAGTGCGATATGTTGATCCCTATAAGTTTGGTGAGCGAATGTGGAAAGCTGCACAGCCAAATCGTGTTTGCTGGCGATCCAGAGCAATTGGGCCCAGTAATTATGTCGAAACTGGCAAAAAGTATTTTGGGTAAAAATATTGATTAGGATATTACGTCTGCTTCAGACTTGAAAAAATGTTAATTTTTAGCAACTCGTAACACGTTATTGAATTTTCGAATTAGGTCGATCGATTCTAGAAAGGCTCATGTCTTACAACTTATATCAGAAGGATTGTAATAATAAGTACAATCCAAAGTATATTACAAAGTTATTACAAAATTATAGAAACGATCCAGCTATCCTGCACGTCTCGAACCACCTATTTTACAATTCTGAATTGATCGCTAAACGTCAAGGAAGTATAAAGTTTCCAATTATTTTTCATGGCGTCGAAGGCGAAGAAGACAAGTGTCCGATTTCTTCTAGGCAAGATCACATTTTATAACGTATGACGATGCTCCCACTACACCGATCTTTCACAACCAAATATGCTTTCAGCCGCTGCAATAACAAAGAACTGTCTTTAGTGTTGGATTACGTGGATGCTTTATTGAAAAACGGGCTGGGTTTTGGCCGATTCGTACCCAAAAATATCGGTATCGTGACGCCATTTACGTTGCAGAGCAAGCAGATAAAAAAAGAGCTAGAGCTAAGAAGACTGAAAGACATCAGCGTGGGAACCGTCGAGTTATTCCAGGGACAAGAGCGAGATGTGATAATAATGTCGACGGTCAGATCCAAAACGTTCGTTCACGAAGGTATAGAACACGTTGGCTTCCTCTCCAGTCCCAAAAGATTTAACGTTGCCATTACAAGAGCAAAGCAATTACTCGTCGTCATCGGCAACCCAAACGTACTTCAGATCGATAACAACTGGCGCTACTTAATCAAGTTCTGTATCGCCAACAACTCCTGCATAGGCGCGACTGTCGATTTGAAAAATTTTAAAAACAAGAAGTGCGCGTCTGATTTCAATTTTCTAAAATCTTCGGTTCTTTTTGACAACCAGTCGCTGCTGTCGGTGCACTCGTGTAGCGTTGAGATGGTAGACCTCATGGACAATTTACACGCTTTTGACTGATCGTCTTATGCGTCCGCCACAGTTCTCAGTTCTCTTTTTAAAAAGTCTAGTCCTTTTTTTGTTACGTAATTTTTATTGTATTCCGATTAGTACGATATTATCATTGTCGACAAGTATCGGCCGCATGCTTTACTTTTTATCGAAAGTTTTGAATATTTAAACTTTTGTTCTTGACATTTCTACGTTCACTCAACGCCTTGTGAAAACATCGCGAACGTAATCGTTTTTTTTTTTCTATTGTCTAACGGGTAATAAACATATATTAATTTTTGCATATAAATCGTTTCAATAACTATCTCCATTGCAAAATTAAAAGAAATCGATCTAGAGTGAAAGGAAAATGGACAGGCTCGTATGCCAAAAAAGACCATAAACGTGGATGCTTTTGAGTGCTCGTGCAGGCTTTCAAAGAGTTTCCATTTTCCCGCGCACTACTCGCGAAAAAGGCAGAGCTCAGAACCAGAGGCTGGGTCTGACCGAAGTCGAGAACATGCGCTGCGCAGAAGCTCTGTATGCTGTAACTGCGCAACGTGTAGTTGCTAGTGCGCACCAACTTTAACAGTATCCATGGGTCCGATTGACATAGAAGTTTTGCTTAAATTCTAGTGACATACGGTTTCAATTTTAGTGATTTGCGTTCCGAATGTTCCAGTACTAACCTTTTTATTTACACATTTTTATTTGAATTATAATTTTTTGTAATTTAATTAATAGAAAATATGCAATATTTGGTTATGAAATAAATTATTCTATTACTGTAATTAATATTATTAAAGAATAATATTGTAATATTATTGTGAAGTTATTAAATATAATTCATTAAATTAATTTATTCATGGGATAACCATGTTCGCATAAATAATTTTAGGCTTCAATAAAAGACATTATTAAAAATGAATATTTTTACAAATTACATAAATTCCATGTCCATTAAAAAATAACGCTATATTTGCGCCATTCATAAATATCTGCTTTTCGTTGCCATATAGCAACTAGCAAGTTAGTGTACCCAGCGCTTACATCTAAATTTAGTTATCTCAATCATCAAACATGGTTAATTATTCTATTTGAATTTAATTTAATTTCATTACTTAAGTTCCATTAAATTATTTTTTCATATTCACAGTATTCAGAATGGTCGTACTTATGATGCAAGACGCGTTTTATGCGAATAATTGATATATGTATGTGTTCTATATACATCATTTAAAACTAGAACGTTTTGATATTTTGATAAAAATTTACTTTTTCTTTTAGAGAAACTTATACAAATTTATTTTATCCACCATCAATATTTCACTGATATGCATATAAATTTATAATGTATGAACATATTTATGCAATAAATAAATTGTTTTAATTAATGATATTTAATAGCTTCATAATAATACTACAATCTTAAATTAGAAATATTAATAGCGGTACTGGAATAATTTATTTCTTAACTGAGGGACTTTCAATATAAGGATCCATTAGACATCGGACATCGGATGTTGGACGAATACTCAGGTCAAAAAACAAATTGAGTATTTGTCATTATCTTACCAAAGATTTGTGCCTAGTCTGAAAAAATCATGTGCAACGTTTTTTTTATTTTACTAATTTAAGTGTTAAATAAATAATTCATTTTTACATCTTAGTGTCCGATGCCCGATGGCTTTTATATAGAAAGACCCTAAATATTTGATATTGTTTTATTATTTTAATTACATAATATTTTTATTCATATAAAAATATGTGAATAAAAAGTTGTCCAATGGCGAACATTCAGAACACAATTCACTAACATTGAAACCAGATGTCATTAGAATTTAGCCGGATACTTCTATATGAGTCGAGAGCCCGAGCGATGGCACGACCTTCAGCACTATAGTTCATATAAATGGTCGTGGCGCCGTCAAGCGTCATAACTGGTATCAGAAATGAGACTCCAACCTTAATGAGACCAAGTCAGAGACGATTTTATTTTCACACTGAAACATCCCCTTGGATAACTTGATCGTCGGTGGCCACAAAATCCTATGGAGTGACTGCTGAATAACTAGGTGTCATTTTCGATAGGGAACTTTCCTGAAATAAGCAAACGACTGCCGTCCGGAACGAAGTATACGGTGTTTTTGATTCCCTCAAACCTTTCTTTAATAATAAATCTATCTCCCAACAAACAAAAATTCGTGCCTTCAATGCTATCATTCATAGTATTAGCTCCTCGCGATCCCGGTATGGGGAACTTCCTCCTCCCTTAACAAACTAATCGGCTCTTACATGCGTATCCTCCGCAACGTCTTAAAAATACCCTGATATATAGGAAATACCCAAATCCTAAAAGAAACTAGCCTCCTTTACCTCCCAATGGCCGCTGCCTTTTACGCCTCTAACTTCCGAGAATCGTTCAAATCTCACCCTAACCTTTCCATCAATTACCTAACCGAATGCAAAAGCAAGCTGAGAGAAAAATTACCAAGACCTTGTTTTTTAATCTCACGCCCTAAACTTATCCCTTGACATCGCCACTTAGCGCACAAAACCCCTACCCCGGGGTACTAATTTCTGTATCTTTCTTTTTCTCAAGGCTTAGAACTTCCGGGTTGGTAACCTCGACGAGGGGTTTTAGTTGGTAAGCATTCCAGAACATTGAAATGAATCCAACATTATTAACTTCACATTATTGGGTATCTTTGGAAGATTTCCCCTCGCCCATTAAAAAGAAAAAGTCAAGGGTCATTCTCATTCGTAGGTCTGAACGAGAATCATCATCTCTCTTACCATCCTTTCCCGACTAAGTAGTGTTATTATTATTTTTATTATTATTATTATTATTATTATTATTATTATTATTATTATTATTATTATTATTATTATTATATTAATATTAATGTTATATTTTATTATTGATATCTATTTTTAATATGATTTACCCATGTTGTATAATATACTGTATTAGCATTTGACTGTAATTCCGTGTACGTTTAACTATATCCGCATTGTGAAATTACTTATCAATCTGTCATTAATATGCAAATTGAATTATAATTAACAAATTTTTTAATTGTTAAATATAAAATACAATAATAATTATTATTTTATTAATATTGTATTACGGCATTTATTAATATATAAAATTGTTAAAATAAATAATTGTACACAATCGATACATATTTCAATATCAATTCATTAACCAGATAAATATTTGAATGTTACATAAAAATTATGAGCAATCTGCAACCACGAAGTGAAGAGATTCGCTTAAGTACACAAGCTAGTATTCTTTCACATTAACGTCTTACTTTCGTATCTTCATCTTAATGATAGATTGTTTTCATTCATAAAATTTATATTTTTTAAATATATTTATTTAGTAGCATTTTTCGAGTTGGGTATTAGTTAAAGTGGTAAAAATTTATATAGTTATATGAGCTTATTTTCATGACATAAAATGTATACAGAATTTATACTACATACATCATTATATTGTTGTATATTGTTGTGTAGGGTTTCTATGTCATTTGATGGCTTAGAATTTTTGTGTTCCTTTTGAAAGTTTATTAGCACAGATGCATTCGACATGTATATTATAAAATTACGTAAAAGTTTGGTATTATATTTTCAGTCAATCAGACGAATAAGCGGTGCCTACTTTTGCTTAAATGCACTAGAAAATCGGCGGCTCGAAAATATCGGTGGTAAGACAAGGGCTAGTAGATATGCGAGTCTGGCACTGAAAAGGACGCTGAACTGCTTCAAGTCCAACCACATCCACTACCTATTCCTTTACTTGTCTACTACTGAAACTATGGGGAAGAACCCCAAGTCCCGGCAAAGCCATTCGGCGTTGAAATATATCAGGCGGAAGAATTATTCGCATGCGTGTGTAGCATTTAAAAGATTATTCCACTTTCCATAGCGATCACCCGACGAATACCGCAAATTACGCTACTCGTCAGAGTTAAGCTGCCAAGGTTTTGTGATAGAGGAAATTATGTGTAATTGACATTAACGACGAATAAATGATAAATTACAGCAACAACGAGCACCCGATCGTAACTTAAGTCACTTATGAAATAGATAGATCTGTACAGTTTTCATTTACTTCTCCCCTCCCCTTCTCGCTTCTTTTCATTCCTATTCAACTTTTTTTTAAATAGTTTTTTGGCAAAGATTAATCTCTGCTTTTGATAACTTGAACTTTGGGAGTGCGAAGCCGTACGTGCCTCCCACCAAACTGGGCGGTGCTCTCTCTGTTCCCATCTCTGCTGCAGATGCTGCACATTGACTACAGGTGGTCTAGGACTGTTCTAATTTAATTATACTCTGCCGTAACAAGTTTTCGCGATGAAGAACAACATCATTGTTACATTTTATCGTAAAATTATAATGCACATCCTGTAATATTTTGAGGTCTTTTGCGATGAACATCATTCTCATTGAGCCGATACATCTTTTCATTATTGTAACATTTATTCCCGACCATGATACGCGTTTTCCTCGACGTTTTTTCTTCAACGTGAAAATTTACTTAGAATGCTGCATGCGAATTATGCACCGTTCAAAAAAAGTGTATATTTTACGTTGGTCAAGCGAACTGAATGGCTGTAATTTGCTAAACCTAGACAGAGACACTGTGTCTTTCAGGAACGCGAAAATTTCCAAATCTTTTTTTTTTTAACCTCTACGCTGCTTGCAATATTTACGCGTAAAATATTGTCGTACATGGAAGTTAACAATAGGTCCAGATATATAAAACAATAAGTAGAATATCTATTGTAAATCAAAAGGGATTTTACGTTCGATGAGACAGAGAACCGGTATGGACATCAGAAAAGATAGAGCGCGCGAGGGACGGATAATTTTAGGCCCCTCCCGCCAAAAGATTCGTCCGCCTGTATTCGCAACTAAAACTAAAAAGGTAATCCATAAGTGTACTCGAGGGGCTCGAGAGTAACAAGTCGCAACAGTGATTGTAGTTATTAAAATCTTTGTTGCAATTTCATATTATACGATAAAAAATGAACTATCAATCTAGTATTCACTTTAATAAAATGTGAGCCTTTAAAATATACAATCATATGGCGTGTAACTCTTGTATTTCATGATATAATGATGTTATTTGAAATTTGATGCACATTTAAACAATATTTATTTGTACGTAACATTTTTATTTATTTACATTTATTTATTGTTTAGAGCTGTCCTTTGATTGTGTGCACAATCAAGAATTTCTGAAACATAACGCAGCAGTAATGATGAATTCCTCGACTTACCTGGCCAGCATTAGCGGGAAAATTTTAATTTCGTAAAGTGAAAGAGGGACGTATCAGTCGTTGAGATTGTTGTCCAGCGTAAAATCTTGGTTTTACCGCGCCAAAATTCACTGTCCCTGCAGCCGAATTTCCACGAGAAACTTCGGCTTTGAGTTAAGAAAAGGTAGTGCGTGTATTGTAGACGACGGATAAGGATAGGGGGGGCGGGGGGTCAAAGTTTGACAAGTACACGTAGTGCAAATCGAGCGGCAAACCACGGTAAGCCGACGAGAAGATGAGTATGCGCGTTCTCGATGAGAACTTTGTGCGCGTTTTTTATAATTGTCAAACGGCGAGGCGTGAATTGACGAACTGCTTGTGGCTTCCGTATGTTTTCTCTTCGTGAAACGTTTGCGCGTCTGAGTACACGGTCTGTTGTTGTTGCTCTTCGATTCGAGGCTACAGTACGCTTATATCCTGTTATTGATTGCATTGCCAATCAAACGCTTTGGTACGCGTACAGTTCTCTCGAGCCATTCAGCTCAGAAGATTAGTTTACTTGACGTCGATTAAATGTATGGTATCCCTTATTTTCAACATACGCGCCTTTATATTCTCGACGTAATTTTGAATGTTCGCAAGAAGGAATATAAGATAGTAGCGCTTTTCTTCGTACGTCCACGAATCGCGCTTGTAAAGTAACAAAGTGATTTTCATGAAGCATATCAGTTACGAGTCCCATCTATGATATATCATTACAACACCTCGTAAGTGCAAAAAAACTCGGGCTGAAATTTTATTTGCTGAATGCTTGCCGTTTAACCTAAAATAAATCAGCTGTTATAGCGTAAACAACGTCTACGGGGATACAATTTCGTTGAAAGCTTTCATTTTATGATAAATCCAAGCGACTTGAAGACAGTAAAGCGTAGTTGTAGTCGACACAGTAGGATCGAAATTTCTAGAAATCGTGAAGCGAGGCACGATTTTGAAGTAAAAATTTAACGCATCAACATTGTTTTCATTTGGCCTTCTCTAAATCAAGCCGGAGACTGTACTTTCTCTCTTTTTACTTCGTCAATTACCGATGAAAAATGTGGCACTGCGCGAGAGCCAATAAACTGCCACAATATTGGTGTCCTCAAGACTTGAAAGCAGTTTTGCTGAACAAAGTCGAGCCGTACGACGAGATGACGGAGAAGAGCCAGAAGTTTTTGAATATCCTGCAAAGGTTGAGCAGCGTCGATCGGCTAGAGCTGTCGCAATGCCACTACCTTCAACTGCTGAAACTCGGCCTCTACTTGGAGGAGTATCAACGCAACGTCGACTCGCGCAAGTACAACATGTACGGTCAGAAGATCCAATTCGTGCACGACAAGTTATACAAGATTTACATCAGAGATATTGAGAAGGATCATCCGCTGCACAACGGTTGCTACCTCGTCGAGCTCATCGATTGCAAGGACACCAGCAAGACCAAGTGCGTACTGAAAGTGAAGAGCGTGATGAACGATCACGTCGTTGTCGTCGGCTATCCGCTGTAAGGAAGCAAAACTGACTGAATGGAGGCGAGATCTTTGGCGCGCGTCCATTGACGCTTTCCGCTCGTTTCAGCTTTTGCGAGAGCTACCAATCGAGCCAGGTTTTCAACATCAGATTCAGATCAAACAGCTATCCGTTTCGCTGCGGACACTATGCGCTCTCGTTGACCAGTTTTTACAAAATGACCCCTTACCTGTTTCCATCCAAAACTGAAAACACTGACTCACAAAAGGTTTTACCCGCTGACAGGTAACACGTCCTGCAACGTTTACATCGTCGACGAAACTCAATGATTTCAGTTTTGTTTTCTAGAGAAACGTGGTTCAACGAGCAGATCGCTGAAAACCCTGAGCAGAAGCAGGGAGTATTAAACATCATCGGGAAGTCGTCGTTTCCCACTCCTTACATTATCTACGGACCTCCAGGAACGGGAAAGACAGCGACTTTGGTCGAAGCGATTTGTCAGGTGAATTCGTTCTCATCGGCTTTACTCGAAGTGAAGACAATATCGGAAATATCGTTCGCAGATATACCAATCGACGAGCGAGAATGTTTTGGTATGTGCACCGTCGAACGCAGCTGCCGATGTGATAACGCAGCGGCTACTGAAGTATCTCCCGTCCATGGTGCTTGGACGAATGTTCAGCCCGTCGAGAGACACGTGAGCCGCGTCGTTTCTATCGTCGTCGGAAGGTAATCAAAGAAGGACCAAATTTTTCAATTTCAGAAATCTCATCGAAACCGAGGTGAAGGTGTGCTCGAACTTGGACGACTATGGCAAAATAATACAACTAAACTGCACGCTCGTTCGTTCAAAGCGAGTCGTAATATGCACGCTCTGCACGTGCACAAGGTACACCGTGAGCGCGCAAAACAGTGCACCTCCACATTTCAAAAGTCCAATTGGTTTTCCCGGCAAATGTGCAGGTTACTATTCCTGAATTTGCCGATCAAGTTCGGCTACGTGTTCATCGACGAGGCTGGCCAATCGACAGAGCCCGAGTCATTGATAGCCTTCACCGCCATCAATCTTCACGGTAGTCCGCGATGTCAGATTGTCATCTCAGGCGATCCACAGCAGTTGGGACCTGCTATTCGATCCAAGTACGCTGCTCCGATTCTAGGTGAGATTGGAAACAGATGGACGAATCGAGCATAGTCGACGAGTGATCCTTCTTTTTTACATATAGGTCAATCGATACTCGAGCGCTTGATGAAACTCGAGCTGTACAAGAAGAGCAACGACAATAATTACAATTTTCGTTACATTACCAAGCTGTTGCGGAATTATCGAAGCCACCCGATCATCATTCACGTACCGAATGAACTTTACTACGATAACGAGCTGCTCGCCTGCAACGATAAGTGCACCTTCGCCAGCAACAAGTTTCCTGTCGGGTTTCCCGTCATCTTCCACGCGGTTTATGGCCAGGAGCTGAGGGAGAACAACTCCACGAGGTAACAGTTATATCAGCAACGTCAATACGCGCGACACTTTTCAGCGTATCGGCAAATTTATTATTGCAGTTCGTACAACGAGGCCGAAGCAGCCGCAGTCTTGAAGTACGTTCGCTTGCTGCTCGGTGAGAAAGTCGGTGACAAGGCCATCGCGATGAAGGACATCGGTATCGTGACTCCCTTCGCCGCCCAGAGCAACCATCTGCGAAGGTGTCTGAAAGCTCATAATCTCACCAACGTCACAGCTGGCACCGTTGAGATCTTCCAAGGTCAAGAGAAAGATGTGATCATCGTGTCGACGGTTCGCTCGAGGACCTTCGTTCATGAGCAACGCGAGCACATCGGTTTCCTCTCCAACGCGCGCAGATTCAACGTCGCGCTCACCAGAGCCAAAGCCGTCCTCGTGGTGATTGGTAATCCTACAGTTCTGCAGACGGATGTCAATTGGCGACACTTCCTACGGTTTTGTCAGAACAACAATGCTTGTCGCGGAGAGGCGTTCGATCTAATGGATGGCAACGACGCGAAGGATGCTGTCGCAAAAAAGAGTTGCGCAACGTCGGCAGATCTGTTCTCGGAGACGCTCAATGTATTGCGACTTGGTAAGACTCTTTTTGTGAAAATCTGCTTGAATTCAGAGCTAACGGGATGTTTGCGCTTCAGGTGACGGAATAAATAGGCAGAAAGGCAATCATTTCAACAGGTTTCTATTCTCTGCTGCGCGGAACCAGAACTGTAGTATACTTTGAGAGATGTGTCGCACCGGCATGTCGAAATTTTATCGCATGATATGCCTAAGTTTTTATTCATTGATACATTTGCATCGAACGCTAATTAGTTGTTTTATATATTTTATCATGTGCTTTTATGCGGATGTTATGTTTTGTTCGTTACGCGCAAGGATGCGTGAACTTAGTTTTTTATATATAGATTGCCATTTAAATGTATGCTTATTCAAAGTATGTTTTATTAAATAAAGTATTTTTTCCAATTCGTAACATCAGTAATTATATTGAAATACCCTTCAAGATATATCTTTTCTTTTGTTTTTATATCAATGACATAGAAAAGGCGCAGTATACAAAATAGTCGATTAGTCTATTTACGATTGGTATAAAATATATATGGAGCTGTTGGAATGATACACAAATGTGAGAATAGTACCTATGCTGAATAAGCAAGAAAAATAATATTGGAAAAAGATCATTAAAGAACAATAGCAATTATTCGTGAGCGCATAGAAAATTAAACGGAAGGCTATATTTATGATTATTCTCATGGTCATAGGTCTGTCACCAGTTGTTTGAGAACGCTAGTTGGTGGGCCCAAAAATTTCATACCCACATGTCGATCATTATTATTTTTATATATTTGTGTCACCTGTCTGGTCCTTTCATCATTTTTGAGTTATTTTGTTAAAATTTAGTGCGTATAAGTTTGATTGGATCGAGTAATGCAACAAATGAAGCCCATCTCTCCAAAGACCTTTTAGAATATTTATTTTCCATTTTGATCTTCTAGTTGCTATGTGCTAATTCGTTGATTCATTTCGCAAGGATTTTCAATTTAATGTTTTCTGAAGAGACGAGTTACCGAATAATATCACTATAAATAAAAAGTATATACATAGATCACAAAATAATTTCTCGAATGAATAGATGATTCTTTTCCACGTCGCGAGCACTGTACATCTTATTCGAACGAGAAAAATAAATCCAATTAAAACTGTATTTCTTGGCCCTCCACCATCAGGTAAAAGTTTTGGATCTTCGATGCCTCAACTACTACCTCTCTCGTTCATTCTCTTGTGAACGGGGCAAAGTGTTCGCCTCCTTTCTCTCGTTGGACACTTATACCACTTCTCCTTGTCCCTCGGGCGTGCACTGCCTCCTCATAGCGAATAGGGACGGAGCAAAAGCCGAAACGAAATCGCTCTTCACGACTTTCTGCATTTCAATCTAAGTTGACTGATTATAAAAGGTTTGGAGGGTGTTCGTTCTATTCTCACATCTTTCCTTTTCTATTCTTAATACTTTTCTTATCTTTATTCTTCTTCCTTTTTAACATTATATATATATATATATATATATATATACATTTTATTTTTTATTTTCAATTAGGTATGCCTGTCTCAATGACATTCAGACAGGCATGCCAGAGTTTTCAAATGTTTGTATTGATAAAATTTGAGTGATTTTTCTTCTCCGAGTGATTTGTTAAAATCTAAATTTAATGAAAGATCATTAGAATTGGATTCTAATCATGAATCATTTATTCTCAAAAAAATAATTATTGAACAAAAAATTAATACAAATTCAAAAATGGTGTTTGTTAATGGTGGTGGTGATATTTTAATGGCGGAGTAGAGGGAGCAAGCGCAGCAGAAAGAAGATATGGCTGTGACGTTTACGTCTGCTTTGTATTTTTAAGGTTTTGATGGTGATGACGATAGTAGATCTGTTAAATCAAATTATTCTTTCGAAACAGGATGTTAGATTTAAACATTTTTCTCCAATAATTAGTATTCCATATATTGTTCATATTTCAAGAATCGATACTAATCCTGAATACTTGAACCCATCTCATATTATGAAAATAATTATTAAAAGTTATTCAAATTAAATTACAGATGCTGTTAATATTCATAGAAATAAAGTTTCTAGAGATTAAAGATAGAATTATTGCTGATAAATTACTAGATAATACAATTTTGAAAGAAAATAACCTTAAAAGTTTTATCCCTTTTCATTAGTACAAAAGACAAGCTCTTATTAAAAATATACCTCTAAATATTGATACAAATGAGATAGTTCAAGTTGCAATAGCTAAGGGTAATTGTAATATTTTATCAGCTCGCAGATTTAATAGAAAAATTGAAAGACAAAATCAAATTAAATACCTTCCCTCTACTACTATACCTTTAGTTTTCTCCTATTTGTTCTAACTATGATAAAGAACATAAACCAACTGATTCTCAATGTATTTGCAGAAAATAACAATAAGATATTTAATATTCCTCTTGGTGAAGCCAAGAAGTTGAAAGATTTAAAAAAAAACCTAATAGTATATATTAAATATATTAATAGTATGTATTAAACTTACATTTCACTTTTTACAATCTTGTACATTAACAATTTAATGAATCTTTTGTTTTAGGCTATCCTATTTCCTTTTATTTATCCTTCTCATCACTACTTTTCCTTTTTCTCCTTTTGTTTTCCTTTCCTTTCTGCCCGTCTTATAAGTGTATTCTGGTTAGAAAATCATCAAGATAAAAAGTTTTGCTCAACATCAAAATGTCATTATTCAAGTTTGATATGGTTTTGGCTTAAGTCAAGCTGTATTGTGACAGTAGATAAAGTCAGTCATAAAAGAAGACGAATAGCGATGGCCAGCTACAACTGAGTCAACTGTCAGTTCGTATTGTTTGTCAAACTTTCGATTATTCTCTCTGTTTTGCTATGTTTATGCTCATCGATAGTTATATTTTTATTTTACTTCGTTATGTAATTTCTCCAAGCTTTCAGCTGCAATAGTTCAGTTTATTGACCTTGCAATTGTACACGCACACGTATATATGCGATTGGCAAGTGCTAGGTTAGATTTAACAGTACCATTAGCTATCATGAGTCAATGTGTAATTAATACAGTGTTTGCAGTACAGTTTGTGTAAACAAGTTGACAGTCTTGTGGATGATGTCATTTAGAGAATGCTGTTTTACGTTCGCCAGTTGCACATCTTTGCGATCGTTTATTCGGTATCGTGTTCCATTGTTTAGAAAAGCATTCTCGTTCGCGGCCAACGTTTTTTTCACTTAGCGAAGACTGTTGAATAATTAAAATCAATTGAAGACAAATTTTGCTGATTTTGCTAAGGGAGGATTAAATAACAGTCAAGAATTACAACGGCAACGCTGAAAATAATTACAGGTCAGATAAAAATAAGATATTATTTTTTACTCGTTGTTGTTACTTTCCAAGTAATAAAAGCATTTTTTCCTACTTTATTTATATGATTAAATAAATTACATCTTACTTAATGTTTCATATATTTTCTGAAGTAGCAATCATGTATAGTAAACAACGAAACCTTAAGCAGACAAAAAATGAGTAAGTATCTAAGTGATCTCTGAAACTTTATTTGTTGCTTAAAATTACAGTGAACTAATATATTTCTACATGTTTATTACAGTCGGAAAAACAGCTATTTTCTGCCACCATCTAGACCAGTAATCCCAGAATATCCAATACCTAAAGATTTAATACCTGTAGTAATAAACAATTTGAAACCATTCGTTGGTATGACTGACAAAAATGTGCAATTCATGCAAATATTAAAGCAGATACAAAACAATGAGGGTATAGAATTGAAAGTTTCAAACTATCTAAAACTTTTCAAACTCATGCTTTATGTTGAAGAAATTCAAAATAATTTAGACATGAAAAGATATGATCTACACAAAAAAAAAATTACAAGATTAATGGATAGTTCTAAGCATTTCAAAATTAATGTTGAAGAACTAATAGAAGAACTACCATCTATAAGACCTGATGTACTGGAAATCTGTGATTTGCAAACAAAGCTTCTTTATCGGTTTGATGTTACTAATGTTATGGATGATCATATAATTGCTATTGCTACAAAAAAGTAAAATATTTACATATAAATTTGTGTTTTAAGACTTTATCAGAAACATGCACTATTATTGATTTTCTAGGTTCTGTACAGCATATAGTTCAGAAAAATTCTATGACATCAGATTTATATTTCATAATTATCCAATCAGGTGTTGTCATTATACTTTGTGCTTAATTAATTTGTATGAATTAACTCCATTATTTTTTCCAATTAAACATTCTACATTTATTGAAGAGGGTAGCAAGTAAGTATTTTGTATTTGCTTTTTCTTAAAATGAAACAATGAAACTTATAAAAATAATGTTATTTAGTATATTTTGGTATAATAAGAATATAGAAAGTAATCCAGAGCAAAAGCAGGCTGTGCTAAACATAAAATCCAAATCATCTCAACCTTATCCCTACATTTTGTATGGACCTCCAGGTACTGGTAAAACTTCTACCATAGTCGAAGCCATTTGTCAGGTACACATTTTTACAAGTATTATTTAAAAAAATAAATATATCTTTCAGTTGATACCAAAATATGAAATTTTTTTGAAATAGATTTGGCAAGCTAATCCATCTGACAACATTCTGGTATGTACACCATCTAATACTGCAGCAGATGTTATAACCAAAAAATTATTAGCTTATAAAGATTACATTCCTGAAAGGGATTTATATAGAATGTACAGTGTATCCAATGAAGGATCGAAAATTGATGAAGAAATTTTAGGATGCTCTAATTTTATTGAAGGACAAGTTATGATGTTACCAAAAGAACTAATTAAAAATAAAAAAATTGTCATTACTACGTTATGTACATGTATGAGGTCAGTATTATATAAAAGAAAATTATTTGCCTACAAATTTGAACAAATTTAATTTATTAGTAAATTAATTTTAGATTGCTATTCCTCAACTTTAAAGAAAAACACTTTTCTTATGTGTTCATTGATGAAGCTGGACAAGCAACTGAACCAGAGGCATTGATACCTTTTAATTTATTGAGTAGCATAAAAGAGGGACGAATTGGAAGACTACATAGTCAAGTAATTATTGCAGGTGATCCTTATCAATTAGGTCCTGGAATACAATCAAAACTTGCTGAATCTATATTAGGTTAATTTTGCATTTATATATTCATATTTGCAATAATTAAATCTATATAAAAATCACAATTTTTACTACTTATACTATTTTGTTATAGGACGCTCGATGTTAGAAAGACTTATGGATTGTGAGCCTTACAAAAGAAATGAGCATGGTCAATATCATCCAGGTTACATTACGAAATTACTTCAAAATTATAGAAGTCATCCAGAAATTATCAAAGTATCAAATGAAATTTTTTATGAATCTGAATTAAAAGCTTGTGGAAACGACAATATATATAAAGCTATAGACTGGCCATATCTTGTTAACAAAAAATTTCCAATCATTTTCCATAATGTAGAAGGAACTGAAGTAAAAGCTAATAGATCTACCAGGTATACCTCTGTTTGCTATTAAAATTCTATTCAATTATAAAATCGTATTATTTATTCATTCATACATTAATTTTGTTCAGCTCTTATAATATCGAAGAAATAAAGGTTGTGAGGTATTATGTGAAACATTTAATGAGAAATCCTATGAAGAAACCATTGCCTGAAAATGAAATTGGTATTGTAACTCCTTTTACCGCACAAAAGCTCAAAATTAAAAGAGTTCTTCAAGAAGATAATTACCTCAACGTGGACGTCGGAACAGTTGAGTTATTTCAAGGTCAAGAAAAAGATGTAATTATTTTATCTACAGTGAGAAGTAAGACGTTTAAACACGATGATGAGAAACACATAGGATTTCTGTCAAACCCAAAGAGATTTAATGTTGCGCTAACGAGAACAAAAGCACTTTTGATAGTTGTGGGAAATCAAAAGGTACTCCAGATTGATAAAAATTGGAAATATTTTCTTCAATTTTGCAAAAACAACAATGCATGTCGCGGTAATCCCTTCGATATAAAAAACGATTCTCGTGGAGAATGCGGCAAGCCACATAAACAGCCGAAAATTGTTGTACCATCTGTTTTGGATAATTTCAGTACCATCGATGTCGTCGACCTTGGTAAATAAAATATTATTCAATTAGTGATTTTCTTTTATACGAGTTATCAATTCATGAATGTATTCTCTGCAGATGATGGTGTAGAAGTAAGTCCTCCAGAAAGCGTTGTAGACGAGAACGAGTATCCGAAATCAGTTCGTAAACAATCATCTTTTAAAACATTCAACGGTTGCCCACAAGCTATTGCTCCTCGTACGAAAGTTAAATTGAGTGACATTCAGATCAAAAGCATGGCTGATATAAAATTAGAGAAACAGGCTATGAAAAAAGAAAAGAGAAAAAAGAAAAAACAACACATGAGCGAAGAATTGACAAAATAATCATTACTTAATTGTAGGTTTCACTTTGTGAAATTTTAGTTGATGTAATAAAGTAAACCAGTGGTACCTGAATATTTGAATTAGGTGCTTTTTGGTTTATAAATGTATTGTTCATGTCTTATAGAGTATACTTATTATTATACTAACTTGTGAAATTATATTAATAAATGAATAATTTTTTAAACGACGTCATTTCATCATGTAAAATGATAATTTACATTTGACCTATAGATTTGTCCATTCATTCAAATTGGTAAATGATAAGATGTCTTTATTTAGATATGTCGAGTATCACGATTACCAGCTGTTTTAGCGAATGAGTTCAGCATCTACTAGAACGAGCGCTAATAAAAATTTGTAGATTCGACATGTTAATGGCGGAGCGTATTTATTGAGTGGAAGGGAATGCGCTGACGGTAGTGGATATCTGCTGTAATTCGAACGCTATCCACTAGTGTATGCCTATGGTTTCGGCATATCTGAGAAAGATGTCGCACTGTTTTTATAATTGTTTGCAGCAGAGTTTCAGTATTCAAACGTTTCATTTGTACCGACGTATACGGTTTTTTCGTTTTCGCGCGCTAGTGCCTTTTATTAATAGAATATAGTAACGATTTGAAAAAGGTAAATAAGCGTTATTTACTTTTCAAAACCAAATTTTGCTTCTATGCTTGTTTATTTCTCAACAAGTTTCAGCTCAACATTCGAGCTCGTAATAGCTGCGAAAAATCCTCGGGGCGATATGACCGGCATTTCAAGTGTCGGTGCCGTGGTGAATAGGAGTCTAGGTGTGAAGAGAAGTAGCGTAAGCGACGATGAGGGTTTCAATGATTGTTTGGACTGTGAGACTACGAAAAGCGAAAGAGTAAGTTCTCCGAAAATAACGAACGAGGGACTTCTATTGGGCTTGATGGTTGATCAATGTTTGATGCGTCTTCGCTTACACCGTGATATTCGCAGAGAGCATTGAAACGTTTCAAAGGGAACGATGACGAAGGTTTCAGAAAGAGACGATCGAAAGCAGTCGCGTCAGAATTGTTTGGCGAAGAATCGAACGACGTGAGTATTTCTCGACTCATTGACGACGACTTGCCGTAACGCAACAAGCTCATTAGGTCATTGCATCTTTCGATTTGAACAGGAGAGCGTCGAAGAAGTCGTCTCGTTGATTCGTTCTGCTCTGCAGAAAGTCCGGGACATTTTCAATGACGATAAGTCGAGCAAACGTGGCGCTGGTTCCGAGAGCAGCGCCGGCGAGCAACGAACTGCCGATGACTTGGATGCTGAGATATGCGCAAGCGACGTTCCCGAGCGAATGCAGCTCCGAGTCGTTCCCGTGACCGCAGCTTCGAAAAAGGAGCTCGCGAGAGAAGCTCGGTGGATTTACGAGCAAGCCTTCGACTGCAGAACCATTTCCATTCAAGACTCTCACTTGACGGCGGAAGCTAAGGGCCGCGCGCGCAAAGGCCCGGAAGCAGTGGACAAGATCGCAGTCGCCTTAGATCTCTTGAAAAATCAGCATCTCGAGGTGCCCTTCATCGCCTTCTATCGCAAAGAGTGCGTCTTGCCGGAGCTCGGCATCAACGATCTCTGGAGGATTTACAAATTCGACGCCAAGTGGTGCCAGCTGAGTCGACGTAAAAAAGCTCTGTTGGACGTTTTCCAACTGATGAAATATCATCAGGATAGCGACGCGTCGCGGCACAGCAGACCGATAGAGAGCGACGACATTGAGCAGCTGAGAGCCGCGAGGACAATCGAGGAGCTGAACGATTTCTATCAGCTGTTTTTCTTGCACTACGCTCCTGAGATTTTCAAAGAAGAGCGCGTCGACGATCGTAACGAATCTTACTCAATTTATCGCGAGGCTGGCCTGAGCAGTTTGGCTAGAAAGTTTGGCTTGTCGCCCAAGCAGTTCGCCAACAATCTCGATCGACAATGCCAGGTACACAAAGTCGAGCAAGAGGCAGTTCTACCCAGCGTTCTTGCTTTGAGTTACATCAACAAGACGTTCAAAACCAGCGAGGAGGTAGTTTGCTTACGTTTTTCTAATCTGCGAACATGCCGCAACGATACGACGAATCTGGAATTTTAGGTACTAAAGGCCGCGCAGCGTATGGTAGCGATACAAATTTCCAAAGAACCAATGGTCAGAAAATCGGTGAGGAAGCTATACCTCGAGCAGGCAAAAATGTCGGTGCGACCGACGAGCAAGGGGATCGCAGCGATCGGCGAAAACCATCCCGTCTACACCATGAAATACCTCAAAGGCAAGCCCGTCAAGGACCTGGCCGGCGACCAGTACCTGAAGCTGTCCATGGCGCAGGATGACCGATTGATCACGATTGGCTTTTCCGATCAAGTCGAGGCGAACTACGCGGAGCGCGCGAAACGGCTTTGGTGCAGGTGCGCATCGACAGTGTATAGCGCTTGCACGCGAGCGAAACGCGTTCACGCTAGCTGTCATTCGCAGGAGCGAGTCGAGTAAACACGTCCGAGAGTGGGACCGGCTCCGCGCCGGCAGCGTGGAAGCAGCCGTCGCCGAGATGCTCGTGCCCGAGCTGAAGCGAGAGCTGCACTCGACGCTGCTGGCCGAGGCCAAGGAGTGCGTGACGCGCTGCTGCGCTCGCAAGATATACGACTGGATAAAGACGGCCCCGTACCGTGCCGCCTGTTCTGCCGAGCACGAGGACTGTTGGGACGCGTCGACAGGTTTGCGGGTCATGGGCGTGGCGTACGACGACGATCCTGCGGCGACGGCGGCGTTTGCCTGCACGGTCGCGCCCAGCGCCGCGTGCGCGGACTCGTACGAGCTGCCCGACGCCGGAACAACGAGCGACGGGGCGATTGAGCGCGCGATCGCGGCGAGCAGACCCCACGTGGTGGCTATCTCGGGCGCGTCATGCCGAGCGCCCGCGATCGCGCGAGCCTTCCGCGAGGCGATCGCGAGACTCGCGGCCGAGGCCAATTTTCCAAGGATCGCGGTGGAGATCGTCGAGAACGGAGCCGCGCTCGTCTACTCCACCAATAGTCAGGGTGTCGCCGAGTTCCCGGAGCATCCGGCCGTCTTGCGCCAGGCGATCTCGCTGGCGCGTCGCCTGCAGGATCCCCTCGGCGAGTTATCGCAGCTGTGCAACGCCGACCACGAGATTCTCCGTCTCGAGCTCCATGATCTCCAAGACCAGGTGGCCCGGGAAGACTTACGCGATGATATCTATTTGGAGTTCGTCAATCGAGTGAACGAGGTCGGCGTCGACGTCAACAGAGCCCTGCTTACGCCCTACTTTGGCAGCCTGCTGCAGTTCGTGTGCGGCTTCGGGCCGCGCAAGGCACGCCACCTCCTGGACACTCTGGGCAGGGCGAGCCAACAATTGGAAGATCGCCGACAGGCAAGTAGCAGCTCCTCGGCCTCCTCGCCATCGATTCCAGCCTGAATGCACCCGCGCTCCTCCGTTTCCGTTTCAGCTGATGACTCTGTGCCGCCTGGGCCCCAAGATGTACGCCAATTGCGCGGGCTTCATCAAGATCGACGCGAGCAGCTTGCACACGGCCGCGAGGGCGCGCGTCCAGGTGCTCGACGGCTCGCGCGTGCATCCCGAGAACTACGACTGGGTCGGCAGAATAGCGGCCGACGCGCTTGACTACGATTGCCAAGAGGCGAGCGCTGCGCCGCTGGCGCTCAGAGACATCGTCCAGGTCCCGGAGAGATTGCAGGAACTGGACCTCGACGCGTACGCCGAGGAACTCGTGAGGCGTGGATTCCCCAATCAATGCATCACGCTACACGACATTCGCTCGGAACTCACTCACAGGTGCGCGCTTCTTCTCCTCTGCTCGCTGCGAGATCCTGTGCACCACGTGTCGAGACGGCGCGCTCTTTTTTCACAGATACAAGGACCTGCGAATCCCGTATCAGTCTCCGACAGTCGACCAACTCTTCGGAATATTTGCCAAGCAAGATGCGGAAAACTTCTACGTTGGTAAACTTGTGGAGGCCACGATCGTAGCACTGGCTAACGAAGTCGTTTGGCTGCGTTTGGATAACTCTATATCCGGGTTCATTCGCATAGACAATTTGTCGGACGAAAGTGTGGCCAATCCCGAAGAAAAAATTCGCGTGGGCGATCGCATTCACTGTCGTATAGTGCAGATCGAGGCGGCCGAATTTCGCGTCGAAGCGAGCAGCAAACACAGCGATCTAGCCGATAGGAACGACGAGTGGAGGTGATCTGAAAACCTTCATTCTTGATAACGAATTTTTAGAGCTTCATTTCGTTATTTCGTATTTTGCGGATAGATTGCCGAAAGACAAATACTACGACCACATAGCCGAAGCTAGAGACGAATTATTGGACGAGAGAACGCGAAACGCGAGGCAACGGCGGGGGGATGCGACGCGCACGAGTGCTCATTGCTGCTTCAGAAACGTCAACTTCAAGGACGCCGAGATACTGATGCAAGCGATGCGACCGGGCGAGGTGATAATTCGACCGTCGAGCAAGGGTGAAGGACAGCTTTGTCTCACGTGGAAAATGTCCGAGGGCGTGAATCATCATACCGCGGTGCGCGACGACGGCAAGTGTTTGTGGATTGGTGAACAAGAATTTCCGAATGTCGACGCAATTATCGCTAGGCATGTCGGTCCCATGGCTGTTTACGCTTGCGAACTGATGAGCTTCAAGCACTACAAGCCACAAGTTCTGGGCGTGCAGGGCAAAGCTGAAGAGATACTTAAGAATCAGAAGAGAAAGAATCCCCAGGGAATTCCTTACATCATTTCTGCAATCAAGGTAATTCTAATCTTTGACGATTGTTTCCTTTATTCTTCACAGAAGTGAATTTCTGCTTGATTGCCAACAGAACCAACCTGGCAAATTCATGCTGTCGTATCTTCCTCGTGACCAGTGCCGACATAGCATCATTACCATAAGCCCGGCCGGTTTGACGTTTGGTGGTCGTCGATTCGATCGCTTGAATGACTTTATCCGCTGGTTCAAAGAACATTCCAAGGAATCGATCGCTAAGTAAACCACTTCGCATGCGTCGAGGACTCGGCTCGATAATGACGTAAAAAATGAGTATCGGCAACGAGATCGAAAATTGAGTTCTGCACTTTCGCAGAGATAAATTCAGAGATGTTTCGAGACGCGACTCGAAATTCTCTTCCTTCGATGCTGCACTCTCTATCATAAGCAGCACATTGATCCTTGTACATGAACCTGTGAGAATGTACCAAAAGAAGACTGTAATTTTTTAATTTTCCGATTTTATATTTGTTTTTTAGGTATTTATAGAAAATAACGAATTTTAGCATGCAATATTTCATGCTTTTTATGATTTTTATTTCATATTTATTATATAGGGTAATAACAATAGTAACAGACCACGTGCCAGTAGCCGTCCACCTTAAATTAAGATAATTAACGATTTAATCGAATCTTAATTTTTTTTTTCATCAAAATCATTAAAAATTTTAGTTAAAATATTAGTGACCGAATGCTATCGCAAAGCCCAGCCGGAATAACCGATTATTAGCGAAATATCGCTTTTCTGTTTTAAACTTCAATCATTTTTTTCCTACACTGAGTACAAATAAAATAAAAATTTTATCTGAAAGATGAAACATTTATGCTGTAAATATTTCCATTTCCTTTTTATTTGTTATCAATTTAAACATATTTTTTGTATCAGTTTAAAGTGAAAATCGTCATTAAAGGTAGTCGGCCACCTTTAGGTAATTTTCCATCTTTGAATCTATTACATAAAAATGGAAATGGAAACTCAAATCAATAATATTTTATCTTCAAAATACAGTTTTATATTTAATTTTACTCGCTGTTTGAAAAGAATACTTGAAGTTTGGAAAATAATAATTCACATTTCGCTAGTAGTCTGTCAGTTGGCCACCAATGTTCATCAACTTAATGATTATTTATTAAAGATAATAAAGACATGGACAACTATTAGTAATTGATCGGTTACTAATGTCTTTCCTATAATCTATACGACAATGACGTAGGTAAAATACGTTTAGTGTAATAAAACTATATTCATTTACTGCAAAATTGTTTTAAAATTTTTTTGGAATAACTATTGTATAAAGTGTCTATTTCAAATTTTAAATAACTGGTGGGTGTACAGAGGCAGTTTTATTCCGAAGAATTTTTTTTACTCGGAAAAAAATTAATCAGTTTAGAAATCTTTTCGGAACATTCAAATAAGCAAAAGAGTAATGAGATATGATAAAGAATATACAAACAACTTATTGTTTTTGTTAATCAAACATTTATAAACGATTTAAAAAATAAATAGAAAAATGAACTCGTGCAACAAGGTAACCAATCCAGCTGTACTCGGACAGTGTCATTTTTTCATAAAATGTGCATTTCAATAGTATTTAAAGCTGTCAATGTCATTAGCCTCTGATATTTGTCAAATTTATAAGAATTCAAACAAAGTATAATTCGAAATGAAAGCTGAAAACATGATACACGTGGGATCACTGTCCTATTTTGGAGCAACCATTATCTTCGTTGAATTTACTTAATTCAATCTAATAATTATTGGATTAAAGATATACTGCTCGTCGAAATTAATTAGTTGGAGATTGGAAATTGGATAGCTTAGCTCTTTTCATCCTATCTGTGAATTTATTTCTCGTTATATGAAGATGATAACTAACATTGCTCACATGAGACTTTTGTTTACTTAATAATTTGAAAATGAGTATGAATAGTTTACGAGACGTCGTGAGGCTGAAGAATCAGAGCTTTAATTATTTGTGATCTACTCACAAAATTGTTTATTAAATCGTTCAGATAAGAATAATCTAGAAAGTCAAATTTTTAGACTGTAGAATATAGATATTCTTACTAATCCGTATATTAGGCTTTTTTGTTTGCCAGATTTGCAAATTACTTAAGCATTAGATTTTACAGCAGTATTATTAAATTTTTTTTTTCAATGAAACTTTATGCAATTTCCTTATAAAAATTAGTAAGTAGTAGTTTATTGAATGAACGTGATTTTTACAACAGATTTAAGAAAAGTATCGTGTGGTAAAAATTTTAGCCTTTTTAAGCAGCAAAGAATCGTAGTTTAATTCATTGAAATAGTAGAAAAATATTGAACTTAGATTTATTCTGTTTGGCATAATTAAAAATACAAAAGTGAGAAAGTATTTCGCATTTGTACAGAAATATGTTAAGTAAAACAGTATCAATATTTATAATAATTATTAAAACTGAATGACTGTCTTTCATAAAAGTTGAACACTTATGTTAATGAAAAATTGCATATTCTCAGCAGATAAATATCTGTTTTAGAACTTTTTTTATCTTACTCGAGTAAAAGTCTGGCTTGATTTCCATTCACTTGACTAGCTAGGCCGTGGCGTAGAGCAAACTCACGCTTTACGTTAGCAAACAAAATGTCTGTCAACAAGAATATTTGTGCTATGGCAAATGCCAATGTAACTCCAAAGTAGAAATTGGCATTCGCCGATCTTGAATATATCCATTGATGCCAAACAGTTGGAGCGAATATTGTGCAGAACAAAACAAAACATCCAACAATGAATCCTTGCTGCATATCTGAAAAGAAATGTAATTTTTAGAAATATCATTTTTTGTAGTTGTAAATGAATAACTTTTATTTATACTCACGTCTAAATAAATGTCTCCACAGAGGCAAAAGACTAAGATAAAATCCTACATCTCCTATACAAGGATAAGATTTGAAAATTGCATCAATAGCCAGATAAGAAAAGGCTAATAACATAGGATCTTTTCTGAGCTTCAAAGCTAAAGGAATGATAAACAACAAACTGACATTGATTTGGAAGGATGCAATAAAAAGAGATCTAAAATGCTCAAACATTTCTGTAAAGAAATACCAGTAAAGGCCAATGTTTGGTCGTAAGTCAGGAACTAACAAGATGAAACCAAGAGTATTCTTTAAAAATGACCAACTTCCCATGATATAGTAAGAAGTGAGCAGCAAAACTATTAAAACAGATAAAAATAGGCCTACAATTTTGGTAATTTTCATTGGCACCTCACTTTCTTTATGATCTTTGACAACAGAAATAATAGCAGGCACAATGAGGCAAACAGGATAAAGCCCTTGTAAAGTTAAAAATGCTATAGATAAACAGAAACTCCAAGTAGATTTCTTTATCATTGCAAGTAATGTCACTGATATTAAGAAATTTGTGAATACTGTAGTGGTAAGCCCTACACAATTTAAGACAATGTAAGGATTGAACAAATAAGCAGCTGAAACATAGAAAATAGAAGATGTACTCGGGGATGTTATGGATGTATTTTTATTTCCTTGATTGTCCTTCTTGTCACTTAGTGCTTCCTCTTCTTTATCACGAACAATCTATAACAATTATTTGGAAGAAACTTCTATTTATTGCGAGTGAATAAATAAATTGTATGTACATAATTTGAACTCACTGTTTCTTTGATATAACCTGTAGCTGCAATACCAAGTAACACAGCAGTTGTAAGATCAGTGACAACGAATAACAACCATATTCCATAATAAGATAAATACTTTTGAATTAAATCAAATATAATTAGACCTAATGGAGTTTCATGAAATAAATCTCCACTGTATGGATCTACTCCTACATTTTTTAGATAGACACCTTCTGTAACTGAAAGACCAATGATTCATTAGGATGTCATTTATTGAATATTATGAAGTTATTTTTTTAAACTTACTTCTTTTCCACGAATTTAATGCTGTAGACACTTCCACTCTATCAGCAATAACATTTTGATAATCAGAGTGCATTAGTAGCAATCTTAAAACACCGGCTAGAGCGTAGTAGACGATGTGATTCTTCATTTTTACCAATAAATACAAATTAATGACAATTAAGAGTAGAAAATTTTAATTGAACTTTCACGTAAAACTTTCATTTATGCTTCATATTATTCTATCTATTAAATTTTAATCAACCGTTTTGTTCTTTTGTTGATTTACAGCTTATACTTTTTTTACATTGATTGAATTAATTCACACTAAATCCGTGACGATTTGTGAGTGTTCTCAACATGATACATAATGCAGGCAGCTACCACACATATTTTTAGGTTAAGTTCTCCACAGATCGTTGTTACATGGGCTGTTAGTATTTTCACTAATTTTCACTATTAGTATGCTGCACTAGCCATGACGATAAATTACTAATAGAATTTTATATAACCTTGTATAATATTCGTATTCAATACTTTATAAATCATATCGCGATAAAAAAAACGTTAGACTTATTAAAAATAACCTTAGCTGCATGAAATAATTTATAGAAATGTTTTAAAAATCAACAATGGCATTTAGACTCAAAGGTTGGAGATTCGGAGTTTTTATCGGAACATTAGTAGGTGCAATATCAACGCCTTTGTACTTCACTGCAGTGAAACCAATGATTAATCCAGAAGCTTATAGTATGTACATTTAATGTTTATATTTAGAAAATCGTCATATTGAGATTGAGAAATTTATTTCTTTTGTAGAACTATTTCGAGAAGAAGTTGAACCTAAACTCAGGCCAAAATTAAATTAATACAAACTTGCAATGGTATGAAATTATTGTTTAATTGTAAATAATAAATAATAAAGTTCTAATTATGTTGGAAAAAACTGTTTTAGTTTATTTACAATCTGACATCAAATAATTATTGTGTACAAAATAATTAAACTTTTTGTATGAATAAAACTGTACAGTGTTTATCTATATAATCTAACTCTAGAATTCATCGTCATCACATATATCAAGAAAGACATCAAATGCTTCACGATTGCAGTTGCCATCAGATGTAAAAACATATTTATGAAATGTACCATCCATGCAAACAGCTGTAAATGAAATTTTCAGTAAATTTGATAACTTAAAGTACTAGAAATAAACAAATTTAGATTTTTCAAAGTGTGCAAAGTAATAATATACCTATCACGGAACTTCCTTTGCCAAAAGCACAAACACAGGCACATTCTGGAGGTACAGTAAAAGTAGCAAGAGCCCACTGGCTATCAACATAGTTTCCCAAAAATCCTATATTTGAAAACCTGCAAATTAGATATTTGAATTTTCAACATTTTTATATTTCAACCAATACTATAACAAATTGTAATTACTCACGTTGATCTTCGATTAAGACGAGTATCTTTCAATGCAAATATATGAACAGTTCCTTTGTCACTTGACGCGCATAAAAATTCTGAATCTTTACTAAATGTAATGCTTAAAAAAATGATACATTACAATTAAAATAATATAAAAAATATTTTTAATGTTCTAGTCTCAATTCATCTCCAAGTGATATTTAGCAGTTCAAATATAGAATACTTACCAGTATACTGTAGCTGGATCAGCACCTCTACGTAATTCAATTAATAACTGCTTACGTAAGCTATCCCATACTCTAACAAGGGTACCCTGTGTTGACGCTGTTGCTACCATTGTTCCTTCGGGATTGACTGCAATACAAGCTATTGCTCCCTGACAACAAACACATTTTATAAATACTTAAAAATTCTTTTCTTTTACAATGATATATGAATAAAACTAAACTCTTTCACTGAAAATCTATCAAATAGACTAAGTTTTACCTGATGAGCAGCTAAAGTAGTTGGTGCACTAGAGGTACCAGCTTCGGTAGCTCCAAGATCGACTAGTTGAACACTGCCAAGTTTGTGACCTGGAAAAGCAAGTAGCTGCTTTTTTGCAGTAGCTAATGTTGCAATTTCCATGAGTCCCATAGGATTATCTCTAGTCTCTAGTGTGAGTAATCTACGAGTTGGCACAGGAAAAGAGAATACATGTATTTCTCTTTGGAGTGCAACTACAAGTCTGAAAGTCATTAAATACATTTTAATAAAAAATACTTAATATTGATTTTAAACAGTGTTAGTTTTTCTAAATAAAATAAAATATTATCATTGTCCTTTATCTGACATTTGCGAAGATGAATCACGAAATATTAATATTACAAATATCAATAACGAATGCGAAAATGAAAATAAAAGACCAAGAGAAATAAAAGAAAAAATACATACTTGTCCCTCCTGAGTCTAAGAGCCTTGATAGGACTGGCAAAAGTGATCTCCATGATGAACTTTTTGGCGAGATCATCGTAAATGAGGACGGTATTGTCCGCGAACTTAGGTCTCGTGCCACCGCCAACAACAGCGATGAGATTGGACCTCCATAACATTTCGGCTATGCCAATGCTACCCATGAGCTCATTATCGAAGTGTGCCTGTTCGACCAGTGGCTCGATATTGTAGACCCGCAATCCGGACTCCATGCAGCTCGTAAAGCATCCTGTTTTTGTCAAAACGAAGAACACGGTCAAATGAATATTCAGGGATATTGTGTGTACGCCGTGCGAAGCGAGCGAGCGCACGCGTCAGGTGAGAGCGAGTGAAAAGTTGATTAGCAAAGAATGAGAAAATGAAAAGAGCATGGTACTGCGTAGAAATGTTGACGCTACCTTGATCCTGGTTGAATCGAAGCCCGAGGATCCCCTTGGCGGCCGACATCGTCCACGAGGCTTTGGCAGCATCGAGAGGTGCACGCGCTCTTAATTCTCTTTGTTTATCGTCGCGCAGTTCGCGGACTGCCTCTGTGACATTTCAGGCGTTCTACGATGTATACATGTATGTATATATTGTGCGAGAGTGAGAGGGAAAGAGAGAGAAGCCCAAACGCGTGTCACGCACACACGCACCAATTGCGCCCAGCTCTGACTTGTTGTGACTGGATTCTACCAACTAACAGTGCAAACTTTTACTCGCACAGCCGAAAGCAATTCGCGCGAGTCTGTTTCTCTCTCTCTCTCTCTCTCTGTCTCTCTCGTTTCGTCTTCTTCTTTGGATGGTGGCGCCACCTGTAAACATTGTTGCCAGCTGGGGATTTGAAATCATATGGTTGCACAATTACGTTATACGTGTGGCAAGCAGCTGTGGCCTGTGGCTGACTGAGATACTTTGTTTTTTTTTTTGGGGCAATAATTGATACAGGTTTCGAAAGGGAATATAGTAGCTTATTTTTTTTATTTATACTCCAATTTATATTTTATTGACAAATAGTACGTAACAAATTTCAACATATTTGATTTTTTTATTGTTGGAATAATTAAATATTATTTTACAAACTAAAAAAATAGCGTATATAGTGTTTTTTAAGACTGATAAAAAACAGCTACGAGAAAAAATTGTTTTCCTAGTTGATGTAATTATTGACAGTTGTATTCACAAAAACTATGTTTCATACTTGTTTTTACGGATTAACCTAATTGGTCTTAAAACTTTTTTCTTTGAAAATGTTATCTCCTTATGTCAAATAAATTGTTTCTGTAATAATAAAAGCCGACAACATTCTTGCAATACTGACCAGTATATAAGAATTAATGGATCTACATAAAATAAGAAAATAATATGCAGTAAAATAAAAAAAAATGAAAATTTATGTACGTAGTATCAACTCTCGACATTTCATTTGAGGAAAATAGCTTAGTTTGATTGAAAATATAAATATATAGTTAGAATAAAGAATCGACGATAAGACCGACAATTTACAATTCTTAGAACGTTTCCATAGATCCAGTGTGTAACAATACGAAGACGAAGATTAACAGAAGACTTGTATAAATATTTCAATTGTGCGTTGAGCGTTTGCTTGTAAAGCCATTGTACACTAGCTCAAATTATAGTTGAAAACTCGTTGAAAAACGAGGAAAAGGTTTTTCAGCTCGACGAGTTATGCGACCCAAAGTCACTAAAAACATGTGAGAAAGTAATGCTTAATGAAAGCGAAATCTCTGTCGTTGATGAATAAAAAAGAAATTGCGAGTCCAGCCTGTTTTCCTGCCGCGCAATAATGAGCTTATTCGCTTGGTCCGCGTGCAAGCGCGAGCGCGCGGCCTGCAATTACAGAGAGAAAGCTATATAAACGCGTGCCCACACTTGCGTACAGGCAGATATATACAGAAGTACACATAAACGGGGCGGCTGGAACGGCAGACAGGGCGGAGGGTTGCTGCAGGCGTATCGGTTGCGCGCGCAACGTGTATCCGGTACCAGGGCGCGCGTCTCACGCTTCCCAGTTCGAATTGTAACGCAGTCGGGCTGCGCGCTGGGCTCGAGCAGATACTCGACACTTTGGTCAAGGAAGAGACGCGTTTTGCTGCGAGATCGGCAGCTCTTTCTCTCTCTCTCTCTCTCTCTCTTTCCCTCGGCGCGCCCTCGATAACTTTCGATAGTCACGGCTGACGTTGGTCACGCAGACGAGCAGCGAGACACGTACGCCAGTGCAGATATATCGTCGCTGGGAAGAAATGTGACAGTCGACAAGTGAAGCACAACGAGATCGATTGCCTCCGAAGGAATCCTCGACCGTCGGCAAAGTGCAATACGAGAAACAAGTGAATCGCGATGATTGGCCAGTCGACCAGCAACGACGAGCAGCAGCAGGAGCAACAGCAGCAGCAGCAGCAGCAGCATTTGAAGCGTCGCGCTTTGGAGGAGCTTTGCGACGAAGTGTGCGGTCATCAACACAATCGACAGCCCTTGGCCAAAAGACCGCGTCTGGCCGACTTGCAACTTCTCGAGCATGATTTAGCCAATTTGCAATACGAGCCGTTCGAGAATGCGCATCATTACAACTATCACTGGCACGATCAAGTGAGTCACAAGGATCAAGAAGCTCCGGTAGCGAGGCTCGAGGTCTTGGTGGTGGACGGTACTTGGGATGAGGCGCTGGAAAGCTTCGAGGCTGGTGAGTTACGTAAATCTAAGGTTCTTGACGATCGCCATTGCGTCTTTGTTTTCCGGGGCTGCTGTTTGTACATTAAATTTCAAAAAACTGCCATTGTTCACTGCGAGAGCGCCATTATCGGAGAGAAGCCGATCGTACAATTTTTGCTCCGCTTTTGTTTTTCCGTCGAATAATATAGTCGCATTCTTGCATAACCAACATTAGAGTCACGACAACAGAGAAGTTTGATTCTAGCCGAATAGCTCTTGGTCTCTCACTGTAGTCGAAATGACTAGGGGCGACAAACGTGAATAGTGCGATTCCGAACTGTTGATTGTGTGCGCGAAGCTTGAAGAATTATCGCTGAGCTCTCAATGAGGAGAAAAGCGAGAATTCATCAGCACTCTTACGAAGCGAATGGATCGCGAGGTTAATTGCTCGTAAAAAATCCAAATAATTCAATCGAACAAAATCTCGAAGCTGAGGCTAATCAAACTAACCAAAACAGTTCACGTTCTCTTACCGGTCGTGGCTCCATTGAAGCTAAGAGCGGCCTTAGCACCGCGACCGAAGCATCATAAAAGAAACGCAAGTCAGGGTGATCGTAAGAACGCGCTCTTGCTTTCCGTGGAAAGTAAAAAATCGATGGTTTCGCTTTAAAAACAATTCTCTCTCTCTCTCTCTCTCTCTCTCTCTCTCTCTCTCTCTCGCTCTCTCTCTCTCTCTCGCTCTCTCTCTCTCTCTCTCTCTCTCTCTCTCTCTCTCTCTCTCTCTCGCTCTCTCTCTCGCTCTCTCTCTCGCTCTCTTGGCAAAAACGCGAGCAGTGGCGGCGGCGGGGCAAGCCTGCGGAGTTGCGCCACTGACGGAGCTGACGTCGTCGACGCAGCCGTCGATGCAGCAGCAACCACAGCACGATCCACTGGCGAGTTGCGACTTTCCCGAGGTCTTCTGGAATCAACAGCAGCAGCAGCAGCAGCAGCAGCAGCAGCAGCAGCAGCAGTCAACGACAACGATGCCAAGGTCAACGAACCATCATCACCATTATCACCATCACACCGAAAGCGTCAGATCTAGAGCGATCAATGGCCTCGGCGCGCCACCCACTTACGAGGACCAGGAGAACGGTAACTTGTCGTGGCTGCTAGATTTCAAGCTGGACTCACTGATCGAAGCGCCCGAGGAGAGGAGCACGACTCTGTTGCCCAGGGACGTGCAGGGTGAGTTGAAATTCGACCACGTGTTGAAATTCGACCACGTGTTTAAATCAACAGACTTTCCATGTCTCGCGCTGGTAGAGCGGTTTACACGGCAAGGATCGATGTTTGCCTTACATTTTTCTCAGTCCAAAGCATATTCTGAAATATGTTGATTTGTTCAGAATGCGCGAAACGCTCCAATTGCATTCGATTCGCAAAAGAATTTTCCAAGCTAGCTTCTAACGCATTGCCGTTCGACCCGCGAAATCTCAGGTATCAAGGGCAAGTTCAACGGCAGCAGCGGCGGCAACAATAACTACAGCGGTGGCGGCGGTGGCGGCGGTAGCAACAGCAGCAGCAGCAGCAGCAGCAGCAGCAGCAGCAGCAGCAGTAGCAGCAGCAGTAGCAGTAGCAGCAGCGCGAGTGGCAAATCGCCGAACGGCCTTTACCCGTTTAGCGATGGGGCGAGAAAGTCCACGTTTAACGCGGAGCCGTCGGCGTACGGCGGCCCGCTCCCACCGGAGATCCGCGGCACGCGAGCGGCGGGCCCGAAGAAGCCGCCGTTCACCTACACCGAGCTCATCGAGCACGCGCTGCAGGAGCGCGGCGAGCTCACCGTCTCCGCAATCTACCAGTGGATCTCGTGAGTTGTCTCTGTATTCACTGGTCACGGATGACTAGACAAGCTCTCGAGCAACCCACGAGAACGCTGTCGAACTTATCTCTGGGAGGATAAGTTTTACGACCCTCGATCGTACGCGCGAGCACGATTGCTCGACTTTTTAGTTTCTTTTATTACTGAATTTTCCGCCACCGCAACAAACGAAATTTCTCTCTTTCTTTTGTACATCAAATTGCTGTCTACTTCATCGATAAGAGTTCGGGCCCTTTCGATTTTGCAATTAAGACGCGTCGTGTAAATGTCAGCAGATAAACGCCGGCAGCCAAAGAACAAGCCTGGCCAACCGTTCGATCGCGCCAGACTAGGCAATCGACAGCGCGATTCCACGACCGTTTTCCCAACGCATCCCCCTGCCCTCGATTAAACACCAATGAAGCACCGGCAAAGGACACTTGCGCGCGCGCGAAAAAGAAAAGTGTCTCAGGCGAAGGCCCGTCGAAAGCAAAAGCGGAAGAGCAGCGAGATAGAGAAGTACAGACCGCGCGCGAGGAGGATGGATTTGCGGGAGGAGAAGGAGGAGCAGGAGGAGGAGGAGGAGGTGGCACGCGCTGGTACCGCGTAGTGGTGGCCTCGTGGCACGGCACGGACCGGCACCGCCTCCCCGTATGCCCGCAGGCAGTCCCCCACTTTTCGCTTGCTCGCGCCCGCGTCCATCCATCGCTCTCGCGGCAGCGGCCTCCTCCTCCACTTCTGCGTCCTTGCGCGCAACCAGCGATGGCCGGCCGATCTTCACCTGCGCCTCGCGAGATCGGCCGCTCTCTTCCCTGTCTTTGCAGCGTCTCGTTTTTGGTGATCTATTCCGTAGACTTTCGCAATCGGTTTTCCGTAATATTCCTATATTCTGGTTCTGGGCAATATTAAAACTTGACCAAGATCCGATTGAGCTCTCTCCGAGAAATAACGGATTAGGTCAATGGATCGCTAAACATTTCGCAAGAGCCGTCGCGGGAAGCAATCTTTCTGTCGCTCGGGCAAGTCGGCTTCTTTCGACGCCGTATTTTCATCGCACAAATACTTAGAAAACGCGTCACGTTTACATTCTACTTTCAATTTTCTTCGTCTAGTCGGTATAGTGCATAGCTGGCCTCTTCGTGTAATTCTCGAGCCATCGATTTTTTCATGAGCGCTTGCCGCCGAAAAGCAATATACACGAATCAAAGACGACTCGACCGCTTTGACACGAGAGCGAACGAACATTTATGCGTCTCGTTTAAAAAGCGAGCGCCTCGTTGGCGCGTCGTGCAATGGTACATTATGCGCGACAAGACAGCGAGATCGTCGCGGCAAAGGCGAATGGCGGCGGCGGCGGCGGCGTGCGTCGAAGCGTGAAATTCCGGAAAAGCGTTGATGCATCGAGGTGGCAGCGACGGCGGGTCGGTCGCGCACTCGATATACGCGAGCGCGAAAGCGCGCGCTTAGCCCGAAACGATTATCGGGCGCGGGGGTGGTGGTTAACGTGCCGTGACGCGGCCGCGTGCCGCGTACATCGTGCTTTACACGCCACGGTCGCGGACGGAGAAACAGCCCGAGGCAGGTGATCGCCATCCTCCCCTACCGTTCGCGTCGCGGAAGTGCGCTTCCGATTGGGCTTTTGCCGTATGCCGCGGCGGCCTTTTTCCCGCAGCATTCGCGTGTGTTTTCCCGGAGATTTATGCGCTCCGGCTGTATACTCGGAGTCGATATGCGCGTCGAGCCGCGATTTCGCTCTGACTTTCGAGCTTTCACATCTTGAATTTTCTACTGTGCGTAGACGCATACGATTTCCAATCTTAGATTTCGAGAGAGTTCTGTCGTTCGAATTGCATCGGCCTTCGTTAAAAGAAAAACGTTAAGGAAATTGAACAGGTATAGGAATTCGATGGTCTGTTCAAAATTCTTTGCATTGTGGTATTCAAATTCATTGTAGCTTTTCTTTGTCAGGCCTTGAAATAAATTTTTATAGCTTAACCGACAATCTAAAATCTTCTCATTAAATCAGACTCCTAATAGAATCCATTTATGCAAGTTTCGTATCAGCATACAGATTGTAAATGTAATAGTTTTAAAGCAATTTTCCGTACAATCTCATTCAAGTTATACTTCACTAAACGCACGCAACCGTTCTCCATCAAAAACGTCACACAAAGAAACACACACGCAGCCACAGGCAGAAGGGCGTAGAATAGAAAAGTTTTGGGGTATCAAGTCGTCCGAACGGGGTGTTTAGGCGCTGTATAGATAAAAAAAATTCGTCGTCAGAGCGCGGTGCCTTGGCGTACCTGTCACTGCAGGCTTGTCGTCGCCTTCGTATACCCGTATTCCATCTCTCTCTCTCTCTCTCCTCCCGCGCGCGCCACTTATCGTCAAAGCTCTCCGCTGGCAAATGCCTCCTTTGCATATCTCGCCGCGTCATCGTCGCTCTCTCCTTGTTCGCGTAGCGCAACGAAGGTCGCGCCCTGTCCTCCTCACTGTCGCGTCTGACTTGCAGAGAACACTTCCCTTACTACAAGAGCAACGACGACCGATGGAAGAACTCGGTACGGCACAATCTGTCGATCAACCCGCACTTCCGCAAGGGCTCGAAAGCGCCGCACGGAGCTGGTCACTTGTGGGCCATCGCTAGTCAAGACGAGGGCAAGTCGCGCCAGTTGTTCAATATCGCGTCGATCAGGCAAGCTCTGCAGAAGGAGGAGGCTATGAAGAACAACGCGTGAGTGTGCTTGTCCGGTAAATCGCGCTCGCGCCAAGCTAATCGCTTGCCGAACGACTTTACAGGCACAGCGCGGTGATAGACGAGGTCGCTGCTGCGACCGCGAGCATCGCTCAGCCACCCGAAGAGGAGAACATCGTCGACTCGATAACGCTGGAGCACTGCGCCGAGCAAATCCTGAGCGGCATCAAGAGAGAAGTCGAAGTGCAGTATCTTGTGCCGATGATGGTTTCCGGTAACGGCGAGGTTGCGCACAATCAGCAGAGCCAGCAAAGTAATGCGACGGATCCGCTGTGTCCACTCAGAGAAACAGGTACCGCACTTCGCAAACCAAGTGGCAATGTTTCGCGACCTCTCGTAATAAAAGTGATTTTCAACCCCTTGCAGACTTCCTCAATCCAGTGTCCAAAGAAGTGGTGGCCGAGGAATGCGGTTTGATTGGTGAAGGCTACCTGGTGACCGATCTGAATCCTTCTTCGCTTGGACTGAACATGGCCGAGTCGGAAATTGTGACTACGGACAATCTATTCGGTGAAGAGCTGAGCTTCCAGTTCTACGAGTTCGCTGCAGCTTCACAACTGCAGTCCGCCTGACAGATCCATTTTGTTCTCGTCGATCATCGTCATCCTCATTGCCATCGCAATGAAACCGAGTACATACTACCCGACGAGTGCTGCGAACTTTTGCACAGTGCCTAACCAAGACCGAGCCCTCTAGTCCTGCAATGTAATCGCGACTTTTCTCCCCCTTGCCGTCCGTCTAACGTTTTATCCATTTTTCTTTTTTGTATTAGCCAAGGGATTATCAAATACAATATTTGCAATTTCATAGACGTTATTATGGATTTGTTGATTGTTTACAGAATTCCTTATCCTCTCGGTAAACGTCATATTTTGCTTTTAAGTGAAATTAACAAGATAAATTAAAACTTATTTTATTTTTTTATATGTATTTTTGGATAACTGTACAATATTATTTTACAAGGCTAATCTGTTTTAATGTTAGTCTGTGCATCCTGTGTAGGTTTACTTGATGCCTCTTCAGCTTTTTCTTCATTCGGTTGCGAATCTTTCTTATCATTCATTTCATTAACTTGAGAATTCAACCAAGATAACAATTTTGCTTCTTTTTTCTTCTTCTTTTCTTCTTTCTTTTTCTTCTTGTCTTCTTTTTCCTTCAGTGCCAATATTTCCTTAAATCTTTCGTCGCGTGGGTCGATATTGTAACCAAATTGTTCACGGATTTCTGCCATTAGGCGTTCTTTCTTTTCCTTAGCTGCTTGCACTTCAGCCTCCTTTTTTGCGATTTTAGCATCAAGAGCTGCCCTCCATTCATCGAATTTTGCCACAGTTTTATCAATGTATTCCTCCCTAAAATTCATGTCATGATTAATTATAAGCTTTGTATCTAAATATATTGTCAAGCGATAAAAATCTAGTAGTTTAAGGTAATATTTTTATTTTGAAATCATATATTACTTAATTTAAAAAAGTTCAGCTTTTCAAACTATAAAAAATTTGAATTTACAAGCAGCACTTATTTCATGAAGCATTTTTTTTTTTCAGATGGAGTTGATTTCATAAATATAGCTTTTATTCATAAATCAATAATATAAAATTCAATGTTTATTTTTGTTATTAGACAATGCAGTGAATTTTAAAATAATTTTAAAATATTTTATGATGAATAGTTTAAGTAATTTAAAAAAAAAGTTGCATTGAATAGATTGTTTTCAGTAAACAAAAAGAATGAAAACAAATTTTATCAGAAATATTACCTAGCCCTTATTTTTTCTGCAGCTATCTTTTTCTTTTCCTCTATTTCCTTCCAAACCTCTTGGATAGACTTTGGATAAGCCAATCTCTCAAATTCCAGAGATTCCTCAATTGCCTCTTTGGTTGGCCAACATATTCCTGGATGAAACTCTGCAGCTTCTATACCATATCTCCCTAGCATTCTCTTTCTGTACCACACACTGTCATGATAACTTTCATAAGATTGATTATAAGGTTTTCGACCATGTATTATATTGAGATGATGTGGAGCAAGTCTCGATATGTCACACATCTTTTGGAGTTTCTCTTCATCGTGCAAAGGTTCTACCTCATAGATTGGTACTTCCTCAACTTCAAGTTCACTAACAATGCTACCTTTGGAAGTCGTTGTGTAACAATGTTTTGAAAAGTTTTTCAACAGTTGCTGACTCAATAAGATCGGTCGAGTTCTGAACAGATTAATGCTCATTTTGTAATTTTTTATTTATGTAAATCTGATACTTTATTAATAAACTTTAAGTTTTTTCCTTAAAAGTGAGGTTAGAATCGGCACTTTAAAATAAACTCTGAAATCTGATGTCATCGACACTTTTACGCGTTAAACTTCATACCAACACTAGTCTTGGCTAAAAATATAAAGATTAACTCATTTTATGAACAATTTTGATTAAAAGTTTATAAAACAAAATTCGAAACAGTATCAACCATTTACTACCAGCAAAATTTGCGCTACACGCATAGCGCTAGGAGCGCCGCATGTGTAAAAGGAGCATGCGTGTGCTGTGCCGTAATCAGTTGTATACTCTACCCGGACATTAATTTACGACTTGCAAAGTATAAAATTCGAATTATTTTCGATGATTGAGCATTGATGGAATAAAATGGATTTTTTCTAGCAATTCGCGGAGGCCAACATGACAAAAGAAACCCCTGGAAATAACCTCGTTTTACGTCATTAATGCTCAATCGTTGAAAATAATTCGAATTTTGACTTCGCGGATAGCGAATTAGTGTTCGAGCCAGGTAACAATAACGAAAGCCACCGCGCCAATGCCATCCAGTAAAGTATATATATATATGTGTGTGTGTGTATGTGTGTGTGTGTGTGTGTGTATTTGTGTGTAAAGTAATTAGCTAGTAAAAAGGATTTCTGGATATTTATTTGTACAACACGCTTAATTATACGTTTATTTGCATAAGAAAATCATACGCGTGAATTTACTATTAATATTTTAATTTTCATGATCACATTCTTTTAGCAAGTATCAAATCAAATTTTACTAACAAAATTTTTCAAACTATTGTGCCACCGAAAGCACATCAGTCCTATATTGCGGGGTATGAGCTTTTACAATCATTTATTGACGTAATCTTCATAGTAGTAGTGTACCTTCAACCTCGCAGGGACTTCATTTCTTGTATAGAACACTGCGAGAAGTTCCCTTGTGCTTTGCAGCTCTGTGCGCGCGCGCATACTACTACACACATTTCACAAGCTTCGAATGTGGGTGGAACGTGTGGCTGAGCAATCCTGTGTTAGTCTCTCTCTCTCTCTCTCTCTCTCTCTCTCTCTCTCTCTCTCTCTCTCTCTCTCTCTCTCTCTTTGGGGCGAGAAAGAATAAATAAGAAAAGTCAGCCTTGCACTATGAGGCTACTACTGCTGTTACTCGAGGGCTCTCCGTGAAAGTTTATCGCTTATTTCCCTATCAAGTCATCAATTGGCGGGGATGGAAACATTTTTACAGAGCAAGTAGAGAGTGAAAGCTGACTACTTTATACGAGAAAAAAAAAAGTTAGTTTCCGCGGCCTAAGTGGTATGTGTAGTGTGCATGTCTGCACAGACACAATGCGCGTGTGTTGATATCTGTCGCAGTCTATTTTCGGTACGTCTGCTATCCCTTAGCTTTTTAGCTTCGCTCCGTTTCGCGACAATAACCTGGAGCCCTATTCTTGGCGCATTCGCGAACGAAAATTTCCGAAAAAATAATGCGACCAGCGAACAAGCAAAGAAACTAACGGCGAATGTTTGTAGGTCGGTTACTAGTGATCTAGTAACTTTTTAAGGTCGTGTGCGTAACCTTGAAAATTCAAATTTGTAAATAAATACGAAATGGGAAAATTATGTTTTAAGTAAGGCAAAGAAACATATATTTCTAATGATGGGTTAATTTCGTGTAGTATATTTTTTATAAAAAAATACGATGCAAATTATGAAAATGTTCACTTTATCGAAGTTGAAAAATTTTTTTCGACACTCCGTGAGCAAAGTGCGTCTTTCCCACACGCTCGGCAGAAAACGTGCGTTGAAAATCGCACTTTCCACACGTCGTATCAAAAAATACGGTACGGCACATGTTCGGGAAAGAGTTTCTCTTTCTCGCACTTGTATCGTAATGTACTATTAATTACATTGTATTAATTATATGGATAATAAAATGAAATTAACTCAATTTGTATATTAATACAGTTATAGCATCAAGCGTACCTCATACTAAAATTCTAAAACTTATTAGCATAATTATATAAAAAAAGCTTTATTGAAGCAATTAAGTTAAGATTTTTAAATTAATAGTACATATCATCAACTAAAATTTTGTCAATTATATATTTTAGTTTAAATTATGAATTTATAACTTGTATAATAAATAAAACAATATTAATAAATAAACATTAAAAAATTAGAACAATAATATTACTGTTCAAAAATAGGACACTCATCTTCATAAATAATTACATCACTTTCAGCTTGTTGATTAGGATGAGATCCATCAGGTTAATTTTCTCCAAATGCTTGATCCTCTATTTGTCCATTCAAGAAAGAAAATCTTACTTACTCAACAAGTTCCTGCAACCTTTTATTCAATTTTTCAAAGCTATTTCTTAAAGCCAATGTTAAATCTTCAAATAAGCTATGTGCTTGTGGCAACAATCCACAAGCAAGTTTACAAGGAGAGAGATAATCTAATTACCATCCGGTATAGACTCAACACCATTGAGCTGTGATTTCAAACCTACAAATTAAAGAATTTCATTTTGTATGATATTTGCAAATTATTCAACTTTAATGCTTTCATCAATAGTAGTTGTAGAAGTGATGCTCACCAGTCATTCTGGACTTTTTTGGGTCAGTACAGCCTGAAGTTGTTATTAAAGGAATGGGTTGTTTGCCTAAGATTACAGGTGCTAAATAAGCAGCTTGGTTAGGACAAGCATATTCATTTTTTAAAACCATTGTAGAAGTGTAGATAGAAGAGGATTGAGGAGGATGTTACATCTTTCTTTAGTTGAAATACTTATGAGGTCGCAGACTTTTCCAAAATCTGCACCGCACATGTTCCTCAACCTTCCTCTCAGTTTTTCCGATAAGTCGTAAATCAACTTCTCAGTTCAGTAGCAGGCCCGCGCGCGTACTTTTTTCCATCATATTTTCGCTTTTTCTTTTCCCTCTCCGACGAGCAAAAGCAATGAGTGTTCTCGGAGAAAGTGAAAAGCAAAAGCCTGGCTCGGTGGTGCATCCTTGCACCTCCGCGAATGACCAGAGGGACGCAACGTCTCATCGAGTGAGCGTTGCCAGCTCCTCGTCTCGCTACACTCTTTTTGTACGCGCGCGCATCACTCGCGGTACTCTGTAGTGCTTGTCTGCGCAAAGCACACCCATTCCAACTCAACATTATAGTAATATTTATATATTACCAGTGTGATATAATTATTTATTTCACCCTACGCACCTAAACATCCCTTATTTCTCCTTTCGCCAAACGTCTAATCCAAAATACTAATTTCTGTAAATGTTGTTGCTGACATAAAAAGCCTCTATAATAGTAGTATAGATTGAGAAAAAGCTTCTTCAAAATCGTGCTTTGGCTCTACCTCGTCATTATGATTGGATAATTTATACAGTTTCTCTCGAGTACCGCTTTAACTAAAACCCTTTCAGTCTTCGATAAATTAATGTCGTTCCTAGATTTAAATAAATGAAAATGCTTTTTCAAAGCTTTTGCAACTTTCATTTCAAATACCTGTAAAAAAATATATTTAAGAATACACATAATATCTTTTATAAATGTGCTAAAAACCAGCTAACTGAACTCAATGACAAGAGTGTAATTAAAAATACTATGCCATACCTGACGCCACCATTCTCCAGTGCAATTGTATGTTTCCAGCATAGGATTTTGTGTCAGATGATCCCGATCTGCAAGCGTCATGCCATCGTCCTTAACTTCATAGTAAGCAGCTATGTATCTCAACTACTCCAGGGTAGCTTTTAGTATATCGAGGTTTGCAGAGGTAGATGCCATAATACCATAGTCCGGATTATTAAACAAGTGTAATAAATGATAGTTTAGATTGATTGTAAAGGACAAACAAAATTAAAGATTGAATGAAAATATGTTTGAAACAACAAACAAAGTTGTTTAAACAAATGCCACTGTGTGATTATAGTTATAAATAAATATAATTAAATTTCTTATAATTGAAAGAATACATTAATTAATAAAATCTGTTCAAAGTAAAGTATGTATCTAATATTCATGTTTCACTTTTAATAGCAATAGAGCATTGATCTAAATATCGACTTTCTTAAAATGATGTATTGACAAACAGTTCTCAAAGTCAAGGATTAAGAACCGGGTATACATACAGAACACATTGTATACCCGGTAATTTTATCTCTCATCTACTTACGAAACTTGTACAAAGCCCTCAGTCTAGTTCAATCGCTTTTGATGGAGACACCGAGTTCTCAAATAGTACATATGTATTAAATAAATACTCAATTGACTTAAAAGTTGAATTAAAAGTTGAATATTTGTTAAAAAAATTATTTTTGTTGTTAAAAAAGAATTTCTACAAAATTTATGTAAGAATCATTCATGTATTTACTAATGATAATAATCTTACAATTGGACATCTAGATTTGCACCCAAGTAGACTCTATCAGATTTATATATTTCCTAATTAAAAAGGTACGATCCTCAAACACTCGCTTGTATATTCTTCCCTTTAACAAAATATATTAACTTAGATACATACAGATTTATAACAAAAATTTTGTAATATAATGAATTTTAATCAGATTTACTTTCGAGAGAATTTTCATAGAATAATTGCATATTCATTAAAGGAGCTGTTGAAAAAAATAATAATTATAAATTACAATGTATTACACGTATATGTATTAACTAAATAAATTGCTTGAATATAATTAGAAAATGTTTTACAAAAAATTCATTTGTTAAAAAAGACATTGTATATATTTACGTTTTCCCATTGGTTTGCAGTTTTTATAGCAGGATCAATATAATTTATATTTCGAGATAAGCGTTGTCACATAAATTTATACGTATCTACTCTACAAATTCCTATTTAATTTTTTTATTTGTTTACGAACAAAATGTGTGTGATTTTCCATGAATGCAAGCATTATATTTGATGTTGCGTATCAGATAATGAAATACTGTAATAAATATATCAGAAAATCATAAAGAATATACTCATGTACATATTGCTAAAAAATATACTACACAAAATTAATCCGAATCCACCATTAGAAATATGTTTCATTGCCTTATATAAAACATAATTTTCCCATTTCGTATTTATTTACAAATTTGAATTTTCGAGTTACGTACGCGAGCTTAAAAAGTTACTAGATCACTAGTGACTGACCTACAAACGTTCGCCGTTAGTTTCTTCACTCGTTCGCTGGTCGCATTATTTTTTCGGAAATTTTCGTTCGCGAATACGCCAAGAATAGGGCTTCTGATTGTCAACTGTTATTCGCACCGAATTTTGATTAATATCGATACACGTGGCTAAAATTTACTATCTCAAGATATTTTTAACCTCTCGAGCATTTTCAGAGAGCAAGAGAGGCAATGTGAAATGGTTATACCCTCGCCGTCGCCAGTGGATCGGTCAATTTTTTTCATCTTGCTGTTGTACTGCAGTGGTTCTTGAAAGAGTTATGTGAGAGCAACAGCAAAAGTTTTCAAGATATTATAGATGGATGCTGAGTGTTTTGCAAGCTGATGGGACACCTGTTTTGGAGCTGATCCAAAGTTGCACGTTTTTATGATTAATGAAATGAGTACTTTGGATGGCTTTGATGATTTGCATCGTGATGTGTGTAATTTTCTGAATCATGGTGCTGCTACAAAGTTGCCTGTAGCTGAAAAGTACCACATGGATCAGATTCGTGTTGATGACAGTAGTCAAATATCTACGAGTTATCAATCAAAAGAATGGAGTCCCACTATAATTAGACAAATTTTTCCTGTCAACTCCATTGGTGATTCTGAAGATAAATTGTCAAGTTTTATATGCAAATTTTCAACTGTGCCCAGGCTGTACATCAATCTACTGCAATACTTTTCTAATAGTCTTTCAAGAGAGGAGAAAAAAGAAAATATGAAATTGAATATAATGTATACAAGTTTTCCAATCAGAATATGTATTGTGTTCTTGTCCCTATTCCTCATTCTACAATTAATACCAACAACTAATGCATCAGAACCATTAGGAAATCCATATCACATTTTAGGAGTTTCACGACATGCAACTCTGAAAGAAATACGTAAATCATATAAGAATTTAGTTAAAGAATGGTAAGTTGTTGATTCTTTCTATTCACTAAAATACTTAAAATTATAGAATAATTTTAAGGTTGTAACATTTTACAGGCATCCGGATAAAACTGATCACCCAGCAGCAGAAACCAAATTTGTGGAAATTACAAGAGCTTATGAGGTATTTCATTGCTATTTCCAGTCATGATTTTTCTGATACAAGATAATAATAATGCCTCAATCGTTGCAGCTATTGTCTGATCCTGAGAGGCGCAGGAGATTTGATAATCATGGAATAACAGAAGAAGGTCTACCAAGACACAGGAGAGATAATAGTGACTTCAATATGAAAGATCCCTCTGATAAATTTTTCTCTGGAAACTTCCAATTCCATTACCAGAGTAGAGATATTTCTCTTTTCCACAAAATGAGTATAACGTATAGGTAAGTTTTTTAACTTAAACATGTGAAATCATGAATACTATGGCTAACAAATCACAATTTCTTTTCAGAGCTTATGAAAATAATGTGTTACCGAAGAGTCATAAGACTCCGCATTTAATACTTGTATATTCAGACTGGTGTTTTGCTTGCTTGCAAGTTGAACCTATTTGGCGGAGATTAATAGAAGAGCTTGAGCCACTAGGAGTCAATCTAGTCACTGTTCATGCTGAAAGAGAATCTGGTTTAGCAAGAAAACTCAGCATCCATAGTTTGCCCTGCCTTGCTGTTACTGTTGATGGTCGGACCAGTATTTATAAAGAATCAATGTTAAGTGTTCAAAAAGTAGTTGGTATGTATTTTTTTTAGTGAAAATAAGTGAGCTTTTCCTTGGAAAGCATAGTATTTTTATACTTTCCAATGTCTTCTTTCAGATTTTCTCAGGAGTAAATTTCCGTATAGATTACTATACAATGTGAACAGTAACAATATAGAAAGCTTTCTATCTGGATGGGTAGATAATAGAATAAGAGCACTTATATTTGAAAATAGAGCAAGTCCAAGGCTGAGATATTTGCTTGTTGCCTTACATCACCAAGATAGAGTTGTTTTTGGCTTTGTGCAGGTAATATTTGATACTCTGCAAGACATTATTCTAAATTTATCAGCTCTTGAGAACCAATCAATTTTCCACGTTATTTCAGACTGGCATTCCCGAAACAGAAGCCATCACGACGAGATATAACGTTTCAGAAGACATGGATACATTATTATTGTTCAATGAAAACTTTGATAAGCCAGTTGCAAGAGTGACCATGCAAGATATTCCAAGTGATATGATGCATAAGCTAATTGAAAGTCATAAATTTCTAATATTACCAAGACTTTCGAATCAAGCCATGCTGGATTCCATATGTCCACAAGTGTGGCAGAAGTTGCAGAAGCGTTTGTGCGCGATTTTAGTTTCGCAAAATAATCCAGACTCTGATGTTGTTAGAGATAAGTTTAGACAAGCAGCTTTGGTTGCTCCGTACAAGTACGTCATTAAAACTGAGAATACACTGTTGTTTGTAGGAATTTATAATAAAATTTCTCTTTTTAGAACTGAAAAAGTTAAATACACGTACGTCTTCAAAGATGCTCAATCGAATTTCATATCCGCTCTTCTAACTGGCGAAGCCAGCCCATCAGACCCGCTAAATCATATTGTGATTATTTGGAGGCGAGATTCTAGTCATGTTAAGTACGAGTGGTTTTTCGCTAATTGGGCTGATACAACGGCCAATGATAATCGGTGGAATGAGACTCGTCTAAGTTTAGATCAAACTATACAAAGACTTTTACGTTCTTCTGAAGCGTTGCCGTATGCTGCTAATGTACAAGACCTGACGGATGAACATGCTCTGGTAAAAGCTTTTACTAATTGCTTTGATGTATGGTTTTGGAAGACATTCATTACGTTTTTTCATGAATACTTTCAGAGTACTGTTGAAAAGATTATTAATAGAGCGATAAATGCGGTCGATTATCTATCTGAGAATCTTACAAAAGAACAAATTCTTCCATTATTGTCTGTCTTTGCCACGCTGTTATTAATCGGAGCAGTCGGCTATGGAATGTCGTATTTAGTGTAAGTACCAATGCAAATATAGTTGATTGTAATTCATGTCCAAAATAAACCTTTCATATAAACTATAGGAAATTAGAGGAGGCTAGTGTACAAGCCAAATACGGTCAATTCAAAGAGAATTCAAAGGCTGTTTCACCGCAACCGCAACTGCGGCTCCATGAGATGAGAGCCGAGACATTTAATGGACTCGTTCGACTTCTCAAGCCAGGATGTCGAACGATCGTTCTATTAGTCGATAATCAAACTAAATTGAAATTGTTGCCATCTTTCCATAAAGCCGTTTGGCCATATAGGTAAATATAAAATATCTTATTTTAAAAATATAGTATTTTGAATGGAACGCTTACATAAATTTTATTATTTGTAGGAAAAACAAAACTTTAATGTTTTGCCACTTATCACTGGAACGAGGACTTGAGTGGTATAAGAAGATTTTAACACTAAGCTTACCGGAACCTAGAGAATTGAATATCAACGCGAAAAATTGCGTTGGCACCGTTTTATCATTGAATGGACATCGCAAGTATTTCTGCATGTACCATGCCAAACACCCAGAGTCGAAGAAAGGAAAAAGTTCCAGAGTATGTGTTGCAATAATTTCAAATATTTTGTTCCCCGAGTTTGTATAATCATAGATAATAATATATTATATGTATTCTGTCGCAGCGTATGGAAAGGATGACCAAACGATTATCTCAGCCCGAAGATGCCGAAGCTGGAGCCTTCATTGGTTTCGATGATTCAAGTGATTCTGAGTTTTCACAGGATGAGGTGGAATTATTTAGATCCTTGAAAAAAATTCCTTAACTCAAACGGTTATAAAACTAATTCTGTAAATTTATGTTTCAGATTCAGAGCGACGTGATATATCAGGACAAATTACTGGACGGTCTATCAATGTGGCTTGACAGGCTATTTGAAGGTTCAACGCAACGTTATTACATAAATTACTGGCCAGATTTCACTGCAAAATAAAAAAAGTGGTAAAATAAATAAGAGTATACGCCTTCTACAATATATATATATATATATATATATATGTATACGTATACAGTGCCCGACACGTACTTTTACCCACCCTGAGCCGAAATTTGCCAAACTTGAAAGTTTTATATCTCAACGAAAAAGAGTCGTAGAATAAAAAAACTTGAAGCCATTTTAAAGGTAATAGCAAAAGCTTTAAGTAACGTGAAGATAATATTGTTTGTACTAGAATTAAGTTTTTTATGCTTAAAAAATGAACATAAAAAATTTCTTTTTTTTGCCCATATACAAATTTATTTATTTGCTACGCAAATCAGCGGATCATTAAAAATCCAAGTAAAATTAGAAAGTGGAATTTTAAATAAGAGTGACAAAACTCATCTCTGATTTTTTTATACAGAGATATAGCTAATATATAAATATATATTTATTAAAAAAAAATTGTTTTTTTCATCGACTCATATCTCGATTACTATGCATTAAATAAAAAAACTTTAAAGATAAAAGTTGTTTCTTTTTTGGTCGAGAATACAAAAATAAAGTGAAAACTGAGATCTGGAACAAATTGTTTTTTTTTGTTTTTTTTTTCATTTTTGCACGCTAGCCATTAATGTTATAAAATATTATATTTTCGTTACTTTGAAAGTATATTATTTTTGTAAAATTATGTTTTATTACAAAAAAAAAGTTCAATTATATTTACATAATAATAATATTATAATAAATAATAAGTAAGTATTACTTTATAAAAGTGTCTAGAAATTATTTATTAATTTATTTATTTATTGGTAAACTTAACTAAAAATTTATTATTGAAAATTTGTTTTAGACTTTTGATCATAATTAAATATAAAAAAATAAAGAATATGAAAAATAAAAAAATGGTTAGTGTAAAAAAATGAAAAAAAATTTGTTCCAGATCTTGGTTTTCACTTTATTTTTGTATTATTTACCAAAAAAGAAACAACTTTTGTCTTTTGTCTAAAAAAAAAATACCGATTTTTTAATCCAAAATGCTACATCTCTGTATAAAAAAAATCAGAAATGAGTTCTGTCGCTCTTATTTTAAAAAAGAACATTCCACCTTTTAATTTTGCTTGGATTTTTAATGATCCGCTGATTTGCGTAGCAAATAAATAAATTTGTATATGGGCAAACAAAAGAAATTTTTTATATTCATTTTTTAAGCATAAAAAACTTAATTCTAGTACAAACAATATTATCTTCACGGTACTTAAAGCTTTTGCTATTACCTTTAAACTAGCGTCAAATTTTTTATTCTACGACTCTTTTTCGCTGAGATATAAAACTTTAAAGTTTGGCAAATTTCGCCTCAGGGTGGGCAAAAGTACGTGTCGGACACTGTATATATAAATGAAAACTGTACGAGAAAATGGTATTATGGAAGTCTGCGAGTGGCTATTGATGCTAGTCATAAAATACCTCCTTAATTTACTATTGTTATTATTTGTATTAACAAAATGAAACAGTTAACGGTATTGAATTGTATTATCGCTCACTGCGATTGCTGTCATCGTAGTCGTGGTTGATGTTGATGCTATATAACGTATGAAAATAGAATATTTACGTATGAAATCAAATAAGTATAAAATATTTAATCGTGTTTAAGAGTGAAAATGCAATTTTTTATCTTCATCGAAAAAAATATGAAAATAGTTTCTAGAATGTTGCTTCAGGAGGCAACAGGACAACAATGAGATTAAAAAAAATATATTAAAATATTCAAATTTAAAAAAGTTCCACTTATATGCAGTTTTATAATTACACAATTTTATAAAAAAGTCAACTAGTACTAAAGAGAATATTTGTATGGTAGTTAGCTCAATTCTGTTATATCTTAAAAAACGTTCACATATGTACTGATAATTATGACAAGCGTATATCCTCTCTAACTTACTTATTTATTCTTGTATATTATGATGAAGTCTTAAAACTTCTAGCAGATTAATTTAAAATGCGTTTACCAAGAAATTACAACTTAACGTTCGTAAAACAAAAATGAAAGTCGATTCGAATACCGAATAAAACAAATGATCTACAAAATTTTTATCGCCTATTCAAACGACCAATGACAAAAAGCAGTTAGAAATATGTCGTAATGAATATGCTTTCTAGTTGCAGCATAATTTTTCCACATATTTTATACTTGACTGCTCATCAAACTCAAATCGTTCATGTGTATCAGGCTTATTTGTAAAACAACGTTGAACTGTTGAAAAAGTTTTAACGCATTACCATTACGTCGACATTTGTACGATAGAGAGCAGACATTTCTCATGTTTATAATAATTTATTGTAAAAAGAAAAAAAACACAATATATATTCCAATCAGAGAATTAAAAATGTGTGCAAGTCACAATTGCCATTTTAGTCTTCACATTATATACATTTGAAACATTTGCTGATCGAGAAAAAATGTATGGTAAAGCATTTATGGTGTCTACTTTCTGATATTCGAATGATTGATATTTGATGAATTTTGTATATAATTGTATTTGCAAAGTTATATGTGTGTATGTGTGTGTGTACACGCGCGCGTGCATATGTTATGACTCCAGTTGAATGATCTTTCCTTTTTCTGTTAAAATAATATACATCCGCTGAACACGAAGTATCAAACGTGACAATCTACTGAATTTCTTCTTCATTTTTTTTTATTCTGACCGATTAATAGCACAGTTCCTTTCTTACAAAAAAAAAAAATTCAAGTTTTAATCATCTCATAGGCAAAAAACGTACTATTCGTTCGTTGCAAAAAGTTATCGTTAAGCGTGAAGACATTCTCTTCGAATAGTTATATATATGCAAATATGTACTTGTGAATGAACGTTAACATCGCATAATATATGTAATATTCTCGCTTCTGTAAAAAAATTAATGAAAATCATTTCCACACGAGTTGTAATAATTATTCCAAAAAATAAAGAAGTTACGACTTAAGTTGTAAAAAAGCAAACAAAATATTATCGAGAGCTGGATTTATAAAATAAATACAATTAAACTATTAATTTGGCTTGGTCATTTTTTTCACTTCATCGCCCTTCCAATAAAAGTGGGCAATCACCAGACGGGTTGTTACGATTTCTCGTTGCCATGGGTAATGATCGATCGGTGCCACTCAGCTAGGCGACTGACAGAGTTCAGGTATTCAATAATGACGCTAAGGCAAAAAAGAAGAAGATTGTGATAAAAAAATATAAAGAACAAGAGTGCTTGCGTGATTAGAATATGACGCTAGTACTAACGAGAGTGGATTACGCGAGTGTGGGTGTCACGTCGCGCAGTACCATGCGGCTTCTACCTACTTCAGAGCCTAAACAATATCAACGCTTCGCCGTTGGCGATCACGATGGGGTTTTACATATTTTTGGTAATTGTTGCGCGCTCTATGCTATTTCTTTTTTCAAATGGGTATAATTTTATTGCAGTTAATTACTTGTGTCAATCTTCGTCGATTAATCAATAATTCGAACGCCAATATATCAATAACTTATCGTTTTTAAGACGACTTACGCATACTATTTCTTTTCCTTTTCACATGCACATTAAATTCTTATCCTGGTGGTATTCTATTAATCTCTATTGATTAATCGATAACTTAAATCTCGGCATCATTGATTTGCAAATTAAAAAAAAACACTCGACAGGTTTCAAGAGGAACGAGATGCAAGTACTTTTCAAATCTCTCCCTGGTCCGAAAATCGAAAAATTGGTACTAGGTGGCTCGACGTCTCAACCACGTGACAAAATTTTTCTCGCTCACGGCAATACCGTGATGGGTTATACGAGAAAGGGTAAGCTATTCCTCGAGTTCGATACAAGTTTAATCGAGCCGATCACCGCCATGTAAGTACATCTTTCTTCATCAGTCACCATAAAAAGTCTGCTTTCTTTTTCTTTCAAATTCATTTGATTTTCAAAAGGTATGTATTGGGAGCGGATTTGGCAGCGTGCGCTCGCGATCTTTATCATAGGTACCGCGATTGCAAGGATGCCGATTCGTATTTGGCTGGCGAGAGACTTCTCGACGTGGTTCTTTTACCCGTCGGCACCACTGCGATAGTAGCCGTACTCGCGTGCGGAGATTGCGCTGTTAGTTATGCTTCATTTATCCGTATGACCGATTGAAGATATGTGGTTTTGTAAAGGAGAAATATTGTCTTACAGATTCGAGTACTTTACGGTACGAAAAGCCCTGCCGTATTGAGACTTGCGAGTGTTCCAACGATACTCGTACCATACAGGTTTGTACCATTCGTTGATTGCTGGAACTCTATATCTATACATCCTTCTTAATCTACTATAGGGAAGGATACGTCGAATCGATCGATCGAGTTATGATGGGCACAATGGATGGCAGAGTCGGTTTATTAATGCTGGACAGCGACAAAAACGTACGCGTCAGCTGGTTACTCAACAAGACCGCTTCGGAAATCACATCCTTGGACACATTCGAAATCGCCGAGGGCATTGATTTAATCGTCGGTAGACAAGATGGTTCGGTTGAGATCCATAGCTTACCACCCGACGAGGATGCTATGCCATTGCTCAGATTTCAATACGTAAGTTGACTTGTTCTCCTTGGCTTTTTTTGCTCAGTGCGTAGCTACGCCGAATTCAAACAAATTACAGAGTGCAGGTGAAAGTATCAGTACAGTGATCGGTGGCACGATAGGCTCGGTCGATTACCCTGAACTTCTCGTGTCAACTTACTCTGGTAAAATTTTTGGATTGACCACGAAGCCGCCAGGTTTACTAGAAGCAGCTCAAGGGAATGTTGCTATTTTAAAACTTAAAACTGAGATACAACAACTCGAGGAGGAGCTCAAGAAGGAATACACGACACCGTTCTCCGGGGATACCTTGACGCCGATGATACTGTCGGTGAATCACCGGTAAATATCGCGAGTTAGCCCTCCGCGTTGTTCGACAACATAGATCCGTCTTGTCTCCTCGTAGGATGACGCTAAACAAAGAAGACGCTTCGTACTCATTAGTAATAGAATTGGACAGATCGATCGACAATATTTTAATACAATCGGATACACCGATCGACATGCTCGACGTGGAGGGCAACAATGCAGTGATGAGCCGTTCGAGCTGCGATCCTAATGAGGGCAATTTTGCCCTGGTGACTTATCGGTGCCAAGTAATATATAGTATGATCTTTCTATCCGACTGATCGACTAACGCAACTTGCTAATTTTAATGCCTTCGACTGTAATTGTTTTCAAGGATAATACCAATAGATTAGAGATGAGACTGAGGAGCAACGAAGGTCAACCAGGCACCCTGCAAGTTTACGTTACTTCGCAGGTAAACGTTTGGAGCTGCCTCCTAAAAGTACTGGAAATGAAGGTCATTTATTTATAGATACAGCCAAAATGTTGTCGAAAAATCGGAGTGCCGATTTGTGCCTTGTCACTCCATACGAGATTGTTCGTGGACGATAAGGAATCGATTAAGGGTGGTCCGTTCAACGAGCTGCGACTGACTGGAAGTTTTTCTATGGCTGAGGTGCGATAAAGCACTTTATGTCATTCCTTTTGTTGAGCGATTACGCGACGATTATTGTAATTGATTGTAGATTCACGCATGGCTGGCGCTTGCACTACCTGACGTACCTGAAAGACCAATACAAGAGAATGACTCGGAAGCTAGCATGATTTACACTTCAACTTTCATCGGCACTATTTTAAAATGTAAATATAAGTAAGTGACTTTAAATATCCGGCAGCTTTAAAGGTCTCGAATCGTATAATTGAACGTCATTTCATTTTAAATTACTCAATTTGAAATTTAATTTCAGAAAAGGTAGCGCGTCATTTATGAGTGAAAACGTTTCTACGATAATCATCTTACGCGACATTTTGACCAAAGAAGCCACGAAACGTAAAATTAAACTTGATGTATTCTGCGGTAAGGTTACTTTCATTAAATAAGGTTCAGTAATGAAACTCATTAAATTGAGTTATTGTGTTAGATATTACCGAGGCAAGTATAACCAGAGTACTCGAGTTAATTCTTCCACGACTGAAAGAAGCGCATGAATTGATGGAAAAAATCAAGATTTTGGACGCACTTGATACGTGGGAAATGAAAGCGACTCCTGCGGAATTATGTACTGAATATCAGGAATTAATAAGCAAGGAAGCCGAGCTACGAATGCAAATGACAAAGGATGCAGAAATTTTACAACGATTACATGCAGTCATCATTGATTTGTACGTTGACTGGGAACGTGCTAGAGGTTCTCGAAGGTAAAGTACATCAACAACATAAAATTAAATTTTAATAGATGATATCACTTACGACAATTCTGATGTTTTTAGAATTTCAATTAGGCAAGCATCGGAAAAATTAAAAGACGCATTAGCCTCAATGGACATATCAACTATTCAACAAGTTTTCGTCCAGAAAGACATTTCCGAACCTGTCGCTGTCTCCGTACCTGTGTTATTGTGACAGTAAGGTATATCAGAAACGAGACAATAGAACAATAAACTATGTTTATGTAAACGTTTCCATGTAATAAAAAATATATTTTTAACGCTGATTTGGCGCATATAAATTGCTACATAGATATACACTTTCTAAAACATAAATAACATACACTGTAATTGCAAATGTTTTTTCTATTTGTATTGAGATGCGTACGCAAAATATGCTCACCAGATTTATATATATATTCATTTATACGAGATTATAGTGTATTTACAAGTCGATCGTGCGAAATAGGCGATGCTTCACTTTTTTTACCGTTAACTTTATAATTGAAAAAAGTTGATGAATTTGTTGATTCCTTTTTTTTTTAATACATGACGGCAACAGTTGGCAAGAAACCTGATTTTTTTTACAGTACACGGTACTTATTATTTTTTTTATACAATACGGTTGTAAAAATTGTATACAAATAACTATTATATATCTTTTTATGCGTATTCATTGATGCAAAAAAAATAATTATAATAAAACGAATCATTCGACGTTCGTTAAAAAAATTAAATCGACTCTAAAATTCACTAGGATTATTAATATTATATAAAAACTTAGACCGATATCTGCGTATATGTTTTATACATAATCTACTTCAGCATCTTTTTAATTAATGCTCTAAGCAGTCTTCTTTATAATTATAAATTAAAAAATATATCTCATTTATCAAATATGAAAGGAATAGCAGAGAATTAACAAAATGTCAACGAGTACTCGATTCATTGAATTTAAACAAGTAATCGTAAGCTTATTGCTAAAATATGTGACCTTACTGGTTTAACAAGTTGATAGGGTATAGTTGTAAATCTGCAAAATTTCTGAAACATAACAAAACATTGGTCATAAAATAGTCAAGAGGATTTAATAATACGAAAGCTTTTCGTAACTTACAAACTATCGCCGTTTCTAACGTTTTCAAGGGGGTCTTTGTCGTTCACCACTTCTACAGTAGTGGCACCATCACCAGTCAGTGCCGTGACTGTAGCATAATCTAATGTTTGTACACTGACATGCGGCAAAATGTTGCTTCCATCTTCTAAGTCGGATGCTCTAATTAGCTTAATAACTGCTGAATTGGGATCTGCAGTTTCATATTTCAGCTCGTGCACTATCTCGTTGATCGCTCTGGTCGACTTATCATCACTTTCTTCGGCGTTTTCTTCATTTTCTTCAAAATTAGGTTCAATAATAATTAATTTCGCGTTACTAATGAATTGTTGGTAAATCAATATAGCAGCTACTCCTTACCATTAGTCTTCTGAGCCGGTGAATTCTTTGTAACTTGCCTAGCACTTCTAGAGTGAGTGAGCAAGTGTCGTTTCATATCACTTCTCACACGGAATGGTTTGCCACATACGTCACAACGATGGGGTTTCTCTCCTGTGTGAATTTTACGATGATTTTGCAAGTAACTACTGGCACGGAAGGTCTTGTTGCAGAATTCGCATTTGTAATTTTTTTCTCCAGTGTGAATACGTCGGTGGACGATCAACGAGTACTTGCGTGCAAAATCTTTGCCACAGTATTCGCATTGGAATTGACGTTGTTCTGAGTGTAGGCTCGTCGAATGATACTTAAGATCACCCCATTGACGGAAAGAACGGCCGCATACATCGCATTTGTAGGGCTTATCACCGCTATGGAGTCGTTTGTGAACCTAGAGCGAAATATACTTTTACATGATTGAAGTGATTGTTTTTATGGATTAGGAGAGATTAGTTTGATACTTGATGCTGTAAGGACGTATTAAAAAGCTTGGAAGGTTTGTGAATAAGCTGGAAGTGATTAAGCATAAGGATTAGGAAACAGTTATCAAATGGAATACCAATATACCTTTAATGCACTACCAGCAAAGAAACTCTTTCCGCAAATTTCGCATTGATGAGGCCTTTCTCCACTGTGAGAGCGCATGTGATATACTAGACTATTTTTGTGATGGAACGATCGGTCACATTGTGGGCACGTTAATTCATCAGCTTTAAAATGAAAAAAATTTTAGATTAGTTTATCACTTTGCAAATTGGCACTAGACAAATTAGGATTAAGATCCTTACTAGACTTTTTAGATTTTGATTTTTTTTTCTTTGTTGGCTCAGCTTTGGCTTTTGGTTTTTGGGTGATCGTTTCTTCTTCAGTTCTGGAAATTGGTTCGTTTACATCAACTTGTTCAAGTGGCTCTGGAACTTCCGATATTGTCCATATTGATGAACTTGTATTTGAATCAGGCAACTGATCATCATCCTCATCATCATCATCTATTTGTGCTCCAGTTTCTTCAACTACAGTGTACATTAACATTGTCAATATTTTTAATGCAAAATTTCATTATGATCTACCGTCTAAAGACTTACCAACACCCCTTATTCCTTCCATGATATCTTCAGGCTCACTAAATTCTTCAATCACTGTTTCAACTCCTGTTGAATCTTGCAAGCTGGGTAAAGGTATGATACTTTTACTTATTGTTGCATTTACAAGTTTTGTTTCTTCCTTCAGAGGTTCATAATGTGACTGCAATATAAAAGATGAAATAAAAAAATGTAGGTGCTTTGTAACATTGCTATTATTTGCTATCTAATTTATTCCAATAACAAATAAAAATTATTTTAAGAAAAATACAAATTGATAGATATATTAATATTCTATCATTATGAAAAATTTATGTTGAAGAAAAATGCATTACTAAAATTGGGTTTAGATTAATGTGTGCAATATTTACCTTCAAATGTTCAAAAAACTTAAATTGTCCATTTAATTTAACACCGCAAAGTTCACATTTAAATGTCAACATTTGATTTTTGTTCACTGTATCTGATGTTGCACTTTGATTAGAACGAGGACTTTCTTTTTTAATCACATTTTTTTTGCTTTGATGTTTTAGTTTTCTAGGTATTCTCTTTTTGTGCGGCAGTGTTCTCTTGAGACCAGGAGTTGTGGGCACTGTATCCTCGCTACTTTCAGCAGAAATATCTACATCATCCTCACACTTAACATTAACAAACTCTGGCTTAACTACTTGGTTTCCTTTTTTGAAAGCTTGAACTGACTCATATACAGGTGGTGGATTAGGCTCTTGGATAGTTTCTATCGCATAAGAATTGACTGAAGGTAAACTTTCTAAGTGTGTTACATCTTGTATAGTTGAAGCATCTACATGATTGAGATGATTTTGAAGCTGTTTTTGCTGTTGTTGAAGCTGTACTGCCACAAGGGCAGCTGCCAGTCTTCGATCCTCCTGTGAAGATACAAATTATTTTATAAAAATGTCTAATTAAGAATTAAGTATAAATGTGTCTAACAAAAAAAGTACCTCATTCAAAATGTCAATATTAGTATTTCCAAATCCATCAGTCTCATAATATTGTGTCCCAGAACTGTAGTCACTTGTAACACCACTGATCATATCGACCACCAAATTTTCTCCATTCCATTCTCCCATTTCCCCTTGGAACGTAAATACTGGAACTCCTTTGCCAATATTATCTCCATCACTTCTTTGTATTGTGATGTACTGAGCTCCATTCATTTGTTCCAATAGAACAGAATGAGCTTCTTCTTCTTCTGTTGTTACCTCCATCTTTGTGTTTACCAATCCACACAGATGTACAGAACTTTCAAACCAACACTGCAAGTCTTCACTGTTCATACATCTGTAAGAACACAGTAAAGTATACATTACTAGCCAACGACAGTGTATATTTCTAAATAATAATAACAATAAAATACTGACCTCTCAGACGGAGGGAAATTCAAATTTCCCGGTTAACACTGATCGTCCCGATGACAGCGGCTCCAAGGTCATACAGCTTGAGGCTTCACGTTGATTTCCAGGTGATGTTACAAGTCGTTCTGATGAGGCTATTTGCTCAGGTGGAACCGGCGTTTACCGTTCAGGTGCACCCGAGCTGAGCAGTCGTCGAGGCTCGAACAGATATAAACAAAGCACCTTGATGAAACACTGTACGGCAAAACGTGACAACAGTGCATGAAACTCTCGACGCCATTCAGCCGGATGCGCCCCACTGACTAGTAACTGCGACTTGAAGAGCAATGAAAGGAATTTCGTGTCTAGTAACTTTTGGAGTGGCGCTGTATTTCAATTCATTTTTGAAAGGAAATGATTTAGTGCATTAGATATATTTTTATTCTACTTATCTTTATTAGTAATAATATTCATGTAAATGAAATTATCAAGAAAATTAAATTGTACAGAAATTATACAGAAAAAATAATTTATATCACATAGATAATCTTTTTAGTAAACTAATCTAGGGACTTTCATTGCGCGCAGTGCTATAACATCCGCTCTTAAGATCGTAATGAAACTGTATCCATATAGTACTACGCCCCCACTTCTAACGCATGATCCGAAAGAACGTCAAAACAATCAAAGTAAAAGCAGTTTTGTCCCTAGAGAGTAAATCGGCGACTAATGGCCGATCCGTAGCGGCAATATTTGCCTTTAATTGCTTTATTCAATCTGTGTGCATGTCATGTTTGTAATTAGCAAAGTCGGTAGTGACCGACAATAAATCGTCAACGACATGGCACTAAGCAACATTTGCTAGAAGAAATAACAGATGGGTAAAACGAATCTTCCAAATTTCAATTTACACACGAAAAATATCTTGTATCGATATCATCAGCTGATTCACGACCACCGAGTCATTGCGCGAAAATCCTTGACGATAATGAGCTTATCTGTCGTGAATAACAAATAAATAACTGTGAATCTTACAAAAGACCTTGGTTTTTATGTGTGTGTCACTGCAAAGTTGTATTTTCATAGTTTGTCGTTTTTATGGGTGGATAGTTTAGTGTGTAAAAAATTACGTTGTTATTGCGCAGTGTCAGTTTTATTATTCATTCGAGTGTCTAATTAGTTATCGATGTAGTTGCTTGACCATAGGTTAGATTATAGTTGTGTAAGGTGCTATTATATTTCATTCTGGTTTCTTATGCGGCTTATACTTCATTTTCTTTGTAGCATAACTTACATTTATTCAAGTGATATAGATGAAATGAAAACTTGTTTAACGCGTAGAAAATACATAGGTCAAAAGTATTCTTGCTATTGAAAATACTTTTTATTAATTGATTGCCGCAATAATTACCGTGACAGCACGTAACTGCGGTTTTTTTAGAATGAAAAGTGCAAGTACTACTTGATAAGAGTTTTTATTCAATAATGTATAACTAAAACGTTTGGAAAATAATATTTCGTCTTTACATACCCTACTACATGTATATCTTCAAAATCAAAACAAACTTTTTTACAAGCACTGGTACTATAATTTTCATTTGTGCTGTAACATGTGAAAGTGATTTATTTCTTACCATTTAATTCTTGTTTAGTTAGCAAACTAATTAAAACATTTTTCCCACAGTAAAATACAGTTACCTAAAAAAGACAAAAGAATGTGGCAAAACTAAAATCTAGTTACGATGGCTGGTGGTTTCTGTCGACACTGGCGTCTTTGGATATTGCCAGTATTAACATGCCTTTATACACTTCTTATTATTATTCTTGTTCCAATTTTGATATCAAACTCCATTAAGAATGGCTTCAGAAAGCAAGATCAAGGTGCTTTAGTTGGAGGGGCATTTGTTCTTCTGGCCATTCCTATGTCTTTTTATGAAATCGTTCAACATATGATTTATTACACCCAACCAAGACTACAGAAATATATTATCAGGTAAACAAATATTATTTACAATGTAATAATTGAAACATTTTATTACTGTTATCAATTTAATAGTTTTGCATTGTATATTTTAGGATATTGTGGATGGTACCTATTTATGCTGTAAATGCAGTAAGTACTTGACTGAAGACTATTTGTTTATAAAAACTACTGTTCTCATTTCAATTGTATTTTATTTTAATCATTACAGTGGCTTGGCCTAGTGTACCCAGAAGTCAGTATTTATGTGGACAGTTTAAGAGAATGTTATGAAGCCTATGTCATTTACAATTTTATGATGTATTTATTTGCCTATCTCAATGCTGACCATCAGTTAGAACATAGACTGGAAATTGCGCCTCAAGTCCATCACATATTTCCACTGTGTTGCCTTCCTGATTGGGAAATGGGTCACGATTTCATTCACATGTGTAAGCACGGAATTTTGCAATACACTGTTGTGCGACCTATATCGACGCTCATCTCTTTGTTAGTACTCTATGAATGCTACTCACTAAATATATTTTTTATTAAACGACTAATTTAATGAATTAATTTTCTTATTTTAGTATATGTGCAGTTAATAATGTATATAAAGAAGGTGAATTTAGGGGAGATGCAGCATTTCTATACATTATAGGGCTAAACAATTTTTCGCAATTTATTGCCATGTATTGTTTAGTCATGTTTTATCGTGCCAATTCCGAAGCTCTGAAACCTATGAAACCAATAGGAAAGTTTTTATGCATCAAAGCAGTTGTATTTTTTTCATTTTTGTAAGTATATTTTTTGCACTTGTACATAAAATGTACCGTACAATCAAAATCAGCATTTAATCGATGCAATATTATTTTAGCCAAGGAGTAGCGATAGCTATGCTTGTATACTTTGGAATCATATCCAGTATATTTGACACAGAAAATTCGACTGATGTTAGACACATATCGGCTAAGATTCAGGATTTCCTGATTTGTATAGAAATGTTCCTAGCAGCAGTAGCACATCATTACTGTTTCAGTCATAAACCATTTGTTAATTTGGCTCAAAACCAAGCTTGGTGGGATGCATTCAGGTAAGGATTCATCTAATAATATTGCTTATTTTCTACTGAAAATAAATGTTCCTTAAATTAAAATTAACTACAATAATGCAATTAAGAAAAAATTTCAATTGCAGACAAATGTGGGACGTTTCGGACGTACACAACGATATAAAAGAACACCTAGGAGTAGTCGGCTCATCTCTAAGCCGTCGTATACGTGGACGTAGCGTTTATCAACGAGCTTGGGGTATTGTGACTGAGCGAACGTCTTTATTACCAGATGCCATGGGTCCTGATAAGAGTACGCCGGTTGCTCAATCAGGATATTACGCAGCTGAAACTTCAAGTTCGAGCGAGTGCATTGATGTAGTGACTACTAATGAGCCACCCGCTGGTGGTAGCAAGGATGTTATAGCGTAGACTTGTCTACCTCGTTTTATAAATTGTGATTCGTGCGATTTGGCTACCGAGATTTTTGGTTGGTGGACTATTTTATTTATTTTATCTTAGTTTTTATTCCTCTCAGCCAGTTTTAGTTATTTTTGTAACTTAAATGAGGATGTCGGAGATTTTGAATTAATTTGTCATATTGAATATAATTTTAATAGAACATGGAAGATGCAAAAAACTTGAAATTATAGATCGAATATAAACACAATAAAACGTATAGGATAGCATGTATTAAAATAAATGTAACCATTGAATGGGATATTTTTTAACATATTTAGTATAATACGAACAAGCTAATTTAAGATAAAACTATAAAGTTTCAGGAAGAGTATAAGCTATTTTATCAGATAGGGCTACACCTGCAACATTGAACGATGTTCAAAACGTTATTTAGAAAAACATACGATTTTATTGTAATCTACTATCATAGGAAAAGCCCTGATTTCAAGTTCTATGTTCAATTAAATCGAAAAAAATGTGAAAAAATATACGAATGTAAAGATCTGACATCCTTTTAACACTTATTATCTATTCTATACGTTAATCTTGTCATCAATAAGCAATATGTGATTTTAACCTTTGCAAACTGTATTTCAATTAATCGATGTTTAAAACTTGGTAGCTGAAGACTTTCCAATAGCAAAGAGTCGCTTCGTGATATGAGAATGAAGTCACATTTTTTAATGTAAATAAATCCTCTATGTAATTATAAAAATGTAATACAAAATAGATTAATCGAATAATTTGTTAATGAAATCGCTATTTGACAGTTCTTTTTCCGAATAATAGTTTAAAAATTTACCTATTACCAATGATATTTTACCAAATACTTTATATATGCGTAAAGCGTTTATACGTAGGGTATTACGTCCATCATTAATGTTTATATGGAATTAATACTACGTTAACTTTTATGACATATCTGAAAAGAAAGATTTAGAAGAGTTATTTATTTAATACGACATATATTAACAAACAATGTTATATTCTTCTCTGTTTACTGTTGAACTATTTTCATGCAATTTGTTTTTATTTCTAGTTTTTTTATCGTCTAGTTTTAGTTGTAAGTATTTTTCAGCAAAGACAATGAAATTAGAATTAAAATTATTTTTTTCTATGGCAATATCTAGAAAATAAATATTTTTCTAACTCATTTCAACATAACATTTTTTCTATCATACCTATCCTATAATTTTTTCGCAGATATAAAGGCTGATAAACTGAAATGTCGAGTATAAGCGATCACGTTGCAAATTTTCATAAAAGAAAGTGTTCATGTACTTCTCATAGTAATCTTCTGTTGATAAGCTTTCTTTCAATCAAGTCTACTGGCAGTTTGGCGGAAAACGTTAATTTGGTACTTAGCTATTAGGGAAGTTTATCTGAACAAAATTACTCTTTATTTATTTTAATTCTATCATCGATTATTTTTAACTCGAATGGATTTAGTCGTGGAAATTGCGAAGCGAACAACGCTAATGCTGTATTCGTTTTAATAAAAATTCAATCGATATCAATCGGAACGACTTACGTGATTTTATGATAGTCGCTACTTTATTCACCGACAGTCTTAATTTGATTGATTTAAACGGTATCTGAAGTAGAATATATAGGATAATAAGATCAATCAAATCATCGAATGAATATTTTATTATATTCTGATATATCCAATGAATGGATTTGCCTTAGAATGGACCAGCTGCCAATAATTTGAAAAACTCTAAATGTTGGATAGTCGAGCTTAAATAACCGGAGAATTTTTCACAAAAATTGCGTTTTTATTGAGATTTTAACAATTATCAAGTGTCTTGTACGTCGATTGAGCTTCGTTTGCTCGTCGCGGTTGGATAAAAATCGTTAAGCTATTTAAAAGCGCGATGTCTTTCAGAGCAATAGCTTTTCGGAATTCTGAATACCAAGCCGAATGCATTCTGCACATCCATGATTTTATCAGATAAATTGAAAAGCGGGGTAAACTTGAAAGACTTTCTTTTGGCAGTGCACACGGCGCAGAGTGCATTGCAATTCAGCGGCTGTAGCATACGGCAGTGATCGGCGATCGCGACCACCCACCGACGCGTTCTCGCGAGCTGACCTATCTGTTAAAGAACATCGCACCGCGTGTTCTTAGAAAAACCATCAGACTTAGCGCCTTATCTGCGGCGGTGCGCTTGCAATCAGTATTTTACTTTCTTTGTGAACGACTGCTCGTCCTGAAAGTTAAGCGAGACATTTTTCGTGGAATCTAGACTGTAACTGTCATTGTTTGGAGTAGGCCGTTCATCCCGCGCAGCCACTGTTGAACCAAAATAACAATGATAATAATTGGAGCTTCCCCTCGTGTCGGCCGTTGATTAATTTTGTATTTTTCTAGCTAGGGAAAATGGCTAAGAGGGCCGGCTGAACCTTTACCTTGAAGCCGAGAATTCGTGGATCAAAAATGGAAATACGAATACGAAATTACCCAATGATGCGAAAGGAATCGATCGATTACGCAAAACTGAACTACGCGCGTCATTTATGACGACTGACAACTTCTTTTTTTTTCATCAGCAGTCATTAACTTTCGCTATCTTCGTTATCTAGAAAATAATCGAGGAAACGGATAGGATCGATCGGCCGAAGCTAATCGCATCGGCATTTCTTTTGCATACGAATCGGCGCCGAGGATATTACGGCGAAATGTATTGCTAAAAATGATCAAGTTGAATCCGAGCTGTTGACAATTCCGAGTAAGCGCACTGACTCGCAAATCCAAGCTCGCAATTGCACCCGCGACATTAGAAGGAAAAAAGGATAGAGAGAGGGAGAGAGAGAGAGAGAGAGAAAAAAAAAGCCACGCAATCTCGCTACTTTCTTCCGCGCGCAGAGCGCATTGCAATAGAGCAGCGATAGCGAACCGATCATGATTCGCGATCATGCCCATCGACTGACATTGCCCGTGTGTGACTTGACCTCATCGCAATTTCTCGGAAGATCTATTGATCTCGCGGCGGTTCGTATCTAACGGCTAGATCGCGATCGTTTGCGTGAACAAGGAAAAATTGTCAAAGAGTGCGCTCGTATATTTAGATCGAGTTTCGCAAGGCCGGAGGCGCAGAAAAGCTGCTTATCTCGCGTGCAACGTTTTCATATTGCATTTTTCTCGTAAGGACGTCACTGCCGACCGAGATCCCGGTTTGAGCAGGCCTTCGCAAGAACGCACCCATTTGCAACTGCCAAAGCACCCGTCGGAGGTTTCAGAAAAATTTTTAAATTTTTAAAGAAATTTTTAAATTCGCGCGATAGTCATATTAATGACACACTAAGTGATGCGCTAAATTTAAATGCCATTCACGGCTTCCGTTCCAAGTCATGGTAGTTTGAGATTTGAAAATTATCGTATAGCCTTATCGGTTGCATGCCGACATCAATGTAACGAAGCAATTCAACCAATAAAAATGGGCGATGCCAATAGGTTTGAATGTATATACGTAGCCCCGGGAAGCGTAAAAAATGGATTTGCTTTCGGCAGAAGTTGGGGGAAAAAAATTAAAAATCGGAGGCATATGGAGGGAGGAATCTCGGGCGGCGCACGACGCGTGCTCGATGTACTCGCGCGAGCGCGTTGTGACGAGGCGATCACGTTTTGCGCGCCTGTCCCGATTGATAAGCTTTGGATTTTTCGTTCTTTATCGAAATCCCGATTGCCATTCTCGACATTGAAATCGTGGATCCCAGAGGGTAACTATCTCTCGTACAACAAGCGAACCGAGCGTAAATGCATGCGCGTTTGTCGCAATTGCAATCGCGACCCCCCCCTCCCCGCCCCCCTTCCCCGTCAAGTCAAACAAAAGTAGCTTTGTGAAACCTTTGCGAAGTCGGCACTTCCGTTTTCTTTTTTCTATTCTCAATAGACGATAACTATTTGAACTTTGCCGGTCGTTAGTTGTTGAAGCTCGTATTAACCTTCGCAAAATAAGTTATCGTCTGCGTACTTTGCGAACGAAACGATTGGTCCGGAGCGCCGTGCGAATTTTTAATTATTGCACGACCACGTGCTCGACGTACCACTGATATGCTCTTCGTGTTTGTAAACAGACGGTTTATATAGTTTCGACTTTCCGAATAGCACGGCACGCACAAACGCAGATTGCCGTGAAAATTCTGGACAGATTGGAATCTATGGGAAATTTAGCTGAATATGCATCGCGCTGTTGCGGAATACGAATAAAATTTTTCTTCAAGTAGTTCCGATCCGAGATAAACGGCTGCACACTCGGCTTCGCGAAAGAATCGAACAGTTGCAGTGATTTATAATAAACTTCTATCGCACCCCGTGCAAATTGAATCCGATCTGCCAAAAGCAAAGTCTCCTACGATAAACAACTTTCTACGCATTACGTTCGCATCGACGTTAAAAAAAAGGAAGGAAATTAACGCGCCTCTCCCTAGCTTGTCGTATGGCAAAATAAAAAAAAACATTCAAGCGGAAATGGCTCGGGTATGCATCGAAACATGTCGGCTATATTGTGAAGTACTCTGCACTCCACGTGCCCGGGCGCTCGGCTGATTTGCATATAAAGCCCAAGCGCAAGCGATCAATATCTTCTTCGATCACTTGCGCTCGGACGAGTTACTTGGTCTCGGTTCGCTTTGGCGAATTTTATTGGCTTTCGAGAATAAGAGTCCGAGGTTCTCGTACCTCGCCGAGTTGGCATCGAACTCGCATGCGAACCAAGCTTTCACTGCTGGTAAGTCGAAAATTGCGTTCCGTTTTTCTCGGTCAATTAACCGATAAACGATGCGCGATCGAAAAATAGATGACGAAAAGTCGCGATCGACCGTTGTTCACAGCGCAACAGTGGCTTTAGACAATTGTCGAGCGTGAAAGTAGCCCAACGGAAGATGGCAACGAAGGTGGCAGCGTATCAGAGCGGCGTCGACGACAACAATAACAACGAGAGGAGCAAGTTCCAGAATGGCAAAGTGTACAGCGAGGAGCACGAAGAGCACCAGTATCTAAACTACATCAAATTGATTCTGGATAAGGGTGCCGTTAAGAACGACCGTACCGGCGTCGGCACCCACTCGGTCTTCGGTACGCAGATGCGCTTCAATCTTCGCGACGGTGAGTCCAAGGGAGCTCCCCACTCGAAAGAAAAGAAAAGACGAACCGGCTTCCAAAGTCTCGGCGTCGTTCGACCGATCAATCTTATCTCGCTTTCCGCAGGCAATTTCCCGCTGCTGACGACGAAACGAGTATTCTGGCGCGCGGTCGTCGAGGAGCTGCTTTGGTTCATCCGTGGCTCGACCAACGCCAAAGAACTGTCCGACAAAGGTATTAAAATATGGGACGCCAACGCGTCCCGCCAGTTCCTCGACGTTTGCGGCTTCAAGGACCGGGAAGAGGGCGATTTGGGCCCGGTCTACGGCTTCCAGTGGAGGCACTTCGGCGCCGAATACGTGGACATGCACGCGGACTACACCGGCAAAGGTAGGCCGAGGCTCGACGGGCGTCGGTGGCACAACCACATCCGCGGCAGCATAGCGGTGCCATGCGCTCGCGGCGTGCTGTCGCTCATCGACCGTCGTTGCGGCTAAAAGAAAAATCGAGGAAATGATCAACAAGCGCGATTTGCCGAGCAGGCTTCGATCAGCTGATGGACGTCATCCACAAGATCCGAAACAATCCGGACGACAGGCGAATAATCATGAGCTCCTGGAATCCCGTGGACATACCCAAGATGGCACTGCCGCCTTGTCACTCGCTTGCCCAGTTTTACGTCCACGACGGTGAGCTATCGTGCCAGCTGTACCAGCGCGCCGGCGACATGGGCCTGGGCGTGCCCTTCAACATCGCATCCTACTCTCTGCTCACCTGCATGCTCGCCCACGTCACGAATTTGAAGGTGAGACGCTGTCGATGCCGCGCAGAGTCCAAATAACGGCAGACTCGATCGTCGACGATTAACTCGTTTCCGTTTCAGCCCGGGGACTTCGTGCACACGATGGGCGACACGCACGTCTATCGCAACCACGTGGATGCCGTGAGGGAGCAAGTATTACGCGAGCCGCGACCATTTCCCAAATTGAAAATTGTGCGCCGGGTGACCGACATCGAGGATTTCAAGTTCACCGATTTCATGCTCGAGGGATACAACCCACATCCCAAGCTCTCGATGCCCATGGCACTTTGAGCTTTCTTTCGATTAGGGTGCTGGTTTCCATCGCGCCTGTGTATATAAATTGTAGTTCTCGTAGGCTTACCTTTTTTCATTGACAATTGACGTATGCATGCGTGCGTTTGGAATGTAAACACTTTGTGATTTTCAATGTTTAGCTTCTAAGATTATATACTAAGATTTACTAAGTGTAGATATACTGATCTTCCGAGAGTTTAATAAAAAATGCTTTGTACGAAGCTTCAGCTACTTGACAATAATTTGACTTTGCGTTACTTTTACCGGTGCACGCACGAGTACTGCGTGGCTATCAAAATACCAATACTAAGAGAAAGAAACGAATGGAATTGTAAAATACAATTTTATCCAGATGATAATGAGAAAAATTCAAACAATCTAGATTATCGTGTCGAAATTCGGCATTTCATTTGACCATTACGCTTATGGTACTTATTCGAGGTCAGATGTGAGACTGTGAAAGCGTATCTATGCTATCTTCGCCGACACTTTTTCATCAACGTAATAATGATCCCTGAAGCTACGCCATGATTAAAATCGGTATTTTAATTGCAGATTCTTATCTTAAATATGTTTCTCAAGTTTCAACATTCAATATTACTTACGCGAGTTAAAATATACCACGAGGAACCAGCTTATATGTTCGCGAGCAATATAAAAATTGACTGTGATATCAAATTCTCGTGTTACTTATTTCGCTAAAAATATTATAGCGGACATATTTCAATAACAGTTCGCTCAAAATTCCTTTCCTCGGCTTTCGTTAAAGCTCTCCTTAATAAAAGGTTAACAATCAACGACAGTCTTTATTTACATCTACATTTCTGATTTGGAATTTCCGTAGAAGTATAAAAACTCGACAGCAAGCAACTCCAAATTAATCATCGACCAGCATTTATTATTTATAATGCACATCACGCGAAAGGAAGTGGGAACCTCTCGATTACGGCAATTATAAAAGCAATTACTCGAGAATCGACAAAATGCATTGTTGTGCTAGTTGCGAGAAGAAGAAAATGGAGTGTGATGATCCTCTGCGCGCACACTCGTTGGAGTATAAACGTGCGATACGAAAAACGCACGACGCGCGCTTCTGTCAGCTGGTAATAGTGTAGCGAAGGCGGGAAAAAGTTGCTGCTGACCACACTGCTATTTCGTTAGTCAACATGTCGAGTATCGTGCAAAACGACCAGAGTGCGGATAAATTGAAGAATGGTTATTCAACGGAGAACGAGGAGCATGAAGAGTATCAATACTTGAATCTTATTAAAAGAATCATCGAGAAAGGAAACGTTAAGACAGATCGCACCGGCACTGGAACTCGCTCTATTTTTGGCACGCAAATGCGGTTCAGTTTGCGCGATGGTATGGAAAATAGCTTTATTGTTTATTTGGAATTCATCGATTCGATGCAGTTAACTTCGTCATTGTGCTCATAGGAGTTTTTCCATTGCTGACGACCAAGAGAGTATTTTGGAGAGGAGTCGTTGAAGAACTTTTATGGTTTATCAAGGGTTCGACCAACGCGAAAGAATTAGCTGACAAAAATGTGCATATTTGGGATGCCAATAGCTCTCGTCAATTTCTCGATTCTTGTGGATTCAAAGACCGCGACGAGGGTGACTTGGGACCTGTTTATGGTTTCCAATGGAGGCATTTTGGAGCTAAGTATATTGACATGCACACTAACTATACTGGCCAAGGTAAATATGCATTTAGTCATATTTTTGCTTAAAAGTACTTTAAAAGTTGGGTTTAAAAACGTTTTTAATATTTGTAGGGGTTGATCAGTTAAAAGATGTAATTGATAAGATCAAAAATAAGCCTGACGACAGACGGATGATCATGTGTGCTTGGAACCCAGTGGACATTCCAATAATGGCTCTTCCTCCTTGTCATGCACTTGTACAATTCTATGTTGCCAATGGAGAATTATCCTGTCAATTATACCAAAGAAGTGCTGATATGGGACTAGGTGTGCCTTTCAATATCGCATCTTATTCTTTAATGACATACATGATTGCTCACATTGCAAATTTGAAGGTAATTCTTAATACATTTTATTTTAATAAACTGCAAATTATTCAAAACTGAGTGGATTCTTATAATATTTTTAGCCTGGAGACTTTGTTCATTCAATGGGTGATTGCCATGTGTATCTTAATCACATACCAGCCTTAAAAGAGCAAATTACTCGCACACCAAAGCCTTTCCCTAATCTTAAAATAACAAGAGACGTTAAAGACATTGATGATTTCAAGTCAAGTGATTTTGAACTAGAGGGTTACAAACCACATCCAAAGATTGAGATGCCCATGGCTGTGTAACTTTATCTCAAATTAAAAGATTTTGTGAACAATGTTTGTGTAATAAATGTGTATTATATTATTTGATAAGAATAGTTATTTTTCATAAACTTGAATGCAAATTGTTTTTCTTTTTTTATCGTTCCTAACATTTACATGCCAATTAATTATTATACATAAGTAAATATAAGTAAAATTTGATGATTTCAAAATGTGGAAAAAGACTTAAACATTGCAGAAATGTTCTAGTAATAACTATACTTTTATTCTCTAATAAAAATTATATTCTTAATAAACTCATATCTTAATATTTATTTATATTTATGACTTCTTAAATATTGTTTACAAACCAGCAGTCAAAATATTACATCACAGAGATTTTTACGTTCAAACAAAACAGAAGAAAAATCTCCACCATGACAATGATGTTGCATTTTGACTACATGTATAGCCTAAATCTGCTTCGATTTATGGTTCAAGTGAGCGTAATTTACAAAAGAATCAGTTTCATCTACCGCATTCGAAAATCCTAAACTTTAGTAAAACATCACTTATAGGCCAAACATTTACTTCTAAAATTATAGCTTCAATCAAAGCTTTTCGTAGTAAAAAAAGAATGAAACAATTATAATTTTTTACACATTTGCTTCTTTGTTGTTGTAGCAATATAGTTCACAACTATTATTCAATCTTAAAATAGACTCTTTATAAAATCTCTAAATAATTTAAAATAAAAGAAAAAAAGGTTTCTTTGATGTAGTTACACTTTGAGAAAATTAATCCTTGTATAATAAAGCTGAGCAAATAGACGAAAACGATTTGTGTCTAATGAGAAACAAAAGAAAATCTTTTTTCTCAATGCAGTACTAAAAGAAAAAGAAATTCAAGGACGTTTTCTGACACGCTGCATGTTATAAAATCCAAGGCTAGCACATTTGATCATCATTTGATTGTGAAGTACTTAGTAGGTTGAGCTGTTGGGTAAGGGCCAAGGTACCACTTTCACTTACTGATATTATCACCCATATTATGTCTGGAACAAATATTGAAAATTAATTTCAATTCCTATTAGAAAGAAATTGTGATAGCCCTTTAGAACTAGTGTCCCATCACAATAATAAAATAAAAATATTGTTTGCATTACCCCCAAAATAGGAACCATTTTGTGTCATCATCCTCCATTTACTCTGGAAGGTACCTGTTGTCGCAGGACTTGTTAAATCAACACTTAGCTCAATCGTGTCTTTGGGTGGCAAACAGGGCACAGACACTCTTATGCATTCTCCCATTGGTACACCACCTGTGTAACTTAAGCAAACACCTTCAGGCCATGGCTCTGTTCCACTATTTTGTACACGCCATGATTTTCTAAATTTTGTATTGGGTGGTACAGCTTCTCCTTCTCCAATTGTTGAGTCACATATTAATGTCATACATGGAAGTTTGTATGTTGATTCGAAATCAAAATAACTACATATTGCCGCTTGTAGATTCCTAGGGCAGGAAGAAAGAGAAAAACGTCAACTAAATACTCATACTCTATAAGAACAAGGAAATGAATCACACCAATGTTTATAGCAACTTGCAAGCTTCAACTTGCTCAAAATGGCAAAACATATAAAGCAACTACTAAATGTACTAATAATAGCTTTATTACACAACAAAAAAAGTACAATTATCAGTTAGTTAATGCTACCAAAATTGTATTTAAAGCTGCAAATGTGTTGTTAGAATGTAATAGATTTGCTTTTCTTATGTCATGTGTTTGCATTTTAAGTTTATATTATTTATAGTATATCAAACTGCTTAAAAAATCAATTTTTAGATTACTTCAATATTAACATGTAACTATTATATTAACAAATAGAATTTTGTTTATTGCAAACTTATTGATTAGATAATATGAAATTAATCTGCTATATATTATATCAATCAAACATCCCAATTATTTCATCATTAAAAGTGCCAAATAAAGAACCTAATCAAAGCATGCAGAGAAAATTTAGTTTATAAAAAAAATAGTACAAATATAATAACTCAATTAAGTAAAAAAACAGCAGCAGCATCTTTAACAAACATTGCGATTTGTAAAAAAAATGCTAAAGATAGTGTTCAGACACCCTTAGTGATGTAAACAAAATAGACAATAACAGAAACTGAATGATAGTGCTTTCCAGCAATAAAGAATAAAAAAAAAGAGGTATCCGCGAAAAACAATTCTCGAAACGATAGGCTAGTAGACACGTCATAATACAAAGAAAAGTCGTGGGAAAAGGCTACACTCTACAGAGTGTGCAGACATCAAAGGCGAGCAAAAGAGAAAATCGAGAGAATATGTAGGTTATGTCAGCTTCACACTGACTTACTTAGAACACGCATACATAAGCAGAGAGCGCGACAAAAAAAACAAAGCGCACACACAACACAAACTTCCGCGAGGACATTACGACCTACCAGTTGTTCATGTCCAGGAAGAATGCTGCTGCAGTTTCATTGAGCTGATTACCAGCCAAGACTTTTTGCAATTGTTTCACCAGGTCATCTTTGTCCGTGGTGCCGAGGCAGCTAAACTGGTGCAGCAAATGCTGGTCCAGCTCGTCCACATCCATCGTTATTAATTTGCCTTCTCTCCTATATCAGTCTCTTCTCTATGTATCAACACTCGTCAAAAATGAAAAATAAAGTTTTCGTCTGACTCGATTTAATTTTTCGCACACACGCACACACTCTCACGCCCACTCTTTCTTTATGACGGTCAACTCTTCTCTCCGTTCTCTATATCTTTCTTTTTATCACTCTCTTGATGGATACGTGTTGTATGCTGCGCATGGGTTGTCCAATACTTCCGAGAGGTCGTTGATGCCTACAGACTCCCAAGAGAAAAAAATGACAAATATACTCGAATTGTTGCGCTTCGCGTGCGTACAACAGCAGCCTTCTCTGTCTCACTCAAGCCATGCTGCTGCTACTGCCGCGGCCATGGAGACGACGGGCACTGCCAATTTTCATTGTCATTGCGCGGTGGGGGAGCAACCCAAGTCTCCACTACAACTACACTCTTCTCTTCTTGCGGAACTCTGTCATGCACACTAAACGAGGTGCAACCAACAAGAGTGCTACTGCATTTGACGCTCACACTTGTATTTTGAATGCGACCTCAGTATTTTATTTTTTTCTTTACGGACAACTAATTTTTGCATATTCTTGATTATAATTTCTCCCGCAATATTCCATGTTGACAAATAATTTTTCAAATAATCGATCTGATGCCACGTCCGACGTCAAAATGAAAGTTTTTGATGCGGACGCCAGAAAGTGAATACAAACCTAACGCAATGTGGCCCTCAGTCTCCCACTTCTCGAGTTTTTTCAGTTTTGCAGTTTGCTTTCTATTCATAACTTCATAGAATAGCGTATTTTGCGTCTGCGCATGGCATTTGTGACGTCAGAAAAGCGCATGGGGCTTTGAATTTCCGAATTTTTGTGTAAATGTTTCTTTTAAAATATCATTTTATTTTCAATATAAACAATGGGTAAGAATTTAAATATATTTATTTACAATATAGATATCGGACAACAGAAAAAAAAGTTAAACGCCATCGTGCTTCTGGTTTAACCATTGAATTTCTCTGTTCATCTCGATCACAGCGCGATTGGCATTATGACTTTGGAAGAAACGCTTTCCGTACTCGAATGTAGATATCATAATTGCACAGGCTGGTGCAACTTTTACTAATCTAGGTGTCAAGCCGGTGAATAATCCTTTAACTCCGCTTTGGTTATATATCCTCTTTATAGTGCTTAGTGTGCTACTTGCTTTTTTTGGAGTATCTAAAATAATAGAACATTGATATTGTTTGATTGATGTGTTTTAAAGAATGAAGTATTATTAAAACTTTGTGTTTCTAAATTACCTGAATAAATTTGTTTTTCCCCCATCTCAATTTGTCTATGAGTTTTAACAACATCAAATGGAATTGTTATAAATGCTGCTATCTGTAATTCAAATAGATTACTTCATAATAATAAGTTTATCGTCTTAAAAAGTTGAATAGTTAATAGAAAAAATCAACTTACAGAACCAGATAAAGCTCCTGATACAAAATTAAAGGCAAAATTTTGCTGAGATTCTGGAAACATTTTCTTGATACCTTCATAATTAAACCAATAAATTGCACTGAATGGTACATCTCTTAATAATGTAGCACTTAATCCCATCCACAATCCTCTTGCACCATTTTGTTCTATAACTGTCTTTAATGCTTGTGTAATTTCTGAAAAATTATTCAATTACTTTAACCATTCTATAATTAATTTTATTGTTTTTACTAGTTTTGAACATACCTGCATAACTAAGCTTTTGAGATTGCATTTTTGTTCTTATGAGCTCTAACGGACTAACAAGAGTGGCTGCCCATATCCTAGCTGTACTTCCAGCTACCATAGGAATCCAAAAAGGTTGCTCCTTGTGATTAACATTATTTATTCTTTTGTTATATTTATCCTATAAAAAAAAGATTTATTGATACTAAATGTACAAAATCTGTTGTTTTGGTGTTGTTCTTATTCCTTTTGCACAGATTAATACTTTTCATACATTATAAATCATAATAAAAAAAGAAATAAATATACTTTTAAATATATCCTTAGTTGTTCATAAGAAACAAAATATGCAATAGTAGCAGGTACTGCCAAAATTAGAGTAGGACTCAGTCCACTCCAAAGTGATATTATTCCTTCCTTCTGACTTATTTTAATCATGGCATCCTGAAATTATTTACATAACTCACATTTTACTTGAAATTAAAGGTAATTTGAAATACATTTAGATTCTTTTTGTACCAGTGTGCCGTTAAAATGACCATTAGCTTTGATCCAAGCTGCTTGACTCATTCCACTTTTTCCATTCGCACAACAACAAATATGATCCATCAATCCATTGCAGTACAAAAAGCACTTGTTGGACAGCATTGCTTTTTGTTGAGCTTGTAATCGAATTTTAACAACATCCAATGGAGTAACTGTAACAATTTATTTTATTATAGAAAAATAAAATATTTCACTTATGAGTCAACACAAAGATGATCAAAAAAACAAAATAATAATATTCTTACCAAAGATTGAAGTGACAAGAGCTCCAGTGCAGGAAGCAATCATTTGTTGATATGGTCTGATCCTAAATCGCGGATCATCTAAATCTAATTCACTTGCCTTGACAGTTGTCATTTTTAATTGAAAGTATATACAAAAAGCTTAATGCCACATGTAGTTTTTTGAATGATCTAGACTCGGACAATCTATTATGTCAGAAGAAATTTAACATAACCTCATGGCCATGTGGAATCGGCTTCACATTCATCATACAATTACGCCTTGAAAAATGATAGTACAAATTGTACATTCATTTCGTACTCAATTCTAATTTTTACCTTCTCTCAATTTTTATAACATATGTTACCTCCTGTTTATGGAATGATTTTACCAAAGACTGACAGCACATTTTATTGCTCAAATCAAAATATAATGTAGGCTAATGCTCGTTTACATCAGTAAAAGTTTTCACACCACGTGTTGTGCTAGTATAAAAGTTTCACGAATCGCAGTGAAATTATAAATGTCCCTGCAATTCCAAGTGACTTACAAAATACTAATTGTGGTAGCACTTACGTCCGCGTCAGAGTGCATCATCCAAACCAGCGTTGCCGCTGGAAAATTTTTTCCAGGGTCCCTAAAAATTATGTCATTTAACATAATGCAATAATTTCTAGGGATCCTAAGAAAAATTTTTCGAGCGGCAACACTGATCCAAACTTTGAAGTTCATTTTAATTTTTACTTTTTACTATTGTTATTTTAGAATTTACTGAAATATAATTTATTTTTTAACTGGTCTGAGTAAAAATCATATAAACTTTTCTTGTAATAAAAATTTAATGGTTATTATAAATTTTTTTAACATATTTACGGGGACTCCAGCGCTGATAGTTCTGAGATTACCTAGTTTATTTCTATAGATCAAAATGTGGTGAATCCAACAATATCATTATTTGTCCTTGTAACCATGGTAAATATAGAGATATTTCATTTTAAAGTTAGGGACTTTTATAGGTTTATATATAGTCTTTTATGGAATAAAGAATTAATGAATTCGGAAATACTAAATTTGGAATCAGAAATATTTCCTTAGCCGATGTATGTTTATGGAAACACTTTGATGTTTTTAATATATGTTAATATTCTCATTTTGAATTTTAAGACAGAGTTGGGAACAGTCACCGCAATTATTATTAACATTAATTATTGAACCGCGCAACGAAACTTACAGTTTTTGTAAGCAATTCAAGTCGTATGGTTTTCTATTATAAGACCAATGTACGATCATTTAGAATATAGAACAAATTTACTAACAAAGAAATGCTCATAATTGCATAGAATATCATTGTTTAAGCAACTCCAATATATTTTCCTCAATATGATGATGGATCCCATGTGTGTGCCAAATGATCTTTTCTTTGCGATTGTGTGAATTTTTGAAATTGCAAATATAACCACTAGAACATTATAAATTAACTAAATAAACATTCCTGATGGTGCACAGGTTGCTTGACAGCACAGCTGTACCCTCGGTGAAAATATATAATTATTTCTTTCTTTTATTGAATAAAATATTACGTTACATATATTTTTGTTAAACTAACTTGGCTATATGCTAATGAATTCTCAAGAGCACCAGCAATGAATTAAACAGAAATTTCATTTGTTATAAAAATTCATCACATCTAGAAATTATTTAAACGACCTGCATTATTAATAGAAAATAAGATAAATTTTTATTCATTATAGTGCACTTCAACCTAAATACTATTATAATAACCAAAGTAATGTTCTTATAATCGAAAAAAATGTCAAAATTAACGACCGCGCAAATTATTGGCATAGCCGTATCCGTATGCACTCTGCAGTTGGATTGGTCATTGGATAATGGAATCATGAAGATTGGCTTGGATAGTAGCTTGTATTGACAGAGACAGGAAAATTTCAGAATAGGTTAAGTTACACAAATGCACTAGAAACACGAAAGACACCCTCTAAGACGTCCAACATGGACGTTACTTAATTCGCGACGCGGGAAATTTAAAATTGGAAATAAGCTACGTCGTTTGAGCACCACTGTACCCGACCGAGGTTAGATCACAGTTTTTACCTATGAAGATGCAAGGTTTATGCTTCAAGTATAAATGGCTATTCACGAGTTTTGGTTGGCAAGAATTAAGACAAATTTGGCGCATAGAATAAAAGAGAAGCAGCAGACAGTGCAGGGCAGCAAAGGATCAAAGAAGAATTCAACAGTTAAATAAGTATCATTAATTCACATTATTACAAAGTTTCCAAATAAGATAAATTTACTTTGTGTAACTTTGCAGGTCTCGAACGGAGAGAGTATTTAGAAAATATAGAGCACTTGGTACCAGCAATTTCTGGCAACAGATCGATTCTCTTATTAAGACTAATCAGAGTCATTCAAGAAAGCCTAGCCATATATCAAAAAACTGTCAGTGGTAGTAGCAGAGAGAGAAGCAAATAATGCAGAAGATAATGAAGAAGACAGTGAATCATTGGAGAATGCTGTGCTTCAAGACTTTCTAAACAACAGCAGTGCTTCAGAAGAAATAATTGAATTTGTTCATAGACTGTAGAGGGATTCGTGTCAAGCATAATTATTATGCAGTGTATTTGTTATAAAAATGTACGACTATATTGTGTGGTTAGTGAAAGTATGAGTGATAAGTTAGTGATAAAAAATGTATCATTTAAATTACGTTATTTATTTCTTAGCTACCTTTTATATGAAATAATAGAATTCATTTTGAATGCATGGACAAGAATTCTACAACATCAAAGATAGATCACTCTAAATGTAACAAGATTTCATTGTCCATGCATTCAAAATGTATTCTATTATTTCATATAAAAGGTAGCTAAGAAATAAATAACGTAATTTAAATGATACATTTTTTATCACTAACTTGTCACTCATACTTTCACTAACCACACAATATAGTCGTACATTTTTATAACAAATATTCATTATCTTCTGCATTATTTGCTTCTCTCTCTGCTACTACCACTGACAGTTTTTTGATATATAGCTAGGCTTTCTTGAATGACTCTGATTAGTCTTAATAAGAGAATCGATCTGTTGCCAGAAATTGCTGGTACCAAGTGCTCTATATTTTCTAAATACTCTCTCCGTTCGAGACCTGCAAAGTTACACAAAGTAAATTTATCTTATTTGGAAACTTTGTAATAATGTGAATTAATGATACTTATCTAACTGTTGAATTCTTCTTTGGTCCTTTGCTGCCCTGCACTGTCTGCTGCTTCTCTTTTAATCTATGCGCCAAATTTGTCTTAATTCTTGCCAACCAAAACTCGTGAATAGCCATTTATACTTGAAGCATAAACCTTGCATCTTCATAGGTAAAAACTGTGATCTAACCTCGGTCGGGTACAGTGGTGCTCAAACGACGTAGCTTATTTCCAATTTTAAATTTCCCGCGTCGCGAATTAAGTAACGTCCACTGTAGACTAGTTGTATTGTGATGCTGGACGCATCTTGACGTGATAACTTGTTATTGACGTGATAAGTTGTTTATTGCTGGAAAATCAAGAATTTTTATTGCAATTTTTATTAAGTAGATCCTAGAGCTTGATAGTATTCAATATTATGCGTAAATAAAACGCAATTTGGGCAATACGGAAACAAAACTTACCGGTGAGTTTTTTAAATCGCATAACCTCTTTTACTTTCTTTTTTAATTAGATAGTTTTTATTATTAATTTTACTGTAGTGCAATCTTCAATTGTGTTGTGTTTGATTAATAAAATGATCTATTTTATATGTTTAGTTAACAGTTAAAATTGCATGTACTGTAGTTAGATTACAAGGGAAACGATATTAATTGACTAAAATTTGAAGCGAATATCGGAACACGATTGTAACAGTAACAAATTGAATCTATTGTTATTAAACGCTACAAATATTGAGTATTGCAAGAGCTGAATTTAAAATTAAGTTATACTTCATTTAGAAAGTTTTTTAAAGTGAAAGAGTTTATGATTATTGTAAACAAAATTTTAGTTATTTAAAACTGTCTATTAATTCAACATTGTTTCTTTATTTCTTTGTAGAATAATCAAAGACAAAGATGGATTACCAAAATCGACCTGGAGGAAAGACTGGAGGTGGAGGTGTAGCCTCTTGGTCAGAGAGCAACAAAGATAGAAGAGAGCGTCTTCGACAGTTGGCTCTGGAAACTATCGATCTAAACAAAGATCCTTATTTTATGAAAAATCATTTGGGTTCTTACGAGTGTAAATTGTGCCTAACTCTACACAACAATGAAGGGAGTTATCTTGCTCATACGCAGGGTAAGAAACATCAAGCTAATTTAGCTAGGCGAGCAGCTAAGGAAGCTAAAGAAGCTCCACAGACATTAGCACCAGAAAAACCCAAAGTAGAGCCTAAGAAATTTGTCAAGATTGGTCGTCCTGGCTACAGAGTAACTAAACAGAGGGATCCTGAAACTGGTCAACAGAGTTTACTCTTTCAAGTAGATTACCCAGAAGTTGCAGATAATGTTATTCCACGACATAGATTCATGTCTGCTTACGAGCAGAGAGTTGAACCTCCTGACCGTAAATGGCAGTATTTGTTATTTGCTGCTGAGCCTTATGAAACTATAGCTTTCAAGGTATATTCCTTTTATTTTTTTAAAAATTAGTAAAGTTCTATCAATTTTCGATGTAAATTAAATATATATCTATTTTTCAGGTACCAAGTAGAGAGGTAGAAAAAGCAGAAGGAAAGTTCTGGACACATTGGAATAAGGACACAAAACAATTTTTCCTTCAATTTGCGTTCAAAAACGAGAAACCATCTATTGGCAAAGTTCCACCTCCACCAGTCCCGCTTATTCGACCAGGATTACCTCCAACAATGATGCCCGTACCTCCACCACCTCCAAGACCGCCGATGTTCAATCCAGTACCACCACCACCCCCAATTATAGCACCTGGAATGCCTATCCCTCCCCCTCCTCCTCAAATCCATTAAATTTTAAAGTTATAAAAATGACTACTTTTTAATTAAATGATTTATTTAATATGTGTGAAAAAACATAATAAATTAACGAAGATTCAAATTTGATTATTTATTATTAGATTCAAATTGGTTTATTATTTATTAGTTTTATAAATGTAAAAATATATTAGTATAATACAATTACTTCCAATACAAGATAACATCTTGCATAAAATTAAATCAATATATGTACATTTATAAAAGTTTTATTAATATTTTTGATTATTTTAATGATTCTCGACAAAAAAATATTGCAAATATTTTGATTTAAAAAAAAATGTCCTATGCTACTTCATTTTTACAAAAATATGCACTAGAGCTTATAATTTGTATATTTATATATCTTAAATGAATCAAGAAAGTGTTCAATTTTGTAACTCTAGCAATTTTATCTACTATCAAGTTTGATACTTAATAAAAGGAAAACAAGTAACTTGTATGCAGTTTGAGATTTTTTTCGTCCTTTTTATTATTAAAAATTGTACAGTGGTATTGTTTGTACATCCAGCTTGGGAAAGATATAGTTCTCTGAAAAGAAATGAAAATCATTTGTTTTAACTTTAAGTAAATCTTTTCATAATAATAAAAAATGTAATAAATGGATTATCAGAAAAGAACAATCTACACGGTTTGAAGTGTTGTACGCACTATTAAGTCCGCCCGTTCTATATCATCACATAAAATAAACTTTTAGAGACCAAATTTTGAAAACTATATTTGATCAAATTTATTCTCTACAAATACGTATACAAAATAAAACAGCAATAAAAATTACCTGCAACAAACAAAAATAAATTTTTTTAAATGACATTAGAAAAATGTAAACAACATCAAAAGAAAGAATATATTTCATCAGAATGAACATTCAACAAGGGAAAAAGAGTATTGTACGTACTCTTCAGTCCGCCCGTTCAATATCATCACATTTAAAAATATTAATTTTATTTGAAATCATTAATAAAGATACATACCTAAATATTTATGCGCTCAACACACAAGTTCCACCAACAGCCTTGATCTTGTCTTCTGCTGATTTGCTAAAGAACTTGGCCTTAACAATAACTGGTTGCTTCGGTAACCTCCCTTTACCCAAAAGCTTGTAGTATCCCTGAAAAAGTAATTATGTATTAAGTATAATGACTTTGTAGAAACTATATTAAGTTACTCAAGCATATGTTAGTTTATAGCTTAAGGAAATTATTTATTATAACAATGAGACTAGTGTGTAATATTATAAAACATACTCACAGCCTTAACAAGATCGATGACTGGTACTTTAGCATCAGGCTTGGCATCTTTGTATTTTAGCCTAGTTTGCTCTGAAACCAAGGTCCAAAGTTTGTCGAGGTTGAGGGTTGGACACCACTTGCTATTCCTGCGTAAATGGTAATTCCTCATACCAAGCTGTAAAATATTATATTTATTATATAAGTATATAAATTAACTCAACCTATAATATTTAAAGTAATAATTATCAGATTAATAAATAATGCATTCAATTATAATTCAGCTCGCCGGTGAAAGCATTTTATCTCATCCTATCAATATAAAATTGTTTGATCAAAATCTACTTCACTTATTAAATATCTATATATATAAAATTAGTTTTTACTTTTCCAAAGTAACCAGGATGGTATTTGTCAAAGTTGATACGATGGTGGTGCATACCACCAGCGTTACCACGACCACCAGGATGCTTTCTGTGTTTGCCTGTAAAATAACATAATCATCATTATTGTAAAAATTCGTACTGAGCAATACTGTTGATAAACAATGTCATTAATGATTTCAATTTTTATGTAGAAAGAAAACCATACAGTAATTTGACATAAAACATGCAGACTTAAAGGTAAAAAATTAAATAGAAGGCTTTAGAAAAATTGTAAAATGCTTACCAATACGTCCATGTCCATGGCTCACATGTCCACGGAGCTTCCTTGTCTTCTTCTTATGTGTGGACTGTGTAAAAATTAAAAAGAAATTATAAACTATAAGTATCTAACCTCAAATGTGAAAAAAAAAAGTAAACGATGTTGTGAAATTGTAGATTTATTTCGGCTGATACTCGACACACCGTGAAATCAAACTTACAAGATATAATAAAAATTTGAGCGAACACGATCGGAAACGTTATTTGATGTACAATAAACAGTAAATCTGCTTAGAGGTTAGGAAAACAAATACTGTCACCACCGTTATTACGAGGAAAATGCGAAAAATCATTCGTGGAAATTCATTTGACATACTAAATGAACGTCGAGAAATCATTTTTCACGTGATTAAAATTAAGATGACCGGTAATTTAATGGATTTTCGCAAGAAAGAAATTACATGCCGGAGACTCACCATCTTGGTTCAAGCGTGAAAGACTGTAAGATTTTCGAAACATGCGCATGCTCCGATATCTCCGGATATTTCGTAGACGCCACGAGAAGGTAGTCGTGGATGTAAAGCGGGAAATTAAAAGTTATTCAACGGTAAGGTTGAATTATTTTTTCGTTTCAACAATTATTTCATACACTTTCATACTAATAAAACGCGTAGATGAACTAACAATACTAGTACATATTAGAAATTTTCAGCTTTAGAATTAAACATTTGTTTTTTATCGTAATGTGTATTACTACGATTGGATTTTAATCTATTTACTTATTCGTAGTGGAATGTAAAGGATAAAGATATATTTTCGCAAAAAAATTAATATACTTTTGTTAATTAACACGGTGCTACTCGACAATTTTGCATTCCACGTCTTTTTGGTTTCATTTTTCAAAAATCATTCTTCAAAAACAGTTTGTAATTTAAAGTATAAATCAGTTGTATGGCAAAAATATGTTTTAATGACGATTTCCTAGTCAAAATTGGGATCTGAACTGTTTATTAAAGATTCATGGTGCTTTACACATAGGTAATTCAAGTTGTTACGCATGTTATAAAACTCATCCGATACTAATAACCGGTTATTTTTATAACTGTGATTCTAAAAACTGAAAACAGATTATGTCAATATCCGTCAGACCCTGTGTCTTTTTTACATTATGTGGTATGATATCACAATTAATTTCCTGGATTTCTGGAATCGTACAATTATTCCACTAAAAAACTGATTCATCGGTCGCGACTAATCAACGACGATTTCTTTGTCCATAAGAATTCACTAATTAAAGTCTCGCGTGCGTTTTATTCCGTTCACCTGAGCGAAAATATTGTCACGTATTACGCATCCTTTGCAATTGCAATCGGATTGCGAAACGATTTAAAATCGCGCGATCGTTGATAAATATTCCGCAGCGAGGAAAAGCGACGTCCCATCATACGTATAGGACGCGTAACGCGGCCAAGCATTTAAGCGTTCGCCTCGCGCCCAAAAGCGAAATTCCAAGCTGAATGATGTAGGCGAGGAAAACAAAGCCAAATCTATCCCCGAAGAGAGTGGCGCATCTGCGGGCATCGCGAGCAAGCGACAGCGTCCGCGCGTGCACGCGCACGCACACAGAGAGGCGGGATCACACGCGCGCGAAGCTGCTGGATGCTGCTTGTGTTACGCACAGAGCGAGAGAGGCTCCGCGCCGAGGACGTGCGGTTTCGGGTGGGGCACATTGGGAAGAGAAGAAGAGACGAGGCATCGCGCTTCGTAGGACCGTCGGCCGAAACATTTTCACGCGTACCACACGAATGGCTCTGGCTTCGAGCTTATCTTCGAGTCAATTATATTGTCCATCCTCGTCGCTTTTCCATTCTTTTCCAGGTCACACTGCCCGCCGACTAAGTTTTTTTTCGCGCGCAAGTCTTCCTCGCCAACACTCGCACCTGTCACCTTTTATTTATTTTATTTCATTCCACTTCATTTTGCGCGTGAGCAAGTGCTATTAGAATCCCAAGCTTTTCAGACATTCGACGATAGCAGCAGCAGCAATTCCATGGCTGTGACGGAGAGTCTCTTTAATCGTCGACTCAGGTGTTTTTTTTTCCGCGAACGCGTTAAAAGCCGCCGACGAGTTATAAACGATGATCGCGCGCGACGGCGAAAGGACGCGAGCGAAAAAGAAAAAGCCATTTCTTTGATAAGACTGAATTTCGCGTTATTTCACAAAGCCAATTTTGTTTTTTTTTTTTCACTCTTGTACGTATGCGCGCGGGTATAATAAAACAATTTTTCATCGATCGCGTTTAATGGGATAAAATTCCGGTAGCCGGCGAAACAGGTTTTTACAAACGAGTTACTTTTTTTTTCCTTCTTTTTCTTCTTCCCAAGTCCGAAGAATTTTCGTCAAGTCGCGCGCGTGCACATGTGTTTCGTACGCGCTAGAGAATAGGACAAGTAACGAGGCATTGAAGCGCTCGCGATGGAAGGATTAAAGATCGGAATGCCGCGTTGAAACTTGGCGGCTTGGATTCGATTTTCGGAGGCGATATTTTTCGCTTGTTTCTGTTTCTCCTTTATCCCTTGATTCCGCCTTGCGCGCGAATCGTCTGGTTATTAGCCGCGGTAAAGCAAGAGCACGCGCGCAATCACTCGCCTCGACGAACGAGGAAGAGGACGGGGAAGAAGAGTTTCGCGCGCTATCGAGCGCAATAATGAAATATCTTGCGCGACCGAGGTAGCGCATCGCATCAACAATTGGCTGCACTCATGCCTCGCACGCGCGCGCACAATACGTCGCCTGTACTACTGCGACGACGATACCGGAGAAATATTGCGTATTACAGAGGCCGGCAAGGCGACCGAGACTACGAGCGAGAGTCGAGCCAGTAGTTTGGTTGTTTTCGCGTCGGAATTACGATTGGGAGCGAGAGAGCGTCGATCCGATGGAGATCGCGGGCGAAGCGGTCAATAGCGGAGGGAAATAACAAAAAGAGAGCGACGCAGGAATAATGGCGAGGCGAAAGTTGGCTGTGATAAGGAAGTGTTGCTGGCACGACGGCGCGGTGATGAGCGTTAAAAAGGAAGTTTACGTGTGCTCGCGCGAGACCATAAAGGGCTTGATCTTTTCAATGCTGGCAGCTCTCTTCTTTTTCTTGCTGCGCGCTGATTGTCCTGTGCACTCGCGATGCGCTCTTTATACTCTCCGGCTATTTTTGCGTCATTCGGCGGCCCTCGGGTACCGAAGATTGCCGTTGCGATGACATTTTCTTTTTTCTTCTTTTTATTCCCCGTCGAATGTGCCAGCGAGAGATCTTTCTTTCTTTTTCGAACGAAGCGAAGGCTAATATCGCAAATCTCTTGATCGTTTTCCACACCAACTTCAAGTTGTTATCTGCAGTTTCGGTCAATTACGAATGCCAAACGAGTGAGCTTTAGATTTGTGGCGATGGCACGCAGCGGTTTTACAAGTTGCGGATTGTACGAGCCACTGAAACGTCGTTAATTCCTGCAGAATGCAATCTCGCCAGATTGTAATCACTGCGCAGCGGCCGATCCAGCGCCCGAGTAACAACCATTGAGCACTTGCAGAGGACAAATCGGAGGCGCAAGAGGCAAGCGTGAAGTTGACTTTCGAGCCCGCTTGCCATCTCGGACGCACAAAGGAATGCTCATCCAGGTGGCGAAACCAGCTCCGAAAGCGGAAGAGGTACGAGAGCTCGCGCGAAAACGAAATCGCTTCCGTCCGGCGACGCGGGCCCACATGGCGCGCGCGGGGGCGCGATTTCCGGTCCGCGGGCTCTCTCCTGCCGTCCGCGAAAGCGCGTGGTCGTTGGAATGGCTTGAGCAACCTTCCCTCCATCGACGACGTGGGCGCCTCCGCGGACGAATATGCTAATCGCGCGCCTTGCGCCGGCCGGCTTTTCGCGCCGATCGGCCGATCTCGCCCGCGTTTCGTCCCTTTCACACGCCGAAGAAAGCCAAAGCTGCGCGCAGTTGCGCAAGCTCTCGATCGAAGAGCACGCCCGCCACGCTCTAGCGACAGCCCGTTCGCGACGTCCGGGCGGCGCGCGATTTCATTTGGGAAATTCTGCGTGTCGATCTCGCAGACTGTCCCCGAAAGTGAACTGTAAATAGGCTCGCGCGTCCTCTACATTTTTCGAGCGTGTGCGCGCTCTCTCTCTCTCTCTCTCTCTGTCTCGCGGAGTTCGCACGTGTGTAGCACATGTAGGTATTCGTGTACGTGTCGTTTCGTATGCGTGGCCTATACGTGGAACGGCTCCCGTTATTTCTTCCGCCTTATCGAATGCACAGCATCTTTTTTTCACTCGAGCCGGGGCGAGCTGCCTCTCGGCGCAGCTCGTCGACGTTGCGCGCACACTTCGCTCGCTCGGCCTCGCGCAACGAGCTTCGATCGAAAGCTCGCGCGAGTCGCTCGCTCGGTCGACAGCGAGGCGCACAATAGGCGGACGACGCAGGCTGCGTAACCTTCCGCGGGAGCGATGTTGTTTTCGTCGCTCTCGCGCTGCTCCCTTCTCGACTCCTCCTCTGCTTCTACGTCTGAATAACGAGCTCACGCCCGAGCGCATGCTAATTAAATAAAATCGCACGCAATCTCTCTCTCACTCGCTCGTTCATTCATTAAACATCTGCTGGTCATTCATAGGAGCACGCGATCCGCGCCATTTATGCCACATCCTCTCCACTGCCAGAGCCAGAGAGCAAGTCTATTATGCGCTGTACGTGTAACGGCGTGATACAGTTTTGGAGCTTTCCTTTTGCTTTTCCGAACGTAGATCGCAAATGGCATCGAGACTGAATCTCAACGAGGATTTCTGTGTCGGTGACTTTTCCTCGCGTCCACTTGGCGCATTAGCTTAATTTTCACGGGAATTGATGACGATTGGCCGTACGTTGACACGCGTCCACGGGCAATTGCACTCTCGAACACGAAGAACTTGACGAATCATCAGTTAGAAGCAGCGAGAATTGAAGCTCGTAAAAAGTGATTTGCTTTTCGCGGAAAGTCGTTGCGCGCGGCGTGAAAATCGTCGAAGCGCCGTTGGTTTTTTCTTCATTTCAACTTTCTGTTGCTTCGCTCTCGCTAAGAAGTAGCTTTCGACGAACGCCGACGCGCGATCACCGGAAAATCAAAGGCCCGCGTCGCCATGTACGAGCGAGGAGCGGCCGCGAGCGCATAAATCGATGAGCGCGCTTACGACGCGAGCGCCGCGCGCGCCGAGCGGTTCCATTCACACTTTGTCGCGCGGGCCGCTCAAGGTTATCGTCGCTTACTCCCGTTTCTTACATAAAAGATCGCCTCGATATGTAACGGACGGCCGGCGCGATGATAACGAGCTCGCTCGCGCGCGAGCCGCCGCGCCGCGCTCGCACATCCCAAGCCCAAACAAATATTAATAGAGCCGCGCAGAAAATAATCCACCTCGAGAGCGCCTCTTCTCGTTGCCGCTCGCGTGGTGCGCCTCGGCTCCAGATCGATCCCGTCTTCGTTTCCCTTTCTCTCGTTCGCCGTTC